GCTCTGGGATGCTGGAGCCTTTTGTACCCTGCACTCGTCGGCGAAGTATATTCTTCACGCAGGCTGAGCACTGAGTTTTCTGTTGGGGCAGCTGACCGAGCAAACGCAACCCTTATATACTACAACGGACGCTCAGGTCAAAATGCAAATGGTTGTGTCAACTGCTGCGACTTAGCCAAGACATTGTGCGAGGTCCTCGGGGTGGACAGATCTGCCGGCGGGGCGCGGTCAGCAGGTTCAATAGGTTGATGGTGCTGCGTCCGTCTACTTATGCCTCTGATACGGTTCGTCGGCGCAGTACTTATAGTTCAGGAAGCTTTAATGGCGGTGAAGAGTGGGCGCAGTGCCGGGGGTTGCCATCGTTTGCTGGGGTGATATTGCGAGGTTGAAGAGATGCATGCAAAGCAGTAAGATCAACGGGCTCTGAGGGCGTGAGACGGCACTTCGGGGTGAACGATTCATGGGTCTTGCTTGGCGGGGAGATGGTAGTCAGGTGTGTGTTTTTATCCTGGGCGATCGTCTATGCTGCTTGAACGCAGATGAGCTCGGAGGGAGTGATTAGAGCAGGATTGTAGGATGCAAATGTTTGTGTGTGCGACTCGGAGGGCGATGACGATTGGCAGGTGGATTGTTTGTGGAGAGAGGTGACAGGCCATTATGGATTCAGGCACGGACGCGTGGCACGTATGTCGCGATTCAGGGACTCTGTAGAAGGTGCCAGGGGGGTCATGGACATCTCTTTGAGCTTGTACCTATGACTTTATTCTGAGTAGGGAGAAAGGATCAGTCCGGGTATCAGTTCAGCAGTGACAAGGTTGAGAGAGTGCTAGATTTTGTGGGGGACAGGGGAGTGTTTCTTTATGGGGGATTGATGATTGGGTGTGCCTGTTACCGGATTGGAAAGGGGAGGGACAGCCGGGACCACGGCCCCGTAGCAGACACGGAATCCATGAACAGCAACTAACCAAGCCGTTGTGCTCAGCACACCCCAGGCAATAACACGCCTCCCCATTCCCCTCCCCTTCCCTCCCCCAACCAATCCAGGCCAGAGCTCGAGCAGGGCTCAGAAGCATGGCAATCACAAAATGGATTCCATTCGGCCAGCAGGGCCCCGTAGTCCACGACACTCCAGCTGTCCAGGCCGTCCCCATACCTTGTGCAGACGGAAAGCGCTTTGGCCTCGAGAATGTATGCACCCCTTCCCTATTCTCCACCCCATGAACTCTGATCACCTTCACCTCGTCGTCTCTGCAGTTTGGCAATACCTGGTGCGTACATCCCCCGTTCCCACCCTCCGATCCACACATTACTAACCTCCTGCCCGCCAGCTATGCCAACTCCGTCCTCCAGGCTTTGTACTTTTGCGGCCCATTTCGCGACCTCGTTATTCAGCACGCAGACTTCCACAATCTCCGCTCCTTGACCTCCCAGCTTGCTTCCCCACCTCCTCACACATCCGCCCCACAACATCCCCCCATAGCGACCCTACCACGACACAAACCCCAACGCCGAGGGACAACCGACTCTATATCCGCCCACCCAGCCGCGCAAAACGGAAATAGCACCGCCCCCTCCTCAACCTCCCCGCCCACCCCGCCAATACCCTCCTCGCCGCGCACCCTCTTCTCCGCCCTCCGCTCGCTATACATACACATATCCCAGAATGCAGCCGACAAGGGCACCGTCGCCCCGCGCGCGTTCATAGACAAGCTAAAAGAACTTAATGAAGCGTTCAGGAACACCATGCATCAGGATGCCCACGAGTTCCTTAATTATCTGCTCAACCGCATCGTCGAGGAGATCGAGGAGGAGAAAAAGAACTTGCATGCGAACGGGAACGGGGGCGACAACGGTGCGCACTCTTGCTACTATATCACACCGCGTTCGTCACTAATGTGACTCAATGGCGGATTTCTTTGTATCCACCCAGGGTCAGCATCCTCGTCCGTGAAGCCAAAGTCGGATCTCTTCTCCTCGTCACTCACAGGCTCCACATTCATACACCAAATATTCGAGGGCATTCTTACGAGCGAGACGCGGTGTCTGACGTGTGAGAAGGTGCGCAGCCCGTCCGCATTCCTCGCATGCGTATCGCCGCTCACCACCGGCTGGCTCAGGTCTCAGCGCGCGACGAATCGTTTCTCGATCTATCAATAGACATAGAGGCTAACTCGAGCGTAACGGCATGTCTTCGGCAGTTCAGCGCGAGCGAGATGCTCTGTCAGCGGAACAAGTTCTTCTGCGATGGGTGCTGCGATTACCAGGAGGCGGAGAAGAGGTGTGTTCTTTTCCCTGTGGAAACGGTCTATGCGGCATTTCCAGTCCGATGCTGATCGGGGTGCATGTGCTGCTGTTTGCTAGGATGAAGATCAAGCGCCTCCCCAATGTCCTCGCACTTCATCTCAAGCGCTTCAAGTATCAGGAAGAAGTGCAGAAGTATATCAAGCTAGCTTACCGGGTCGCCTTCCCGTTCGAGCTGCGCCTCTTCAACACCGTCGATGACGCAGAGAACCCGGATCGGATGTACGAGCTCTTCGCGATTGTAGTCCATATCGGCAGGTGCGTACGCCTCGGACGGGTTCTCGATTAATTATAATCATTTAATACGCCCGTTCACTCACCGCCACCGCATGGTTTATTCACTTCAGCGGCCCGAACCACGGGCACTACGTCAGCATCATTAAGACGATGGGCATATGGCTCATCTTCGATGACGAAACGGTGGACACGATCAAGGAGAACGACATCCACAGGTATTTCGGGGAGTCGAATGCCGGCTCGGCCTATGTGCTCTATTACCAGGCGGTCGACCTCGACCTCGCGGACGTTGGTCTCCAGGCCGAGCCTGAACCAGCACCGCAGGCGGCCGAGGCGAATACGCGGGATACCTCAGCATCAGACCACTCGCCACTGGCGACGCCACATATCAACCCCGTTGTCCCCCCTGGACTCGTTCAGCCCCAAGAAAGTAGTGCGAATGCGAGAGTTAATGGGAGCGCAGACCACCTGCCGCATGCGCTATCTCCACCACCCCATGACGCCCCCGCTGTCGTCGCGCAACACACTGGCGGCGACGGGGACAAGGCGCCACGGCGGACTATTTCTGGTATGCTCAAGATACCGACGCCCGGGCTGGGCGGACACGGCGCGTCGCTTCCGGCGCACGCGGCGCCTACGAAGCGCCCGAGCACCGCGACGGGCGCGACGCGCTCCAAGACGAGTCAGGAGTCGCATTCGCCCGTCTTGCGTTCGTTCGCGGGCGACGCACCGCCCAGTGCGGCGCTGCCGCCTGCGGCTGTGAACGGGAAGGACAAGGACGGTAAAGACGGCAAGGACAAGGAGAAGCCCGGACCGTGGTACCGCCGGAAAAGAAGCTTCAAGGCGCTCAAGGTGCGGCCCGCGTCTGAGGCGGCCGACCGCGCGCCGCCGGTGCCGACAGACCATTTTACGCTGCCGGTATCATCCCAGACGATGCGACCATCGACGGCGTCGGCGCATACGTCGGGATTTGCGAGTCGGGTGCCGATGGATCTGGGTGGTGTGGGTGGGGGTGGAGGCCGGGAGAGGGTGTCGGGTAGCGTGGCGGCGCTTGCAACGCTCGGGCCGAGACGTAAGGTGTCGTCAAGCAGGGTGGAGGAGCGACAGATGTCGTCAAATGGGTCGCATACGACTTCGTCGTCGTCGTCAAGGTCGCACGATGGGCCGCCTATTCCTCCGTTGCCTCTTCCGCCTGTGGGCTCGGCACCCCAGGAGCACGGCGTGAACGGGTCCGCGTCGCCACGCGCGCTGCCCACTATACCGGCTACGCCGCCCTCTGCTACACCACCCTCCTCTGCAACGGGCCACAACTCGTACTCATCGCACGCAGGCTCGGGCTCGCGAGCGCGCGACGCTGTACCCGTGTCATCGTCACCGCCCTCTTCGTTCCCGCGCATACCCTCCCCTGCGGAGCGCGCACCGCCGGAGCGGAACAGCACCTCCTCGTCCTCGGCGCGCCGGAATCCGCTGCCGTTCGGGCCTAGCCCCGAGGCTAAGCGCAGCTCGGCGCGCCCGTCGACGGCGGGCGCGACGGTGGGTGGGACGGGCTCTGGGAGTGTGGATCGCGCGAGGACGTCGTTGCGGGCGTTGCCGCCGTTGCCGAATTTGCATCCTCAAGCGCATCCTCAGGCTCAGACGCAGGGGCAGGGGCCGATGCGAGGCTCGACGTATCAGGCGACGGCGGGCCATGATCGTGAGAATGCGGAGAAGACGCGCGGGAGTGTGAATCTGAACGCTGCTGCGAGCCACGGGCACGGGCATGGACATGGGCATGGGCATAGTAACAGCCACAGCCACAGCTATAACCATCGACACGGGCACGAGCACGGGCGCGGGGACGGGCACGCGTATGTTCCCGCTCATCCGCCTGCGTACGACCATGTTCAGCATCAGGATCAGCTTGTGGCGAGCAAGCATCAGCATCAAACCCAGCAGCATCAGCAGCATCAGAACCAGCATCAGCATCAGCACCAGAACCAGAACCAGCACCACCGCATCCCGGCACCTCCACCCCCCTCAGGCGACATCGGCGGCTCCCCGCTCGCGCCCAACCGGCCCAGCTCCGCACACGCGTCCGCCACACCGGGCGGTGGCGGGCTCAGCGCGAGCCTCGGGCGCGGGGTCAGTCTCGGCGCTGGCACTGCGATGGGCGTTGGCGCGCACTATGGTATGGCCGGCAGTGGCGGTGGCTTCGGCGGTAGTGGCAGGGGCTTTGGCGGTGGCGGCGGCGGCGGCGGAGGCATCGGTGCGAGTCCAGGCGCGAATGTGAGCACGTCGACGACGAACACGTTTGCATCTGGGTCGAATTCGCATACGACTGCGAGCACCGGCGGCGGCGGTGGTGGGGGGATTAAGCGGACGGCGAGGAAGTTGAGTTTGACGGCGCCGTTTTCGTTTGGGAGGAAGAAGTAGAGATGGGTGGGGTGGTGTTGGCTGGCTGGCTGGCTGGCTGTTTCCCATGGCGAACTGTGGTCGTCGTTTCGACGGGCTGTTGAACTGGGCCTGGGGGTTCGCTGAGGCGCATCGCGGCGCCTCTGCTCGAGACCTCGAGAGTTCAGAGGGTGTACTCAGGAAATCTCAACCGAACATAGGAACAGGAACAGGAACATTTCATACGTGCGCTCAGCCCTTCTCGCCACCTTACTCGTATCCTCTGCGAGTATTTAGACCGCCTGCAGTTCGTCCTCGCCTATTATCCCATCGCGTCTCGCCCGGCCCTTGGCCGTATTTGAGCGGCATCCCATCCGATCTTATGCTATTTTTATTCCCTTTTTTACCATCCGGATCCACGTTCGACGGTTTCTAGCTAGTTATTTACTCGATCGCCTATTGCCATATGTCCTCCCTCAATATTCTTACTTTTCTTTTTCTATTCCTCTTGTTCTTCTTTCGGTTTCTGGCCTTCGACGTCTCTTCGGCACCGGAATTGCTACCCCCTCCAACTCCAACCCCAATATCCCGTTGCATACCATGCATGCATTCTACGTACTGTTGTTTATTCATACCTCACCAAGTACATCGTACGACTTGTAATCTAACATTTTCGCTGTGCTTGCTTGTCCGCCTTTCACACTCAACCTGGATAGGGGCTCTGTAGTGATATGTTTGTCAACGGTGCAGCGTGGGAAATGCGCTTGCATTCACCCAACCAACGTCCGACGGCGTCCAACGGCACATTCTGACGGCATTCTTGACAGTGATTTCAGCATCATGGGTGTTGAAACGTTCAAACTTACTGCGGTTCTGTTCCAAGATTCGCGTAGTGTGACTAGTACCATCAGGGGTGGTCACAGTGACGCAACCTGTTGCATCTTGACGTCAAGTCTTGTCAAACCCATAATATGTTACTCGACCGCGCCACGGCTACTTTGTCCCTCGCACTCACATGGGTGGCTTTCATAAAGACTATCCACGACAGGCCGCCGACAATCGCGAGCTCCAGTCATGCTCTGACACTGCGACTTCTGGAGATGAACTTTACGGCCTCACACGAACACCATCCCTCCATAGAGGCGCCACCCTTGGACCCCCAGCCAGGCGACGACATCCAGGACTTCATGTTAATGTCAAGAGGGCGAGGCAGCTTGACCCGAACAAAGGACGGTGCATGATCACAGGTCGGTGTACCAATGTCGTGAGCTGCCATATGCTCTCACTGGACACGGATGACAAAACAGTGCGTCCCCTTTTGCGCTATCTCCCTTTTTGATCTTTGCTCGCTAACAAAGATATCAGCTCACGCAACTTGAGTGGGCATGGGGCTTGGGATGGCGGCGGTTAGACGTCACTAGTCCATATAGCACACTTTTTGGTTCGTACCAGGTCCCTTGTCAGCTTGTCGTCTTCTCACCTTGGCAATGACGTGCAGTTGGGGCAGAATGGAAAGCCCTCTTCGACAGCCGCGACTGGTGTCTTATTCCTGATCTCTCCGTCCTCCACGCGCTTGATCTGCTGACTGAGGATCGGACTGCAAATCGTCCTTTCAGATTGAATAAGGTAGTGGATCTCTTTGTTAATCTGTAATACTTGCTAACAACGCGTAGGTACTTCGGAGTCGGAGTCTTTTCAAGTATTACTTCGTCGCCAACTCGTCATTGGAGGATGCGATCATCACCGTTGAGTCAGCGCATCGTACTCGCACGGTGCATCCCTATCCATTTGCTAGGCTGGGCCCCATCTTCAGCCATGTATGGCCACATTTCGTCGTTCACAGAATGTGTGAAGACCTGAAGAATATTCACGGAGATAGTGACGCGCCGTTACGGAAGGTCCTTGGTTTACAAGAATCACTCTTGAGTGACAGAGCGCAGCTTCCTCCCGGCGTTGTTCCACACGTTGCCGTTATAAGAGCCCAGCGCCTTGTCGCATCTGCAGGCTCAGTCTGGATGCATCGCCCAGTCCACGAGGCCTTCAGGCGACGCATTCGGGCTTCGAGGCGATATCTTCCTGCCCATGGACCTCTCAGTTTAGTCTCATGTTCGAGTACAGGGAGCTTTGCCCTTCCAACAGAGCTGTCGCACGTTTCGTGGTCCGAGAACAGACAGAATGTGCATCTGTGGCTTGCTCACGTCATTCGAGAGGTCGCAGACACGGGCTGGGAATCTATCACCCTCAACGACGAGCAGGTTGCTAACTACCTCGCAGAAGCGGAGCCCGTCTTTGCACCCCCAGCGGAAGACGACTGGCGCAATTGGCGTCCACGGTGGGATCGTCAGAAGGTGACGCGCAATGACTCGAGACGGTTTTCGAGCAATGATTGGGCTGCCCTCGAGTTCCGTGTTTACCTGCCCGTCTCCTAGTCCAACTGTGGTCCTTCGAAGTTCGTCATTGGGGAGCATGGAACCTAGAGCTAATGGCGATACTTTGTTTCTGTCCTATGATCGCATGCAATGACAATGCTCGCTGTCGTCTATTATGTTCCTATGCGCTCACAAGACTCCGGACTCAATGCTTCCTTCACACCAGAGAGTTGACGAGCAACGAGAACAACACTATCCACAAAATCCACAAAAAGTATGACGTCACGAGATGATCTATGGGGTAATTTCGCCGCTTTCGTACATCGCTGTGATACATCTGATCTCATTTCTTTAGCCCCCCAAACCTCCACATTTCTTCAAGCATATACCCCAGAAGGTTAAGAAGGTCCTCAAGGCTAATGTCCTCGATTTCTAGTTCGTTCGTAGTCTGAGACCCACGGAGGCGATAGGTATGTAACCAGTCATCGTTTGTCGGGCTCGATGGAAATGATGAGTGGTGCAGTCCAAAACAACATACGATGAAGCCTAGAACTGAGCCCATGGGACTACTAGTCTGAACACGCAAAGCACTACGTCGGCCCTATCTATTCCAAGCACTCAGGCTCGGCCCGACCCCCTATCTTGACGCCCTACAGCTTGAACGGCGGAGAAGGCAATTCAAACTGGCAAGTTCGAATTGCTCTCCGCCATCCAAGCTGCCATGGGTCTATGAATTCGGACTGAGCTATCCCATTCTCAGAACTCGTCCATCCAATACTGAAACAACAGATCGTCGTGTCGCAATCGAAACTGGCTGACGATGGTGCTGGTCAGAGACCTCGCGAGGCAACGGCAAACGTATAAAAGCTCACTGTGAATGCCTCAGGTTCTTCAGTACTCATCGCCATTTATCTGCCTACATCGCTCTTAAAGCACTCAAACCATACCACTCTCATCTCAATGTCTACCTCCAACCAAGACGTTCGCCACGATCCCACCCAGGCCCTGTCTTCCTTCTTTGCGGAGATTTTGGGTCTTCGGGCTGGTGTCAAGAACATGAAGCTCGACGTCCAGAACGATGTCGACGACTTCCGCAGCAGGCTCGACTGGGGCCTTGAGCAGTTCAACGCTCAGGAGGGCCACATCGAGGTCCTAACGGCGCGCCTCTCCGAACAGGCGGCGATCCAGGAAGCCATGGAGTATCAGCTCGCGGTACTCGTCGGCAGCGTTGACGACCACCGACGCAGTGACCGCGCGTTCACCAAGTCACTCGAAGCGTTCATGACCAAGGAGTTCCGCCGTGTCAGCAAGCTCGAGGAGGGACAGAAGGCGCTCTCTGACAAGGTCACTCTCATCCAGAATCAGATCAACTCTCTTGGGCGCATTACTGGCACCAAGCTGGATGCGATCTTGGCTCTGCTCTCGCGCCTGCGTCCCAACGAGATGACTGCCGAGGTGGCTGACACTGTCACTGTCCATGCAAATGCTGCACACAGCGCGTTCTCCAGGCAGCTTTCCTCTGTCCGGCGCGAACTCACTGATGTCAAGACCGAGGTGGGCAGCGCGGCTCCTGCTCCCAAGTCCGGCGGCGCCGCTTTATGCCCAATTGGCGAGATCACTGCTGAGCGTCGGGCACGTATCCTAGCTAACGCCCAGAAGCGTTTCGAAACTAAGCTAGCGGCTGGTAAGTCAACTTGATCATCTCCGCAACCGTGTTCATGCCCTCTAACCCCTACTGCTCAGGCCACAACCCTCCTTCCAACTTGATGGGCATAGCGGACTTTGTCGATAGCTGCATGGGCCGTTCCAAGCCTTCCGCATTGGCAACGTCCCAGACTGACTCCAACGCTGGTATTTCGACCTCTGCTCCCGGTTCTTTGTCTTCCACCTCGGCCCCTGCTCCTGTCGCTGTTGTATCATCGTCGCCCGCACCTGTTGCAACTGTCTTGTCCCCTGTGGCTGTTGCTCCCAGACCCGTGTGTAAGTCTTCATGCTCTACGGCCTCTGCCTCGGTTGTCTCTGTCCCGGTTTCATCGTCTTCGCCTGTGCACGTTGCACCTGTCCCGGCTCCATCGTCTTCGCCTCTGCCCGTGGTCTCTGTCCCGGCTGCACCATCATCATCTAAGACCTCTGCGCCTGTCCACTTTGCGCCGTTCTCGCCTCCCGTGACCAGTACTCCTCGCTCTACGTCTGGTTCATCTCGTCTGAGGCACGCTATTGCTATTGAGTCTCCATCGTCATTGATCGCGCCTGTCACGGCTCCTGTAGTTGACAGCTCTGTCCCCGTCCTCAAGAAGAGCCCCCTGCGTGTCATACCCGCTATCAACGAAGAGTCTCTCGAGTATTTGGACTATTCCATGATCAAGGATGCGACCATGCGCACCTGCCGACCTATCCCGAGTCTTGCTCCTGCCGTTTCTCAGGACGATGTATTTGTCGCTAAGCCTGTGTCTGAACCTGTTGGTGGATGGCTCACTTCCGAGGAACGCAAACAGAAGCTTCAGGCTCTGTTCAGAAGAGAAGAGGTTGAGGAAAAACCCGAGGCTACCAGTGGTGTGTGCCGCTTTCATTTTGTATTGATCAACTACTCAATGTCTTTCTGGTAGGTTCTTTGGACGCAAAGAAGAGAGAAGCGGAGCAGCTTCCCGCTCTCGCGCCTGCTCCTACACTCGAGGATATCTCGTCGGACGAGTCTACCGATTTCAATGTTCCCCCTACGCCCACGCCTGCGAGTGGCGCACGAGCGCTTGCCCGCGCCTCTGCTAGTCTCGACAAGGCGGCCTTTGCAAGTGGATCTGGTCTGATCAAACATGACACAAAGATGGCGAACCCTTCGAGCAAGCTTCGGCAGTCGTTCATTCCGACCTCAACATTGGTCTCATCCAAGCCCTCGTTCAAGCCCCTCAAGCCGCTGGTTTTCCCTCGTCCCGCTTCCTCTGGCATACCTATCCCACCTCGAGTAGCAGCTCTCCGCAAGGCGCCGGCTCCAAAGATCACTACGAAGCCTGCCAGTGGCATCCCTCGCGTCACATCCTCCAGTTCTGCCAGCTCAAACTCTAGTGGAAGTAGATCAATCGCTACGTTCTCGCGCTGTTCTTCCTCGAGTACCGCCACCTCTGCGACCTCTTCCGGTGTACCCTGCTCCGCTGCATCCCGGACCAAGACGAGTTCAAGATTGCCATCCGTAGCCACACTCGTGACGCGGCCCAGGTCCATTCCCGGCAGGACGGGTACGGTTCTCTGATAATCACGCATACACAAAAGTTTGCTTACACATTGGTCATTTTAGCTTCGCACCCTCGCCTGCCATAGCATCGTATCGCGCTGCATGACTCAATTCCAGTGGCTTAGCCATCTTGGGGAGCAGTCATCCTGCAGACGATGCGAGTTCCTTTAGCTTTTCAAGTTTCCTTCAAGGCCTCAAGACTATCCTGAATCTCTCGCACCTCTACTGACCTGGATACACTCGCTTCCCCGCTCTTACTTCTTGGTCAAAGTCCTCCTATCGCTCCTACGCCTTGCGAACGCCTCCCCTGGGACAACCGTCTGCATCGGCCTCGCCCGGCACTTTGCAACTAGCGTCCCCTCGCTGTCGCAGTTGCGGCCATCCGGACATCACACAAAGGTACATACTCTGCACCCCTTTTTACTGTGAGATTTCGAGACGACTTACCACTTCGCGCACCCACAACAGGTTTTTGAATGACTCGGGCTACCGTCCTGCGGTCTGGATGATCTACTTGATCAAGACCACCGGCGTTGACCGACCTTCTACACCACCTTTGCACGACCCGTTCGGCCCATTTCGCTCGTCCACGACAGGTTTTTGAATGACTCGGGCTACCGTCCTGCGGTTTGGATGATTAACTTGATCCAGACCAACGACGTTGACCGACCTTCTATAACACCTTTGCACGACCCGTTCGGCCCATTTCGCTCGTCCACGACAGGTTTTTGAACGACTCGGGCTACCGTCTTGCTATTTGGATCATTAACTTGATCCAAACCAACGACGTTGACCGACCTTCTACAACACCTTCAAAGTGCACGACCCGTTCGGCCCACTCCACTCGTCCACGACAGGTTCATGAACGGAACGGTCCCGCGGTTCGGATACATTGATCCAAATTAGCCGCGTACGACCGACCTTCTATGACACTTCTGCACGACCTACTCGCCACGCTTGCCTCGCAAACTCTTCCCCGGAGAACTGGCTCTCGGCGGCCCGGAGAAACTTAAAGATGAACTTCCGACCAAAGAACAAGGAATCGGACTATACGGAACTCTAGTGTATCTTAATAATTCTATACTAACCTCTGCCGACTCGATCCTGTAATTGCGCATTCTGTTTATTATAGTTAATACACGCATATATATTATGCTTGCACACTTAAACTATGTCTGACCAGTCGATGAGATTCTTGCTTTGCTAGTCCTAGTAGTACCAACTTAATCGTGTAATTGCCCTGCTTGCACAAAGCTCAGACGGTCTGATTGGTCAATGCATCGGTGAACGCCCGCTTCGGTTTCTCAGAATCACGTCATCTGAAAAAATATCTATACTGTCATAGTATATGCTCACTGCCATGTACACGCGTGCAGCTTCGATACTGGCCAAGTTAATCCTGCTTGGCTCAGATGTGTATTTACTACTGTACTATGTGACAGGCATCGCAACATAGAGCATCTATGGCTTGGCAGGACAGATCCGCTCTCTCGAGCCCAGACGCTCAGTGACGGTGCACCCTTGGCTATATAAACGGCCGGGCGACGAACTGTTTGCGAACTGCTAATGCTACCAAAGTTTTCGGGTCCAAAACGGCGGTGAGTGCCAGTTAAGGCGACCAGTGTAACTTAGCACCGTCGCGGAAGGTCACAGATTGCAACGGGCAATAGGATTTCACCGCACCCCCGCTCCCGCTCCCACCGACAACCCGTCGCGTCTGGTTGGCGTCAAGTCCTGTTTCCATATACGCTACTCGATCGCGCCACGGCTAACTCATCCCTCGCTCTCACATGGGTGGCTTTCATAAAGACTATCCACGACAGGCCGCCGACAATCGCGAGCTCCAGTCATGCTCTGACACTGCGACTTCTGGAGATGAACTTTACGGCCTCACACGAACACCCTCCCTCCATAGAGGCGCCACCCTTGAACCCCCAGCTAGGCGACGACATCCAGGTCTTAATGTCAATGTTAGGAAGGCGAGGCAGCTAGACCCGAACAATGGACGGTGCGCGATCACAGGTCGGCGTACCGACGTTGTTAGCTGCCATGTACTCCCATTGGACACGGATGACCAAACAGTAAGTCTTCGCTTGCGCGTTCTGTCTTTGGTCATCACCCGCTAACGATCATAACAGCTTTCGCGACTTGAATGGGCATGGGGCGTAGGCTGGCGGCGTCTAGACGTCGCTAGCCCATATAACACACTATTCGGTTGGTGGCATGTTCTAGCATGTCAGCTTCTTGTTTCCTTACTTTGGCGACAATGTACAGTTGGGAAAGAATGGAAATCCCTATTTGACAGTGGTGATTGGATCCTTTTTCCTGACTTTCGTCTTCTCCGCGCCCTTCGCTTGATGGCTCAGAAGCTAACGGCAAAGACCCGCGTTAAGTTGAACAAGGTAATCAAATATCTGAAAGCTTTCGTTTGCTAATGGCCATTGCAGACGCTTCGATGTCAGAGTACTTTCAAATATTACTTGATCGCCAGTTCGGCACTGGAGAATGAGATAATCACTATTGACTCGGCACACCGGTGTCGTACAGTGCATGCCTTTCCGTTTGCTACCTTGGAGCCCATCTATAGTCATGTACGACCACAATTCGTCATTCGCAGGCTACAAGTGAAGTTCAAAAAGTCGTATGGAGATCTGGAGCAAGCTCTAGAGAAGGTTCTCGAGCTTCACGAACCACACCTGATCGCGGAACTCAGAAGGCAATATGCCAAACCAACTCCTACGAAACTTCTCGTTATGCATGCCTATATGGTAGCCACCATGGAAGTCACGACGATAGATTCAGCATGGGTAAAACACCCAGCCCCGAGCGCGTTCAAACGACGTCTTCGGGCTTCAAGACGATACCAGCCAGAATATGGTAGCCTCAGCTTGGTCTCGTGCTCGAAGACAGAAAGCTGCACCCTTCTGGTTGATTCTTGGCCCAAGCGGTGTCGAAATGTGCATCTATGGCTTGTTCACGCCAACTATGACGCCGCAGATACGGGCTGGGAATCTGTAGTTCTTAATGACAATCAAGTCGCTGATTACCTTGCGGAAACCGAGCCTGTCTTCACACCGCCTACAGAAACGGACTGGCGCAGTTGGCGTCCGTGGTGGTTCCATCAGAAGGTATTGCGAAAAGATGCAAGAAAGTTCTCGAGCAATGACTGGGCTGCTCTTGAATTTCATGTTTATCTACCAGTATCCTAGACTCTACCGACTCACAAGTTGAGGGTGGGGTCGCAATCAATGATTAATGACCTTGCATCTACGTGTAGCAGTTGTTGATGAACGATTTACCCTTCTTGGTTGAGCTTCTTGCTGGATGCTTTGGAGTCTGAGCATCGCGTTTTCCACATTGATGCAATGCCCCAGGCCTTCAAGCTTCAAACTCCAAGCAACAGTTTTCGTGCTCCAACACAACTATTTCAGTTTCCTGGATTGCAATCTATCCGCCTCCCAGACTTTAGGTCCTACCTTGCAACCGACTGTACGCCATAGGCTGGCTGTTGCCCTCATCCCACTTGGGTTCAGCTATCTTTCCTGGATCAGTACTTGAATTAGAGGGTTCCTTTCCTAGGGTAGGAAACTTAGAAAATACCAGCATGGTAATCCTCTTTCGCCCCTAGCGGCTTTGCTTTCAGATTCATGCTGATTCATGTCATTTTCTCCAAGAACCACTGGCAACTGACATTTGGTTTTTACACCTCTCCGATCAGATCGACATTTGCAGCATCTCGAGCGTATATTCATAGGCTACTAATGCGGATATACATATGGATAGGGCCCCATAGGGCCCCGCATTGAAGGAACCTTCATCTAATCTCCAGCCTGACCAGTGTCACGCCGCGCGAACTGGAGCAGAGATACGAGCGTTCTTCCTTTCTCCTCGGACAATGATGGTCAACTTACCAGCCAACTTACCAGCCAAGCGGCAAGAAAAGTGTAAAGATTTAGGCCGCAATACCTATGGCATAGTGTACCCTGTGTACAGCATCACTTCAAGATGCGGGGCTAGTTACTCCGAGATTTGATCGGAGGATGGTTGATGGAGATGATGTACTACTTTTGCACCCGCCAATCTCCTCGACAGCTAACTTGCCTTTTCGCTTCCTACCTTTACTATTAGGGACCTCCCTAGTCTCGAACCAGACGCAGAGCTGCCCATAGGGCCGAAAAAGCTCCGTCATCAAGAGCGTCTGGTTCGAGACTAGGATCTCCCAGGAAATCCTCCACTCCCTTCACGCAGTCGCCGCCTTCCCTTGCTTGAGATGAGGCCACACCGCCCATTCAACGACTGCGGTCCGATGATGTACGTACTGACGATTCATATGACGCTCCCCCTGCACTGGTTTAGCGGTATATGAATAACGAATGGTGACAAAACAATAGGAAGTGGACATAGTCATGTCAGGCTTATTTGTCATAAGCACCCAACCCTGTCCTGGAGGGAGTGCTCCTCGGGCACAATGTCGACGGTGATCCTCGGTCTTGCATGCCTACCAGCATTGTGGCCGCAACGCCGCCTCTTTTGATCAAGAGCGCCTGTTTGGGATTCATACAGAGAGGCCCGTCGAGCGTTGAGATCCGTTCGCAGCTTACATACTATTATACAGCGAGGATTCCTGTTATTCGCCACAAGATCCAAGTTGCAATGTCAAGCTACTCGCCGTCTCTCACCGTACACTGGTTGGTATGTTGTAGCGTAACAAACCTTGGTTCCGATGAATTGAACACCATTCCTTCATTGCATAGCACATGACAGTTTTCCACCACAAAGAGTAGCATGCGATCGCAACGCTCCAGGTTGTCAATCAAAACTCTGATCGTGCTTCTCCAACCTCCCTGGATTGCAGTGTTACACCACGAGGCTGTCAGGCTACCCTGTGGGTGCCCCATTCCAACGCGGATACGAGACGTCACGCCTCCAAGGGTGACCGGGACAGCATGACATTGGGTGGGGTGACATCTAGGTGACCTGCACTGGACTGGCCACTCGAGAAACGTATAAAAAGGAGGCCCCCAACGCTCATCCTTTCCTCAGCAAAGATGCGTTTCTCTGCCATCCTCACCGCTGCACTCTTCACTCTCGTGGCTGCCGAGCCGGCTATCGTCAACCTTCGGGGCGACGCCCTCACCTCACCCTTCCTTGACAGGAGGGCCGACACCGTCCTCACTTTGGACGGCCGTCTCATCTCGCGCCAGGACGTACGTGATGCTGTCTGGATTTTGCCTAGGTTGTCGCTGAGCTAACTCACGATGCAGTGCTGCGAGGACCCCCCTGGCTGTGGTTGCGCTTCAGCCACTTGCTGCCCCAACTTCCCTGGCTGCGCTTGTTAAGGGATTACCAGGTGAGATAGCTCTTCATGTAGCAATAGGTCTTTTATTCATTTGTCATCCTTAGCCTTTCTCATGAACAACAGGCATTGGGTCGGAAAGGTTGTAGGAGGAAGGAGGAAGTTAATCTGTACAGAAATATAACATTGTGCTTGCATTGTGCATCTTGATGGAATGTGATCTTCATGCGCGCGTAGCTTGTCAGTGACAGAGAGGAATGGGCAGGTTTTGGCTTGATAAATCAAGTATTGTAAGTTGGACTTAAAATAAGTAGTGAGCAGGGCGTTTTCAGCGTTTTCAAACTGATAGACTGTTGTTTTAGCCCCTGAGTGGAACGAAGGATCGTCCGAGAAGGTAGCTAGAAGCAATGATCTGGACCTTTCCTTGTTGGGCACGGTCATCCGCGCTTGCGGTCCGCGAACCGTTAATGGTATTGGCTATCTTCGATCATGCCATCGATCACTTCCTCGACCAACAACGCCTCTGCCCAGCCACCACTGCAAGCCAGACTTCAGTCGGATATTGACCAGCTTCAAGCGTTATTATCTAACGGCGAACTTGACGGAGATGGTGTAGAGAATCTCGCTGAGCTGTTGTCGCGGCTGGAGGATGCGAACGGAGTAGCCGAAGGCGTTGAGAGTCGCCTCGACGATGTTATCGGGACACTGGATACCCTTCTTGCTTCCCTGGAACAGCAAGAGCAGGAAGGATCACAGAAGGAGTCGACTACAAGTGACTCTACACCGCAGGAGAGCCAGTAGAACCCTGACAGCGAGAAGAATTAGCAAGATACCTAAGATGGTGCTCGTACACTGGTCTCATCGTCTTGTATTTAGACGCTGATCTGAATCCAGCACTCATCTTAACATTATCACGTCACTGGAGAGGGAATTCAGGTTTACATTTTAATGTTGTAATATACTACGATGCATATGTTTGCCAGAACCTAGCTTCCAAAAGTCCGGTTCGAGTCATATGCAGATGCATGGATAACAAAGCACGGATAGTACAAGAGCAATACACGTCGAAAGCAAATTAATCGGCAGCGTCAATCACAAGCGCCATGGGATCCGTCCGCTTCACAGTGTCAATAACGTCAGAGCCCTTTCGGGAAAACACAAGCTACGAGAGCTGTCAGTGTTGCGGACGAATGAAAGAGGTGCTGAGAAGCTTACCAGATAAGGGTTTGCGGTCGATCCTGTCGTGTCCGCAAATACCTCATTCTTAGACACCTCCGAGACACTCGAGTCGTTGTACTTGTACCAGACGTCGGGCTTTTCTGGGAGATGCCGCGAATAGAAGAAATAGTGTCCCCAGGAAGGGGAAGAGCCACGGTGGATGAACACCGACGTCAGTTCATAAGCAACCTGTTTCTCGTCACTCCAGACAAGTTCTAGGTCGTCCTTGAGGCTGGTGATCTGTTTCCGAAGTTCTTCGATCTCGATTTTAAGATGATCTTGTTCGCTATTGAGCTGTGAAATCAACTCCTCGTCAACGTCTGGGATGGGGAGACTTTCTTGCTTCGAAAGGAAATCGAGGGAGCTATTCAGCGACTCGACATAGGACGTCTAGATTGGTGAAGAACGGGTTAACAATGCAAGCCTTTATCTGACGCGCTACTGACCTTCTCGTGAGTTAGTGTCCGCAATCGCTCGCGCTTGGTATTCAGCTCCTTTTGAATTTCCTTCGCCTTCGCCTTCTTCTCGGCATTCGCAGTGTCAAGGTACCGATCCATATAGATCATGTCCTCAAACTTGACGTATGCCTGTGACTTGTACGCTTGTAGAGTCTCGCGATTGAATTGTACGCGCTAAACAGAGTTGATTTCTTAAATCCACGACATTGCAGGAGACTACTTACCTGAAGCTGGATTTGCAGGAGTGGTGGAAGATCGACAAGAGAAACTTCCATACGGTTTTTCTTGCCTTCATACTCGACCACATCGTCAAAGTATCCGCTAAGCCCGTCGTATATATCAAAACTGTGCTCCGCGACGTTGACAGGGAGGTGAGAGAAGAGGTCCTCCTTTTCATGAATAGAAGCCGACTTGGCCTTCACATCAGCCTCGGACAGTGCGCTAAGGCGTTGTTTGATCTTGCCGAAGAACAGCCTGTTGAAACACGTATGATTACACGTTGAAATGTATTGAAGCGGGCAAGCCTACCTCTTAACCACACTCCCCTTGTCCTCTTGATCGCTCATCCCGTCAAACTTCAGTAGCGCAATCTCAATTTGGAACAGGCAGTTATCCATGCACTCCGAGACGTCGTGCTGTTTCCCTATGCAACTGTTCACTCCGAAAATCCCCAATTGACAATACATAACCTACCAAACATCATAACGGACTCCGAAGCCACTTGCGATTTCCGTGCAGGAAGTGGCGGCGGTTTTGGCACCTCTGCTTGTTGTGTTTGCATCTCCACGTCTTGTGTCTCCGCCGTAGCAGTCTTCGCCGTGTTCGCTGCCGAAAGTCCAGCATTGGCTTCACCACGCAATCGAGGAAATTTAGACCTACGCGGTGATTCGACTTGCTCCGCCGTTGACGTGGACGTTGATGGCTTGCTTGAGTTAGAGCTGTCAACGTCCATTGCCACCTCGTCCCGGGAGCGTTTGCCCAGGATGGAGTCGCGGCGCGACAATGCTGCCGGTGGCTGGACTGATGCGGGGCCATCCTCAACCAAGGTAGCGTCTGTATCGTTGGATGCATCCGTACCTCCGCGATCTGCTTCGTCGTCTTCTTCGTCTCGCGAGGTGACCAGCGCTAGCCGCGCCAGCTCCTCAGCAGGCGTTACTGATGCGAGCTCGCAATATTCCAGCTGCCAAAACAGATCAGCCAGGTATCTGACGACTATGGCAAATTTCATCAACATCCAGCAGGGGGAGAGCGAAATAGTGAAAATACATTTCTTGGAACGAAGAATTTCGCGCCGGGTAACAAGTCGGCCGCCAACTCGGTGGCGTTTGAGGTCATCGTCAGAAAATTTCTCTTCCTCAATGGTTTTGATGTCGGTATTTGCCAATGGCGCAATTGTCTCTCGTAAATCCTTGATGGTATAGAAATACTAAACGAGTGCATCAGCAAAGGAAATTTGAATTCGCCAGTGTCTTACCTGTAATAATGAGTTAAGGTAACAGGTATTTCCCAGTTGATTAAGACCACGAGGAAGCTCTGGTCTCGCAGACATCACCACGTCGCCGGCTGAAAATTTCTTCAAAAAAAGATATGAGAAAGGCAGACAGAAAAACTTACGATCTTGACCAGTCTCCAAGAATTGTCTAAGTCTAGCACTGTCTCGGACTTCCGCGATGGCATTAAGAGCCTCTCGCCAGCGATCTGACTGCGATGGCTGCTCCTCCACCTACAAAACTATCATGGCACTGCTGCTTCACGCAATAAATGTGCACTCACCCGCATGCAATAAACTGTTAGAAGCATAGAATCCTCTACGTCGGTGGGAACCTCAAGGACAGTATACGCTCTTGATGGATCCATGATATTACGAGATGACTCCGCCCAAAGTGTTCGCAACTTCGCGCTCTCCCGTGCCTCTGCGATAATTCGGAAGGCGTCGTTCGCGTCCCTCTGCAGCTGAGAGCAGTTTTCTGGGTCTCTCCACGCACGGCGAACCGCATCTCGCCAGGCGTCCGCGATAAACTCCTCCGGCACATCGTTGTCCAGCTCGACTCGCAAAGGGCCTTCTGGGCCAAATCCGAGTGCTTCAGCTGCTCGGTTGCAGTCCTCGTCTGTGTAACGCCCGCGCCCGCGTTCTTCCATGACAAGGTTTTGAAGTTCCTGAGGCGGGATGTCGCCACGATCTTGCATGGTCCGGACGATGCCATAAAAATGCGAGAAATATATGGGCGTGTTCTTGGGATCGCACCGACATTGAGCCATGTATGCGAAATTGAGAAGTTCTGAACGGAAGTCAGTCACCCAGTCGTAAAATGGATTATAGACGGCTAGAGAATGCGTACCCCAGGAATAAGAAGTGGCCGTCATCCCTAAACTCTCCCAAGAGTGCTCGATTGGTCCATAAGTCAGCGAAGTGGGAGGTAGTGCTCGTGCCACTGTATCCAATAATTTAGTGACGGGGAAAGCACCAATAAAAGATACGGACATTGATCTGGATGAGCACCGATACCAGTCTGGTACATCTCGCGTGCACTCTCGATCTTGATCCACATCGAGTGCGCCTTGTACTCCTTCAAATTAATAGCTGCCTGAAATCAATCGATGATAATGTATGTAAATGTAAGTACTCACAGAAGCGTTTATGATAGTCTGCCACCCACGCGCCCAACTCTACCCAGAAGCGAAGCATTCTCGCGCGGTTCCGCCTGCCTTCTGCCGTCTCGATGTCTGTTGTCGGTGGGTTGAGCGACATTTCCCGGGTATCACCTGGGCCCTCCGTTTCCTTCAGGACGAACCCTATTGCCTCAAACATGACGCGGCTGATACAACTGAATGAGCGCAGCGTTCGTCTACGTAAAGTATGCCTCACACAGTATCCGACCAACCAATCTTGGCTTGGAACGTCTTGCGGTGGACGGGCAAGGGCCGCACCTCGTTCTTCCATAATCTGTTTTCAACGATGCTAAAAGGACGACCATCAACATTTTGAGCACAGCAGAGACGCATATACGCACGTGAGGAATGTCTCCCATCCTGCTATCACACTTTCTTGGGGGTTCTTGCCAACCGCGGGATTGCTGAACCGATCTCTGGAGTATTCGTCGACGTACTTGGAAGCCGCGACACCTGGAATGACACCCGAAACCACACAATACAGCGAACACTGACAGCAGACGTAAAGATCTAACAAGTCACCCTCCTCTTCTGGCTTTGGATCCTCGTCCATGTTGGCCTCATCGGCGGGTGTAGCAGACGGTCCTGAGCTAGGTGTGCCCGAAGCAGAAGACGAAGCGGACTGCGTGATACCTTCCCAGCCAGTTCTGGAGAAAGGTGGGTTGAGCATCTTGGCGTCGACAGCCTTTTCGTAGCGATGGAAATGGTGGGTCTTGTTCATCTGTCCGAACGGTTGCTCTCCTAGGCAAGACGTCGTGCGCTTGCGGCGTTCTTGGTCAGGGAATGGATTGTAATTTTCCGGTTTGAAGGACTTGGCGAGTGGAGGAAGGATAGATGAGGATTTCCATTGGAGTAGGACCCAGCCATTGTCTCTCCGGCAGTAGTACGCATTTGGGTGCGGGATGGCATATATGAGATCGTCATTGGAGGGTGGAGGGTTAGCCCCCGCCGAACGGTTCGAAGTCGATGTTTCGGCCGTGTCCTGCGCAGGCTTAGGCTTGAGATCCGGAGGCGTGATGCTCACAGAGAAGAGCGAATGCTCAGGATCATGCAAGTACTCTGCCACCCGCGGGGGCAGGATACCCGGTCCTGGCCTCCTGTGCTGCTCGCGCACGGCTGGGTCCCACCAATTCTCCTCCTCGTCTTTATCCCGCCCGTCGATATCTGTCACGGGCGCGACGGTGGAACCCCACCCCGAGGCGCCGTATGTGTTGCTGCCGCCCCATGAGCCATCCCAGGGCGTAGGGCCCGTCTCCCATGCCTCGCCGCTGCCGCCGCCGCCGCTCCACCCCGTGTTATCCGTCGCGTTCCCTCGATCCATCGTGCGTCCGCGCGTGTGGTATGAGCCCGCCCAGGAGGAAGTGTTGTCTGGTGGGATGAGGTCTGGAATTTGATCGTCGCCGATGAGGGCTTCTTCAACGAGCTGCGGTTCGCGGAACGAGCTATGGTCTAGGTCGTGGTATGTGGGAGGAGGCGTTGAGATGGACGCGATCTTCGTGTGCTGCGATCCCAGGTTCTGATTCTTGGGACGAGAAGGGAGGGGCGGAGGATGTCCGGAGCCAGTGGCATAGAAGCTCGCCGGCTCGACCGGACCTGTGGTACTCGAAGGCGGGGGACCAGAAGAAGTTGGTGGCGTTATAGGCGGACCAGAGGGCATGTGTCGACGTCGGATATAGAGTCGTTAATATAACGTAGAGGTGACTTTGAATGCGTTCAATTGGGGTTACGATCTGCGCAGTTCAAGGGCAAGGACTTAGCACATCGTTGATTCGACCAAGAATCTGCACAAACTGTTTGCGAACAGTAAGAATAAGATCATTCACCCAATGTCATCTAAGCTACGCCTGTGATATAGCGAAAGTGATTTAAGTCCTGGACGCGTCAGTTGGCGATGACGAGGGCAAGTGCAAGCGCCAAAACGTTCGTGTCACTGTCACGTTCCACACACGAGTCCACCTCCGCGGGCGCTATCAATTTATGGCTGCCAACGTGACTTTGTTTAGCGCAGCGTATTTTACGTTGTAAAACTGTTGTAAATCATGCTTCTGGCTTTTTCTTACATGAACGGGAGCCGCAAAGAATAATACAAAGCTTCCTGTTCGTGTGTCAAAGGGTAACTACAGCACACTACTATGGGTGTTCTACCACCGACCAAGCCGTCTAGAATTTGAAGACCTACGATATTGGTGAGCATAAGTCCGTGTCGCAGAATGAACGAGCAAACTAACCTGCTCCTGGGTATAGCCCATCTGCTTCAAGATTCCCTTGAACTCGCCCTGGTCACGGCCAGCCTTGTCACCAGCGAGGGCCTCCATCTGCGGCGGAGGACCTAAAGTAGCCATACTCGTAAGTGCTGATGATAACCGCGCACTAGTCCGTTACTTACCACAGACAAAAACCTTGACCTTCTCCTTGAGGTCAGGAGAGGCCAAGTGCTTCTTGATGAGCTCAGCGTTTACGTAGCCAGTGGGACCTGAGCAGTTACCGTAAGTGAATGTTTACTAACGGAGTACCTCGCTGAGAGTGCGACTCACCAGTCCATCCTTTGCTGGGCTTATCCAAGGTATAGATAACGTCGAAGTTGTCGGGGTATTTCTTCTTGAGATCTGCGAACTCCTGCTTGAGGAGGATGTCACCCTCGGACACATTAGCATAGATAAGCTTGAACTTGGTCTTGTTCTCCTTGTCGCGGAGGGCATGAACCAATAGCTGGTACATTGGGGTGCTGTACGCATCTTAGCACAAGCGAACGAAGTGTCCTATTGAATGACTTACATGCCACTCCCACCAGCGACCATGCCAACCTGCTCGAACTCATTCGCTGATTCATTTATCAGCAACCAGCAGCGAATCGCACTCAACACTCGCGCAACTCACTCTTCCATGCGAGCTTAGGAATAGGTCCCTTGACTGCAAGCGAATCGCCCTCCTTTAAGGTGTGAATGTACTTGGAAGCGACGCCGGTATCATACTTCTTGATCAGGAAGATGAATTCTCCCTTTGCATCGGAGGTAGAGATGGGTGTATACGGCCGAATAACTGGCTTTCCTTTGTCGTCTACAAGGTCATCGGGATTCGCTGCCCTCAGGTAGACGCAAGACGTAATGGGCATCAACGACGCCTGGTTATCAGGCAGCTCCAAGACAAACCTGCGAGAAACGGGACGTCATCAGTGTGACTGCGGCGCAAATCAACGGAATCAATTTACTAACTTAGCAGTATTGTGGTTGTAAGGCTCGACCTTTTTGAGCTTGAAGTTAACCCAGTTCTTGGGGTCAAGCGGGCTCTTCTCCTGGACGGCAGCCTTGGGCGCTGCGCTCTCACCGCCAAAGCTGGTGTATGCATATGCCCCGAGGCCAAGGGCGCCTGCACCGGTCAAGTATAGAGCAAGGTTTGAATTTGACTTTTGAGGAGCAGCTTGACTCGAGTTGAATCGGACGCCCCGGGCCTATAACAAGGGCAATAATAGTCAGCACTTTGCGAATCGCAAACCTAGACGTGTGTGCACACCAGGGTTCTCGCCGTCACCGCGCCGCGGATGAAAGACATGTCGAATATAAGCTATTTGAGTTCAGTTGGCCAGTCAAGACAACACAAGCGCTGTAGCGTTGTGGTTGCGTGAGTAAGAGACGAGTTGCCCTTCCGTATTTCTCCAGATGTACTTACGCGCCTGCTTATGTGACGCCTGAGAAAAGTAACGCGGTGCCCGAGCGTGTTCGTGGACGCCGACAGCCACGCGTCGGAGGCCTGACATCTTTACTCATTGCTGCTGAGCTCATATTTGCCACGCTCGGAAGTCTCCGTGGCAGCTGGCAACAGCCGAAACAAAGCCGAAATGAGATCCCCTCGAAGGTTGCTGCTGTTCGAGTCTCGAGATGGCGTCAACGCCGTAGCAAAGCGAGCCAGGGCAAGTCTAGACCGTGTCACTCGGCCACAGCCACGACCGATCATTTCCCTTTGACCAGGAGGTCGCCGACACCTTTTGCCTTGTCCATTACAGAAAATTTCTTGGAGGAATCCGCCGGTGGCGGTCAGGTGAGACCTCGATCACTGCTTTAGTCCAATGTATTTCCGTACAGCGCTAAATCACAGAAAAAGGAAAGGCTTTTGAAGAGAAATGGATGCTTCGTCCATCTTCGTGCGCAGTTTCTGATAGGCACTGCGGAGCTGTCTACGGCTTCTGGGACCCCTGAAGCTCATGTCAGGTTTTTGAAGTTCAAATGCGAATCCGGACCTTAGCCTAGGGTTAGATTAAATTCCTGATTTGGTGGTACCGATCAATTCAAACACCCGCCCCAACACCCCCGGCTTAGGGTTATCTGAATCTCTTCCACCGAGCTCGCGCTACCCAACCACCCTCATCCCGCCAGGGCACCTTCTAGTCTCTCCCTTATCTTCCATCTCTGAAAGGTCCTGCATTGACGAGAAGCGTGCGATGTCTTTCGTGAAACTCAGCATCTTCGGCACCTCCTTCGAGGTAGGCATAACATCTTGACTGGCCTTGGGGGGATCCTTGATTTACGAGCGATCGTTTGTTCAGGTCACAACTCGCTATGTCGATCTACAACCAGTAGGAATGGGTGCGCTCTTTCTCCTGCCCTTGTTGTATCTTTTCAGAAGACTAACGCCGCTTCCAAGGTGCCTTCGGTCTTGTTTGGTACGCGACTATCGCCTCGAGAAGAGATCTGACCATTTTCAACAAACGATAGCTCAGCCAAGGACCAGCTTACCGGTTCCTCCGTTGCGGTTAAGAAGATCATGAAGCCCTTCAGCACCCCCGTTCTCAGCAAACGAACGTATCGTGAACTGAAGCTTCTCAAGCACATCCAGCACGAGAACGTATGTAGCTCACATGGCAAAGAATCCCTCACCCGAAACTAATTTTTAACTCCTTTTCTCTGTTCTAGATCATTAGTTTGAGCGACGTGTTTATCTCCCCTCTGGAAGATTTGTGAGTGGCGTCCTTGTCGAGTCGGCTGCCGATGGCTGATGGTTTTGACAGGTACTTCGTGACCGAGTTGCTTGGAACGGACCTTCACCGCCTTCTGACCTCGCGACCGCTGGAGAAACAGTTTATCCAGTACTTCCTCTACCAGATTCTGGTGCGCACATATCTGGGCTCACGCTCATTGTTACGGACTAACACGCATTGCAGCGGGGATTAAAATACGTACATTCCGCCGGTGTTGTTCACCGTGACCTTGTGAGTGTTTCAGGGGCCTGATTAATATGGGACTTAAGTATGGTCAAGAAACCCAGCAATATTCTCGTCAATGAGAACTGTGATTTGAAGGTAAGTAAAAAGTGCATCTCCTTATGTGCTTCTATCAATGACACATGACATGCAATTCTTAGATCTGCGATTTCGGGCTTGCTCGTATTCAAGATCCTCAGATGACTGGTTATGTCTCGACACGATACTATCGTGCACCAGAGATCATGTTGACATGGCAAAAGTACGATGTCGCGGTCGATATCTGGAGCACGGGTTGTATATTCGCCGAGATGCTGGAAGGAAAACCACTTTTCCCTGGCAAAGACCGTAAGTCGCACTATTAAAGTACGTGCTTTGAAGATTACTGAACATATATCATAGACGTTAACCAGTTCTCTATCATCACGGAGTTACTCGGTACACCACCTGACGATGTTATTGAAACCATTGCTAGCGAGAATGTGAGTATGACAGTATTGAATCAGGAGGATATCTCAAGCCGCTTTCTATAGACCCTTCGCTTTGTTCAAAGCTTGCCAAAACGCGAACGTGTACCCTTCAGCCAAAAGCTCCGGACGACGGACCCTGACGGTGAGGAATACAAATATTGGCTACGTAGCTATAATTTTGATGCGGGCTTTAGCTCTTGACCTTCTTGAGAAAATGCTTGTCTTTGATCCTCGTAAGCGCATAGACGCGACTGAGTCATTAGCTCATGAATATGTCGCACCTTACCACGACCCAACCGATGAGCCTGTTGCTGCGGAGCAATTTGACTGGAGCTTCAACGATGCTGATCTTCCAGTTGACACCTGGAAGGTGATGATGTATAGCGAAATCCTCGGTATGTGGCACTCATCAATCTATCGTCTTAAAGAAAATGCTCTTAAATTTTTTTGGTAGATTTCCACCAAGTTGGCGACACGACCGTCGCTGGCCAGATACCCGAGGGCGCATTGGCCGGACCAGAAACCGCTCAAGCGGCTGCTGCCATCGCATCCGCCAAGTAATCGTCGTTTACGGTTAATTATCCTACGCGTCGACACTTTCATTTCTTATCCCTACCTTTCTCCCGTGCACCTTGTACCGCTGAGGATCCTATGGTGATTCTTGTTCCATCATTCCTTTATGTCCGCTGACGCTTTCATCCGAACCGATTGACTCGACTTGTTTACTGACACACGATGTACTTTGTAAAGAGAAAGCGCGAGAGAGAAGTCTTCATATACATGTATCCTCACGACCCGTAATACACGCAGGGTTTGATAAAAGCATGGCTTAGTTCTGTTACTATAGAGATGCTTATACTGTATCATACCATATACACGAAGCGGTACCTAACGCACACAGTTTTTGTCATTTTTCTTAGTCTAGTTTTGAGTTCAAGACGCGAAACGTGTCATTGCGGGGCCGCAGACAGCAGAAGCTCGTGGTCCGATCAAGGACGACTCCTTGAGTGATGTTGATGCGGACGCGGACGCGTTCGGTGTGATCAAATCATATGCCTGCTCTTGTCACGCGCCCCCGAGCATGTTGATAACGACGCTTTCGGGTGTTGACCCCTTTGTCATCGTCTTCGGCCAGTTGGCGTCTGCGCCCTATCTCTACTAAGACACCGTTCAGCGCTTGAAGAGACCAGTGGATGCCTCCCAGACGAAGGCCGACGGCTTTCGAACTCAGCTTCCCAGATGAACCTCGGGACGAGCTCAACAGTGAACTGGACGCACAAACGGGAAGGCCACGACGGAGAGATGCGAGTCCTATAGCTGATAGCAGGGTGCGTTGTTTCTTCCTCGTGAGCGCCCACTTTGCGTGACGTACCTCTTAGAATCAAAGGCGCCGTACGGTCGAGGAAGCACCCGCGAGAGGTCAGTAGCAACCGGAACTCGGCGCCACAACTTTCCATATGATGTACTTTCAGATAAATACTATGAGCCTCATGGTATAGCGCTCGAAGAGACCGCTGACCTACAACTCGAATTCGAACTTGAGGCAGTCCCAGGAGATAACACGCGACCTGTACGCGTGCTGACGCGTTTTGCGTTCTTTGACACCGGCAGGGGTGACCTGTTGGTTGACTTGGAAAACGTCAAGAAACCGGGTATGACCGTACGAGGTGCCGGCATTGTTCTACCGTGCATTGAGAGTGAGGAGGATGAGGCTATGGACGATGACCTGGACAACGAAGAGAAGCCCACTGAACAGGAGCTTCGTCTCGACGAGATCTTGGATTGGGAGATAGACTTCACAGATCGAAACAAGTGCGTGCACAACGTATCTATACGTATCTGGGTTTCTCTGACCTCCAAGGTTGAAGACCGCTGTACATCAGAACCGAGCACAGCTGGTACGAACTATCGAGTCCGTCGAACAGGTACCGTCGGTACTACCGCAACTTCTACAGGCCGCTTCGAATCCAGCAGCTGGTCATCTCGACAGCCCATGTCGACCCAACTCTGTCATATACAAAGTTTTTGGAAAATATCGATGGCATCGACATAGTTGGCAAGGTAGTCGACCAGAACGATATTCGAAACTCGGAGAATGTAAGAATTCGTTGGCAAAAACCAGAGCGACAGGCTTGCCAACTCTGAGCTAAACGCCATCAGGTCAACCGCTTACGTGCAACTCTAGAGACACTGAATGACGCAGACCGCCTGCGCGACTCGCGGCTGATACGTGAGCTACTCAATCAGGCCGGCCCTCCTCCGCTGCAGCTGGCCTTCATCGCTCCTCCGAAGCAACATATAAGACTCAGAGTTCCCCAGCCCCTGATAGGTAACCTGGACAATGCCGTCCTTCGCCCAGAATCGCAACAGCCGACCCACGTTACTCCGACCATTGCAGAGTTAGCGAAGGGGTATTTTCGAGGAGAAACTCTCCAGGTCGTGGGCACTAGGCCTAAACAGGAGCCAGAAGCGGACCAGGGACAATTACGTCTTCGGCTTGAGTCATTCTTGGGACGCGCTCAACATGGACACAGACGCATTCGCGTCGATGGGAGGAATCGGGTTCGGCCCCGCTCGCAGTTCTTGAAATGCGTGATGGTTGACGGTATAGAATATTCGGTAAGACTAGATTAACTCGTCAAGTTTGAATGAGGTGTTGAATATCAAAGCACAGGTTGGAGACACTGTAGTGCTCGCTTCTGGTTCCACGGACGGCAGGAGGCCGCCAGAGCTACCCCAACCTGATCAGGCTGCCCGCGAGGACCAGCTTTCGGACTACTTTTGGTAAGCCTTTGTTAGCATATTATGCTTTGTGGCTAAATTTATGTTATGCAAGGTTCGCCAAAATCATACGCATCCAAGAGAACGAGACGATGCACGTCCACTGGTTCGAGCACAGCTCCAAGACGGCGATGCGCGAGATTAACGATCCTCAAGAGCTCTTCATGACAGACACGTGTAGCACCGTGAAGCTTTCTGTCCTCGTAGGCATAGTCAATGCCCACTTTGTCCCACTGGGAGAGAAACCTCCACGGAAGAATTACCGTGATTATTTCTACAGGTCTGCTTCATCCCTCATTCTTACATAATCACTGTTTCCTCATTAATGGCGTAGGTTTAAATATGATGCGAACACTGGCTCATATCAAGACATCGACGTCAAGCTCGAGGAAGAAGTGCGCGCGGAGAATCCGCCAGACAATTGTCCAGTCTGTAAGATTATTGAGAAGGACGACATTAGCCGCCATGCCCAGCGGATAGACCGGGGCGTGTCCTGGCAAGGAGTCGACTATCATATTGATGACTTTGCTATGATCAAAGCCGATTCAGGACCCTGCCACATTGGACATATTGTGGAAATTCGCTTTCCAACGAGACCTCGAGATGGCGATGTCGAGGCCCATGTCGCAGTCAAGTTGTACGGCCGTGTTGATAGACTCGGGATGGAGACGGAGCTTCAGGACGAGGTATTATTTTTTGTGGAAATTATCTCAATGTATGATTGACAGAATATGTTGTTCCATTATAGCGTCATCTATTCGCAACCGACACACGAACAACCGTCCCCATACACCGGCTTGGCGGCCTATGTCATGTCATCGTACCCCCGTTCCACGACTTTGACGTGCAAAAATGGCTCGCCGAGTCGCCCCGGCACTTTTTCGCCAAGTTTTACTTCGCGTCGCTCAACGCGGTGTGGTGGCAGCGCCGCGCGCTGCGCGAGGACGAGGTGACTGTGTGCAAGGACTGTGTGCCGAAGGACCGGAACGAGTCGAGAGCACTAGATAGGTTCCTGGCAGAGGGCAAGCCCCTGCGCACGCTGGATCCATTCGCGGGCGTCGGCGCGTTTGGGATGGCCATGGAGGAGACGGGCGTGGTAAAGGTCACGCATGCGATCGAGATTTCTCCGAGCGCTGCGAAGACGCTGAAGTGCGTACCCCAACATGGTTTATTTTCCTCTTCATTTTCCCAATTTAACATGACCTCAGGCGCAACGCGGCGAGGGATGTCAAGGTGTACAACCAGTGCGCAAATCTCATCCTCAAGCAGTCGATCAAGAAACACGAGGGGATTCCTGTGGATGAGCTCAAGTCCATCGAGGATGCACCCCTGCCACCTCCACCTTTGCCGGACGAGATTGACTGTATCGTGGCTGGTTTTCCTTGGTATGCATACTGTCTTTACCATAAATTTGTTTCGTTGAATAATTTACGTGCATTCATTTGCCAGTCAACCACATTCTCGGATGAACATGTATCAGCGCACGACAGACAGCAAAACATATCTCATGCTGAACCTGCTTTCATGGGTCGACTATATCAAGCCCAAGTATATCATGTTCGAGAACGTTCGCGGCTTCCTCTCGTTCCGTCTTCGTGCACGACAAAAAAACCGACATACCATTACCGGAGGAATCGAGATGGGCGGCCTTAAGTTCTTGATAAGAGCTCTGACGGAAATGGAGTATGTAACATCTTTAAAGTGTAAACCTCAATTCAACGTTAACATGGTGTCGCTAGCTACCAATGCCGCTTCGCAGTCTTACAGGCTGCCCACTACGGAACGCCGCAGGGACGCGTACGTTTCTTCCTCGTCGGAGCGCGTCGTGGACTGCCCCTCCCCGATCTCCCACAACCATCCCATGATTTCCCGCTTGAAGACGCCCTCGTCATTCATCTCCCTGGCGGGCGCGATGTCCATCCCATTTTAGCGGTCCAAGGCACAGCGCCGCATCGATTTGTTACAGTTGAAGACGCTATTGGGGACCTCAAACGATTCGACTGGTACGTCCCATCTCAGTTTCCACGGAATCATGGTCCTAGAAACTAAATGATTCTCCTAGGAGAAAACCCAACCCCGCCCACCCCCAAGCCAACGGAAACAACAACGCTCTCCAGCTCCCATCCGTAGTCTGCGACAACGAGCGCGCGTTCTGCGGATACCAAGGCCCCAGCGCCACCGTGGGCTACGAGTCCGAGCCGCGCAACACCTTCCAGGCGTGGGCGCGCAGCCGGCCGAGCACCGACATCCAGCAGTACACGCGCACGTACGAGCCCACCAAGGTCGCGCGCGTGATGAGCGTGCCGATGCAGGCCGGCGCGGACTACCGCAGCATCCCGCGCGAGCTGTGGGAGTGGCAGTTCGCGAACCCGTCGTCGGCCGTCGCGCGGGGCGGCTTCCGCGCGGGGATGTACGGGAGGATTGATCAGGACAAGTGGTTCCAGACGACGGTGACGAATGTGGATCCGACGGCGAAGCAGTGCAAGGTGTTGAATCCTTGGGTATGTCGTTTGAGTGCCTTGCTGGGTGGTGCTGATTGTGTGGTGGTTCGAAGTGCAAGCGCATGGTGACCGTCCGCGAGCTAGCGAGGAGCCAGGGGTTTCCGGACCACTTTGTGTTTTATGCTGGGGCGGATCGTATCCTTACAGTGCGTGTCTTCTCGCCATATTGTACAATGGACAATACCTGAGGATCGGCTAACTTTACGCGTAGATGCACCGTCAGATCGGTAACGCGGTCCCGTGGCAGGTCAGTATCGCACTTGCGCGCGAACTGCGGTCGGTGGTCGTGAAGAGGTGGCATGAGGACAGACAGCAGGAGGAGAGGGAAGAGGAAGATAGTTCAGGGCGATCTCAGCATCGCGAAAGTCGAAGCAGAACAGCGAGGAGTGAGGACATGATGGAGACTGACTGAAGGGGGCCTGCACAGAACCTAAGATCTCGCGTTGAGTTATTGGCGGATATTTAGCTTTACTCTTGAATACCTTCAGCAATGCATCAGATCTGTTCAACTTGAGCCTCAGTCGCTGTCCCGCCCAAGTACTTGAAGCGATTATTGCTCATCATCGTCTTCACCTTCTTCATCAGCGACCTCATACCCAACCCACACAACCTCAGAACAGCTCCCGCACGCAACGAGATGCACATCCCGCTCCATCTCGCCCTGCGTGATCCTGTACGCGCCCCCACACCTGCACCCATGCATCCACACCCCACCCTCCCCTTCTCCGCCCCCTTCTTCCTCGACTTCCTTGCAGAGCACCTCGGCGAACTCCTCGAGCGAGACAACCTGCGCGGGCCTCGGCCCGCTCCGCCCTGATACAGCACTTGCGGCTCTCAGGGCACGATCGTACGCAGTGCGCGAGGCGGGGTGCGACAGTGTCGCGTACGCGTCTTTGAGGCGCGCGATGTCCACATCCTCGGGCGGCGTAGAGCCGGCACTGGAGTTCGGAGTATGAAGAGAGGGGGAGGGGGAGGGGGAGGGGGAGAAAGGCTGGCGCCGCTTGTCCGGATGGGACGCGAGCAGCTCGCGGTGGTACGCTGCCTTGAGCTCGACGGGCGTCGCAGAGGGCGGGACGCGCAGGAGCGCGTAGAGGTCTGCTGCTCCTGTGGGACGATGGGAGGGCGCCAGCGTGTGCGAGAAATCGAAGGACCTAAGGTTGGCTCGGAGATGGCACTAGTGAGTGCACTGGGTTAGTCGGCAAGATTGAGAATTTGGATTGAAGGAAATTGGGTTTGCCGTAATATTAACTACGTACAACAGCGTTGAATCGTGAAAGAACTCTTAAAGTGCTACTGTAATGAAAGTAGGTAATGTCAATTATCAGACGCGCATCCGAGTCCGAACTCTAGCAGTCGTAGTCCGACTATATATATACGTTCAAGTTGGTGGTTTGTAATGTCCTCGTAATTGAGATGGAGAACCTCGACCACGAGAACAGAACAAAATACCACGTATAATAGCTGTCTGAAGCAGAAGCAGAAAACCGTCGCATGCATATGCAGTACTGTAGCTTTGTACCACCCAGGCTTTCCGAGTCGGACGTCATCGGTATGGTCACTGACAGCAGCAGCAGCAGCAGCAGCAGCAGCAGCAGCAGCAGCAGCAATCAATCAATCTATGCCGTCAGCACACTACAATACGAATAGAAGTGCGAGGACCAAGATCCAAAGTTGAAAACAGCTGTGAATTAGTACCTAGTACTTAGTACGTAAAAAGGAGATCAAGAATGTAAAGAAAAGAAAACGACCTGCAGAGCTATAGAAATCCGGGATGACTACGAAGCATTAAATTACATGCGTTTCAAGGTCGAATTTCACTATTGCCGTATAGAAGTTCTTTGGTCCGTGTGACTTGACATAGAGCAGGAGCCGTGGATGAGAATGAAAGGAGGAAGGAGGAGGAGGAGGAGGGGGTATGGAGGTAAGCGGGGGTGCATACGTAGATAAATTAGGTCTCGTCTGGAGGTGCATAGGAACGGCGGGCAAAAGAGAGAATGAGAGAAAAGGAATAGGGCGGGCGGGCGGCAGATCTGGCCAGCATGAGGAAGCAAAGAGATCTGTTTCGGTCAGTGTCACCTAGCCGTCGCGCGCCTCACATAACAACGCAGTCCTTGTTATGCTTCCCGCCCGCCTCGCCGCCCGCCGTCTGCTCGCGCGAGATGACAGAGCCAGGCCCGCCAGGATGCGGCATCGGCGCGCCCGTCGCGCTCTTGAGCCGCTGCATCGCACGCTTGTCGCCCTGCTCCGCCGCGCGCTTGTAGTACTGCGTCGACCTGTACGCCATCACCGTCCGCGTCAGCCAACCCAGAAAAAGCAAAAAAGCAAAAACCCTCCCCGGTGTGCACGCGGAGGGAAAGGACGCACTCGGAATGATTCGGCGGCGTGCCGATGCCGACCTCGAGAAAGTACCCGACGGCGTACATCGCCTTTGCGAGCCCCGCGTCTGCGGCGCGCTTTGCCCACAGATACGCCTCCGTGTCGCTCTGCGGGAGGACGCCGGGCGAGCCGACGAGGTACCACGCGGTGAGCGCGAAGCATGCGTCCCGGTGGTTCTGCTGCGCTGCGATGTTCTGCCCCCGCCATCCACTATCAGCAGGCCACAGAGCGTAAGAAAGGGAGAGGACGCACGTAGTAATGTATACTCAGCGCCGGATCTTGCGGACACCCCATCTTGCCATACTCATAGCACTCGCCGAGCCTATACGCACTCGGCGCATACCCAAGCTCGCTCGCCTGCGCAAGCAGCTCCACCGCATACTCCACATCGACAAACACAACATTGTCCACCCCGCGCTCATGCAGCAGCGCGAGCTCATGCAGCGCTTGTGGGAACTCGGCCGTCGCATGCTCCGCCGCGCGCTTCAGCCACTTGACGCCCTCGCGCGGGCGGCGCGAGAGCCCGAGCTCGCCGTTGAGCTCCGCGATGCCGAGACGGTACATCGCGCCCGGGTGCAGCGCCGCGGCTGCCTTGCGGAAGAACTGCAGCGCCTTGGCGCTCTCCCTCCTGCACCCCCAGCCGTTCTCGCAGCACGTGCCCGCGCGGTACGCCGCATCGGGGTGGCCGTGCTTCGCTGCAAGCACAAACAGCGGGTAGGCGCTGTCAAAGTCCTGCTTGCCCTTGCGCGTGCCGAGCCCGTTCGCGTAGCAGTCCGCGAGAAAGTACTGCGAGCTCGGGTGGCCTCTGTCCGCGAGGCGCTTCAGCAGGGCGAGCGCCTCGTGCACGAGGTTCTCGCGCTTCTCGATCGCCTTCTCGATGTCCATGACGTTGCCCGCCGTCGGGGCGGGGATGGGGAAGGACTTGGACGCGTCGATCATGAAGACGGCGAACTCGAACTGCAGGTCCGGGTCCTGCGTCTTCTTCGCGTTCGCGCGGTAGAGCTCGAGCGTGCGCTCGTAGCTGAGCAGCGAGGCCTGGTTGCCCGGGCGCAGGTGCGAGTGGTCGAGCAGGGCGCCGCCGGACAAGGACGCAGCGAGGTTGGCGGCGGCGGCGGCGCCCCCGCCTGAGGCTTGGGAGTGGGCTTGGGAGGACATGGGCGGTGATGGGGCGCGCATGGATTGCGGACCCGAGCCGGGATGCTGCATGGGGCCGCCTGGGCCGACACCGTAGCCGCTGCCGACGCCAGCGCCGTTCATCATCGGGCCCGGCTGGGGCTGCCCGTAGAAGTCGTCGGCGTCACCGTTGCCGAGGTGCTGCTGGCCTGGCATCATCTGCCCTGGGTCGGGGCCGCCATCTTGGTAATACTGCTGATGTTGTTCTGGAGGGTACTGCTCAAACTGGGCAGGCTGGGACATGCGTGGGGACGGGGAGTTGTGGATGGAGCGTGATTGGCGGGGGCGACGTGGGGGCGGGAGCGGGTCGTCATTGTTGATGCCGTATGGATCTGGTTGTAGTTGGTCGTCGGGGGAGAAGAAGGAATTGGGCCGGGACTGAGATTGGGAGGCGGCAGCGTACATTGCGGTGATGCGCTTCCCGTGCTGATTGGGAGGTCGATCAGTGAGTGGTTCTTGAGGGCTTTAGGTAATCCGAGGTAGTGCTAGAATGGAAGGGAAGTTCTTGATGTGACTGCAGCGTCTGGCTGTTGTCTGGTAGGAGAGCAAGAGGAGAAAGGACGTTTTGAATATGAGGGAACTAGTGAAGCTTAGTTGCCGTGTCCGTGTCCGAGAGAGTAGGATAATAATATAACTGGGCCTATTATTATACGCTGTGCAGTGGACACACGTTCAAGGGAGTTGACTGCGAGGTCGTCGGTCCAGAAAAAGGGTGGAGGGACAAGGGGATGCTTGTCCATGAGGCACATCCCGTTGCCTTGCAATTCTGCTCGTCGATCCCCGCCAGTTGAGCCACCCGCTCCTCGGCATCTCCAGCCGAACTGGCTCGCCAACACACTTCTCTGTGCCTGGCCTCATTCAATACAGCATCCGCTCCTCCACTCTCCCACCGCCCAGCGTCCATGGTCATCAACGCTTTGTCTGCTCGTGCCCGCAAATTCCGCTGCGTAGCCGCGGCAAATTGCAGCTGTGTCATATATGACGTATAGTACACATTACATTGCTATAATAAAGTCATCCACACCCCCACTGGGACCCCTCGCACCCATACCCGAGCATATAATCACCACAAAAGAATACTGCATGTCCGAATCTATGCCTCTTCGACGCTCATATTCAGCTTGTTCGCCAGTGTCTCCATATACACCTCTGAATCGCACATAAGCACACAATGCATTAGGTGGGGCAACAATGATCAGCACTCACCCGTCTCGTGTCGCAGCTTCCAGTACTCCGCCAACAGCTCGTTGATCTCCCCCTCGCTCTTGCGCAGGTGCTCTCCCATCTATAACGTGCCATAACATAGTCAATTACCACATATCCAGGCAGCATTCACCGAAGATCCATTGAGTTCTTACCTGCCGCTCGATCTCGTCCGCCTCCCCGCGGAGCCCCTCGATCTCCGCGTCGTTCGTCTGCCGCTCCCGCAGCATATCGTCGTACTCGTCTTTAAGCCGATCCAGCGTCGCCTGCGCCGCCGCCCGCCGCTCCTCCGCGTGCCGCGCTGCCCGCTCGAGCTTCTCGTGTGCATTGGCAAGCTGTTTGTGCGCGCGCTGGAACCATTAAATATTAGCCCAACTGTGTGTAAGAACCAAGGAAAACTGGAGCGCACCTCCCGTTTCATCTGCAGCTCGCTGCGCTCTATCCGGCGGTAATCCAGTGAGTCCCGCAGATCCGCGAGCTCCTTCTGCGACGCGTCCAGCGCGATCGCCTCTTTCTCGATCGTCTGCAGCTGCTCGACGCACGAGCGTACTTCCTACCCTCCCTCATCAGCACCCATATCCATCCAACACCACCGCCCCCCCAAAAACGCACCTTCTCAATCTGCGCCAACACCCCCACCTTCGTCTGCAGCTCCCTCGCCTTCGCCTCATTCGCCGCAACCGTCTTGCGGTCCTCCGCCGCACTCGCGCCCATACTCGAGATATTACGCCGAATACGCTCGGGGCTCTGCACGATGCGCCCGCGCGTGCGCGACACGTTGTCCATGAGCAGCGCCGTGTCCGCCAGCACACCCTCCTTGCGCGCGAGCACCGCCGCCTTCTCGACCTTGAGCGCCTCGATGTCCTTGCTGATCGCCTTTGTCGTCTCCTTCGTCGCGAGCAGGTGCGCGGTGAGGTGCCCGTTTTCGCGCCGGAGCGCGTCCACGCGCGGTTCGTCTTCCGCGCGCTTTGCTCTGTTGTAGCGCGTAGAGTAGAGCAGAATAGAGCAGAATAGAGTAGAATATTGTTCGTTGGTCAGCACTGGAATGGGAATACGATGCAGATGGCGGAAAGACGCACTTGAGCGCGTTCAGCCGCCCCTCGATCTGCGCGCGCGCGCTCGCGGCCGCCTCGCGCTCGTCGACGACCTGCTCCGCGCGCTGCCGGAGGTTAGCAACGAACGGCTCGCACTGCTCGGTGAACTTGACAAAGTTGATGAACGCGGAGAGGATGAAGCGCGTGCGCTCCGCGTCCGGGTACGCCATGTCCTTGCTGCTGAAGTCCGTGATGCGCGCCGCCGCGGCGAACCGCGCGCTGTTGCATTTGGCATAAGGCATAGCTCGAGAAACTGGGAAGAGAAGGGGCGTACACGTGCTGCACGAGAAAATTGTGCGCGATGGCCGACTTGTACAGGTCCTAAATACACGCCCCCTTCAGCACCAGCGCACACATACACATACACGCACGCACAGGATTCGGATCGTCGAGCTCGGCGAGCGCGTTCTCGACCGCGCCGCCGAGCGCCTCGTTGGTGACGCTCGTGACCTGCACGAGGAACTGGGCGTAGACGTCGGTGACGAAGCGCTCGGTGGGGCGCACGAGCTGCTCCGTGCTCACGGAGATGTTCCACTCGTTCAGCGCGGTCATGATCTCCGGGATGGGCATGTTAGGGAACCAGTATTGGCCGGACATGGCCGAGTGGTGTTCTAGAGGTGTTTGAGATCAGATTCTCTTTCTTTGGGGAGTTGGTGCTCGAGAGGGAGGAAGTTAGGAGATGTAAAGACAAGACGCGTCGATATTCAAGGGTCACGTGAACGGCGCTTGAACGAAGAGTTGCCTGTTTTGGCACCGTAAGCGCTCGCTATTGACCCGGCGGTGCCAACGTTGTCAACATTGACCACGAGGAGTTGCTGGATTATTCGCGGCCTCGGCATTGTCAATCACGCTCTGGACTGTTCTCTCAATCTGCTCAGACTAGGCAGCGCCATATCACTGAGGGCCTTGACGCATCGATAACATCTTGGGCTGTGTAGTAACGAATATCTCCAGTGGATCGCCCCGCGCAGCTCTCTGTCACTGCACTGTACTCTGACGACTCAAGCAACACGCCCTAAACCTCCGACCCTCACCGCACCTTCCCCTCCCCACCTCCCCACCACCACCACCACCAATGCAATCCCTCCGCTCCCGCCGCCCCTCCGCCGCCGGCGGCGGCAGCACCAGCGGCCCCTCCTCCACGCCCAAACGCAGCGGCACCACCAAACTCGCCAAAGCGCCCACACTGCGCAACCCCAACCCCGCGCGCAAGTCCACCGTCGACGACAAGATCAAGAAGCGCATGTCCCTCCGCTACGCCGAGATCTCGGCGCCCTCGTTCCCGGACAGCGTCCCCGCCATGCCGTCCCTGCCCAGCGCGCTGCGTCCCGGTGCTGCCGCTGTCGGCTCTGTGGGGGGTGCGTCTAGGGGGCGCGCGGACGGGGTGGGGGTGCCTGGGGGGATGAGGGAGCAGGATCGGCGGGAGGAGGGGAGGGACGGGGATGCGGATGGCGAGGGTGAGGGGATTGGGGATGCGGCGAGGGAGAGGGAGGATGCGAGGGCGCTGGATAAGAAATTGTTGGGGCAGGAGGATTTTGACCCTGATAGTTGTCTGTGGTTTCTTGCGCATATAGTCTTTGTTGACGGCGCTAATTTACTGTGGATGGGCAGACCTCAAGGAGAAGCTCGCGAACTCGACAGAGGCAGAGCTCAAATCGCTTCAATCGTCCCTGCGCGGGTTAAAGGACGACACCGCCGTCGACCTGCAGCGCGACGTCTTCAAAAAGTACGCCCCCGCTCTTCCAAATCTCCACAATGCCCGCCGCTAACCGCCCCGCGTTGCACCCAGCTACGCCGAATTCGTATTCATCTCCAAAGAAATCTCCGTGCTCGAGAACGAGCTCCTCGAGCTCAAAGAGTCCCTCACCGAGTGGAAAAACATGCCGTCCCTGCTGCACATCGACGAGTCCGCCTCCGCCGCCGACCGCCGCCGCAACCTCCGCTCGTCCATCGCGGACCTGCGCGTGCTCTACGCAGGCCAGATGCAGACGCTGCACACCCAGATCGAGGGCGCCGCGACCCTCGCGCCGACGACGCCCGGCAGGCACGTCGTGCACGACCTCGACGGCGTTCTTGCGCTCAACCCGGCGACGTACCGCCCGACGCACACTGTCAAGTTTGTGGTGCTGGATGATGCTGTGCTTATTGCGAAGCGGAGGCGACGCGTGGGTGGCGCGGGCGGTGGGGGCGCGGGAGAGGGTGACGGGGGGAAGCTGGTGGCGGAGCGCTGTTGGCCGCTCATTGAGATGCTGGTTTTGGATACGAAGGATACGTCGAGTATGTTGTCCGCACTTTTTTCCGCTTTCGCGTTGACTCACCAGAATTATATCAGCACTCACAAATGTCTTCAAAGTGCGACACGGGAGGGAAACGTACGTCTTCCGCACCGAGGCCGCTTCAGACAAACGCTCTCTCCTGGCGCAATTCCGGACGGTAGCAGAGGAACTCGGGGCCAGACGGAGACGAGAGCGAGAAGGTGAAAATGAGCGTCGAAAGAGTTTGTACACTGGAAGCTTGACCGGAAGCGTAGGTCTCTTTCAACTTTTATAGAAAAGAACGAGGAATAATGCTAAATCTCCCCGTAGCGCGCCTCGATGGCATTCAACCCCGACACCATGCCCGCCTTCCCCGAATGGATGGCCGAGCTCGCGCAGCGCGCAGGCGGCGCCTCTGGCGCCCTCGGCCTCGGCGCTGGCGGGCCCTCGCTCTCGGGCGGTAGTGGCAGTGGCGGCGGCGGCGGCGGTACGAAAGAGAAAGACGAGCAGGACGCGCGCTGGGTCGGCGACTTCACGGACGAGCTCACCGTCGCGATCGCGCTCCGGCAGTGGGAGAACGCGGTCGCGCTCGTCGAGAAGGGCACGGCGAAGCAGGCGTCCATCACCGCGCTCGGCCCCAAGCTCGCGGCGCTGCGCGCGCAGCTGGAGGGCGCGCTGCTCGGGGTGCTGGCGCAGCCGAATGTGCGCAAGGCGGGGATTACGCGTGCGGTGGGGCATTTGGTGAGGCTGGGCGCGGCGCCGGCGGCGAGGAGGGCGTTGCTTGCTGCACGGGGGGAGGCGATCAGGGGGTATGTAAGGGCGATTAGGTTCGAGGGGCATGTGGGGATGTACGTGCATGATTTGTCCCTGGTGGTGTTTTCGGCGATTAAACACACGGCGGATTGGTATCTTGGTGCATTTTCTGAGACTGAGATGAGTAGTGGTGCGTCTCCATCCCTCTTCTTTGTTTTGTAGTATATGTTTGATTGACGACGACATTTTATTGACAGGCTTCATCGATTGGGCCAAAACGCAGCTCGAAGCATACGCAGACATGTTCCGCAAACAAGTTTTCGGGGCAGACGCCGACCAGCCTACGATCGATGAAGCGCTCGCCATCGCCCACGCACAACATCGCAAAGTCCTGCAAGAGTTTGGGCTCGACTTCCGCTTCCTCCTCGACCGCCTCCTCGTGCGCAACCCACCACCCGAGCCTGAGCCCTCCGTCTTCCACTTCCCCGCCGACCCACAAGCGCGCCTCGACGCGCGCAAGTCCCGCGCGTTCGCAGCGGCCGGGCCAGCACCAACGCCAGCGTCGGTCCCGCCTACCCCTACACCACCAATTACCCTTGCACCCGCCCCTGCGTCCGCCGGTGCGCGTTCGCGAACGCCAACGTCGCGTACCCAACAACAACAGCAACCACAGCAGCAACTCGCGGAGCCAACATCAGCGTCAGCCTCGCGTCCGCGCACGCCTACGTCGCGCACCCAGCAGCAGCAACAACAGCAAGCAGAGCCAACCTCGGCCTCACGCTCCAACTCGCGTGCCGCGTCGCCCGCACGCCCCGGTGCCGCGCGCCCCACGACGCCGACGAGGCCAGGGCTGCGGCGGAAGGACTCGGACGCGTCGACGAGGGGAAGTCGGACCGCGTATAGCCCGGCGCCGCCGCCGCGGTCGACGAACCGGCCTAGTATGTCGGCGCAGAGGCCGCCGCCGGTCGCTGTTCCGCAGCGCGATGGGATGTTTTAGTTGCCGCGCTCACTCGTACATGTGCTTTTCTCTCTCTCTTGCATTTTAACATGGATAATTTGACGTGAAGAACGATCTTTGCGTTGATAATGCAAAGGTGTACTGATCCAGGAAAGACAGTTGCACCCAAGTGGGATGAGGGCAACAGTCAGCCTATGGCGTACAGCCAGTTGCAAGGTAGAGCCTAAAAAGTCTAGGAGGCTGATAGATTGTAATCCAGGAAACTGAAACAGTCGTGTTGGGGCACGAGAGAGCACGAGAGTTGCTTGGAGTTTGAAGGTCTGGGGCATTGCATCAACGTGGAAAACGCGATGTCCAGAGCATCCAACGAGAAGCTCAACCAAGAAGGGCAAATCGTTCATCAACTGCTACATGTGGACGCAAGGTCATAATCATTGGCTGCGATCCCATGCTCAACTTGTGAGTCGATAGCGTTCTGTTAGTATGCGGTCTTTCCAGGTTTGTGCTTGATCATATATCATACGATTATCAACGTCGACCATCGTGGAGGTTGAGTCGAAAGCAGAGCTAATATACCGATCGCGTTCGAACAGGCGCTCGCACGAATCTTTCCTCACGATACCCTACAATGGAACTTCAAGTTCCTGTACCAAAAAGGTCGTCAATCGCAAGTCGCTTGAGTACTCCCAGGTTGCTTGTGACCATTGCCAAACTTTTCAGCCCAGTGAGCGTGACCTGGATTTTGATGATGATTCACCCTTGACCCAGTACGGAACCTTTCCTTCTACCTTTCTTTCTGTTTGGGGTCAGAACGACCAGGAGGCTGCCTGTAGGCATCAGGTTCATACAAAAAGCTGGTAGCATCGTGCACTCCGATTCGGGGTTAGCGCTTGCATGCGGACTTTTGACTTGTGGGTCCAAGGAATTATCATGCCTCATCTATTGGCCCTGATGTCGACTATCAGATCCAAGCATCATGCTCGTGGCCATGAACTTGTCTCAAAGTCCGCGTGTTTCATCAGCCTCCCTCGACTTGTATAAAAGATTACCTTGGTCGGGCAAGACCCCGTATATTTGTCATGATACGATCATAGGTTTCTCCGCAGCTTCTCAATTGAATGCCTGAACGAAGGCATTGCACGTTGCAGCTTCTAATCACTGCTGCAGACAGTATCCGAGTTCAAGTATCGGTTCCCTTCCCTTATGGCACGACATGCGGCGGAGAGCTGGATTAAGACCAAGGGCTCGAAACAGCTGCATATAGCACCTGGATCTCCCCCACCACTCTGAGCCTCGTTTTCTCCAGCGCCAAAGCTTCGACTTGACTTATATAAACAGTGTTCGCCCTCGGACAGCCGTATCACCATTTCTATCCCATCTTGGCAGGCTATGGACAGCGCATCCGATTCTCAGGGTAGTAAACGCCCAAGGTCTTTGTCAGGCACTAGTCCCGACGCCGTTCAGGCGAATGCGCAAGTGGGCGGGTCGCCCATACGATCACCACCCAAGAACCGCGTCAAGAGGGAGAATACATCGGTTGAGTGCAATACCCAGTGACGAATAGTAGCTGCTGTACTCACTTCCTGTAGACTCCGCCGCCGAAGACATACTGCAACTTGTCGTCACCAGCCTCCGCCGTTACATCCATACAGAGCAATTCTCAACGCCCGATGTCACAGTCCTCCCTCAGTTCCATCCCTGAAAGCGACCCAGTTGATCAGGCAAGTTTTGCGTGGTTGCACAACGATGACGGTCTGACAGAACATAGGCGCCTGCAACACTGGAGCAACAAGACGACACAGGGCGAGAAGACGACAGCAATATTAATCCCCTCACACGGAAGATGACCCCTCCTCTAGACGAGAATTTCTCTCGTTGGTCCTACCAGAAACCGATGGCCGAATTGGCTTCACCCACTGGCAGCAAGTGCCTGGTAACAAACCTAGCAAACTCGACGGTTATTGAAGGGGGCCATCTAGTAGCGCACAGAATGCACGCTAACGGACTCAACGTAAGATCTAAAATATAATGCTGTGCTACACAACGCTCACACATCATAGACGCATCTCTTCGAGGATGCATGGGGACCGGGAAATCCGATAGCTAGCAGGTACAATATGATCATGTGTAAGATTATATCTGTCTCATGTGTTCATTGGACTGCAGCCCTAACCATGTCTACCCAGTAAACGTTACATTCCACCGGTTTTTTGATGGACCGAATTGGGGATGGATGCTTATCCCTGAGCCAAAAGTTGTTCAGGAACTTTACGATCTATGTGAAAAGAGAAGAACTGAACGTAAAAATAAAGTCCAGGGGAGCACGTCGGAGCATTCGGAAGGGCTTAAGGGACCTGCCATTAACGAGGTACGCTTTGGAGTCAGCTTCTAAGGGTACTTTGGTGCCGCGTTGTTCTCGGATAATGTCAATCGCTTTCAGTACTTCCGCACGCGCATCACGCGTTATTATCTCGTGTCGCTGAGGGAGCGCATGCTGGACTGGCCGATTGAGCGGTATGAGACACATGAAGCTGTTACCGAGGAGGCCACCTTCCAGGCTACTGACAGTGAGCGCCTTACTACCACGGGAATCTTCTGTCACGAACAGGATATCAACGCTGAAGTCGCCACGCCAGATTCTCCTTCCGTCGCCCACTTGCAAGGTGATGGCTTTGATACGGAGGAAGTTATCGTAGACCCCCACGATTTACTTCGCGCTACCACCCCTGATGCAACTGACGGCGCCTCTAAAAATGGCGACACGCGTTCCTCACCTCAAAGCCATTCGGATATCACTGGGTCTCAGACTACAAACGAACTGGATGACGAGGGACCTAGCTTTGAGGAATACTCAAAACGAAACCCGCTGAACATCGGTCACTCAGACATGAGCATATACGAGGAACAGCTTGACCAACCAAAGCTAGGCTCATCTCACCGTTTTCCTTTTGCTAGATTGGGGTATCTCGAAAGCCACGCATCTCCCCATTTTGCTGTGTGCAACGCGATGATGAAGTTCTTCTCTGTGGGGGAGGAAATGCAGATTTCCTTGGTTCGAACGTTCCAAAGCATCCTTGATTATAATGAACAGGGAGGTGACCCGAACGCCAGTAAAAAATCTTTCACCCGCATGCGATATATGTTTGAGGAAATGTGGAGGTTTGGACACCTGAAGACATAAGCTTCAATGCATTACAGTAATAGGACACTTAGTTCTCCCCCGTAGAGTGCTCGAGTATCTAGCGACATAAAATTGTAGTAAACGTGCTTGGTATTGGCACAAATTAAACCCGGTCACCTAGGATAGAAAAATACCACCAGCAGCTCTAGGTACTATGCTCTCCAACGACGAGCTCAAAAGGACCACAGTTGGCCTAGTAGACGGGCAAGTAAACATGAAACTCAAGAGCAGCCCAATCATTGCTCGAAAACTGTCTCGAGTCCTTGCGCGTCACCTTCTGACGATACCACCACGGACGCCAATTGTGCCATTCGTCTTCTGCGAGTGGTGTCAAGGAGGGCTCGGCTCCATTGAAATTGGCGACCTGCTCATCGTTGAGGGTAACAGATTCCCAGCCTGTGTCCGCCGCTTCGCGATTGGCGTGAGCAAGCCACATATACACGTTCTGCCTTTTCTCGGGCCATAAAGTGGGCGAGAATAGGTTTGTGAGTGCAGAGTTATCCGTACTCGAGCACGTGACTAAACTAAGTGAGCCGCATACGCGTTCATATCGTCTTGAAGCCCGAAGACGATGTTTGAAGGCACGGGGGTTTGGACAGCTCATCCATGCGGAGCCCGCAGATACGATATCCATGGTAGCTCCTAGGGATGCAGTCATGGCGGCCAGCTCTTTGGTGTCAGTATGTTGGTACCACGCCTTCTCGCTCAGCAGTGATTCCTGCCAAGCAAGGACCTCCTTCAACGCGTGGCTCAGTTCTCCATGCGATTTTTTGAACTTGTCTTGCATCCGACGCATGACGAACTGTGGTCGAACATGACTGAAGATGGGGCTCAATGTAGCAAAAGGATAGGGATGCACCGCACGAGTTCGATGCGCTGACTCAACGGAAATGATCGCATCCTCCAATGACGAACTGGCGATGAAGTAGTACTTGAAAATAGTCCGACCGCGAAGCGTCTAAGGCGGTCGTTAGCGAATGCAAGCTATCAAGCAAGTCATTACCTTGTTCAGTTTGATACGGCGCTTCGCCGTTTGCCTCTGAGCCAATGCCCGGAGCGCGCGGAGGATGGGAAGCTCAGGAATCAGGAAGCAGTCACCACTATCAAAGAAGGGTTTCCATTCTGCCCCAACTGTACGCCATCGCCAACGTGAGAAGATGATAGATAATAAGGAACTTGGTACGAACCAAAAAGCGTGTTATACGGACTAGTGACGTCGAGACGCCGCCAGCCTACGCCCCACGCCCATTCAAGTTGCGAGAGCTGTGACATTGATTAGCGGGCGAAAACCAGAAAGGGAGATAGTGCAAACAAGGACGCACTGTTGTGTCATCCGTGTTCAATGGGAGCATATGGCAGCTAACAACATTGGTGCGCCGACCCGTGATCGCGCACCGACCTTGGTTCGGGTCTAGCTGCCTCGCTTTCTTGATATTCGTATGAAGGCCTGGTCTTCGCCGCCTAGCTGGCAGTCCAAGGATGCCATGACTGCGGAAGGATGGTGTTTGTGTGAGGCCGTACAGTTCATCGGCAGAAGTCGCAGTGTCCGAGCATGACTGGACCTCGCGATTGTCGGCGGTCTGTCGTGGATAGTCATTCTGAAAGCCACCCATGTGAGTGTGGGGGACAAGTTAGCCGTGACGTGATCGAGTAGGGTTTAACAGGATTTAACGTCAACAAGACGCGAGCGCGTCATTGTAACCGTCCCCAACAGCGGCGCCAGCACTAGTCACACTATGCGTGTCACACACTCTTTTGGAAAAGAACCACAGTGCGAACAGTGTGCGAACTCAGCATGCTGAACCATTGGCACCGACTCCATTCTCTCAACAATCTTTATAATTATACATCATAACATGGCTCAGACAGTGATATGTTTTCTGATTGTGGCCTAGGGATTGACGTGTCGTTCTCTGGCGTCAAAATTTACGTTCATGCCAGTACTAACTAATAGGCATTGACCATTATTCAACAAGTCCATGTGCGCTCAAGTTTGAGCAAAGGAGGTCAACCGGGTAAGTTACTGGGCAAGAGCAAAGTGAAGTAGGTTACACAGGATTCCCTGTTCGAGCGTTCAACAAATATGGCGCCGAATGGCGCTCTTCATCACCTCAGATCTGCTTCTCCCCTCCAAGCGAAAACGGAACAGTCACACTATGTTTCCTTGCCCAAGTGCTTGGTTTGACGTTGCCACCGCCTCCTGGTGAAGTTGCCATTGAATGTACATGAGGGTTTGTGCCAGATGCAAATGCAAACATAATTGTTGTCGATGTGCTCATATTCATTTTCCCCGAGCCCAGCGCCACCTGAATGCGCGGTGTATGAGCTATAGTTGATCGCCATGAGATGGTGCAACAAGGGGTGGAGTAGCCGGAATAGTTGGCAGTGCACAATGTGGCACGGGCTCGTTCAATGGGCAGGATAGATGCAACCAAGAACCTTCAAACGCTCAGTATATGGTTCTCGATAGTCGGTGTCACCGCTGGGCCGGTAAGTAAACGTGAAACTCAAGGGCCGCCCAGTCATTGCTTGAAAATCGTCTCGAGTTCTTGCGTGTCACCTTCTGACGATACCACCACGGACGCCAATTGCGCCAGTCGTCTTCCGCTGGCGGTGCAAATATAGGCTCCGCTTCTGCGAGGTAGTTGGCAACCTGCTCATCGTTGAGCACTGCAGACTCCCAGCCTGTGTCTGTGGCTTCACGACTGGCTTGATCGGACCACAAGTGTAGCTGTTGTTTCCGTTCTGGCCAGGACGCGGGCGAAGATGGCTCTGCTGGAAGGGCGAAGCTCCCTGTACTCGAACATGAGACTAAACTGAGAGATCCATGGGCAGGGAGATATCGTCTCGAAGGCCGGATGCGTCGTTTGAAGGCCTCATGGACCGGACGATTCATCCAGGTTGAGGCTATAGATACAACAAGGCGCTGGGCTTTTATACCAGCAACGTATGGAACAACCTCGGGAGGAACCTGTGCTCTTTCCTTCAGAAGTGATTCTTGTAGACCAAGGACCGTCCGTAGCGCATGGTCCAACTCGTCATACGCCTTCTTTAACCTGTCTCGTAACCTGCGAACGACGAAATGTGGTCGCACATGGCTGAAGATGGGGCCAAACCTAGAGAATGGATAGGGATGCACCGTGCGAGTACGATGCGCTGACTCGACGGTGATGAGCGCATCCTCCAATGACGAGCTGGCGATGAAGTAATACTTGAAAAGACTCTGACTCCTAAGTACCTACGCTTTGTTAGCAAGTTCTGAAGATGAACAAAGAGATCCACTACCTTGTTCAATCTGAAACGACACTTTGCAGTACGCTGCTCAGCTAGCAGATCAAGCGCGTGGAGGACCGGGAGATCAGGAATAAGACACCAGTCGCCGCTGTCGAAGAGGGCTTTCCATTCTGCCCCAACTACACGCCATTGCCAAGGTGAGACGACAGCGAGGACAAAGGAATCGCTACGAACCAAAAAGTGTGTTATATGGACTGGTGACGTCTAATCGTCGCCATCCTAGGCCCCATGCCCACTCAAGTTGAGTGAGCTGGTGTATTTGATTAGCAAGCGAAGACCAAAGAGGAGGACAATGCAGACGGGACGCACTGTTTTGTCATCCGTGTCCAATGGGAGCATATGGCAGCTAACAACGTCGGTGCGCCGGCCCGTGATCGCGCACCGTCCTTTGTTCGGGTCAAGCTGCCTCGCCTTCCTAACATTGACATGAAGACCTGGATGCCGTCGCCTTGCTAGGGGTTCATGGGCGGCACGTCTGTGTGGGGATGGTGTTCGTGTGAAGCCATAAAGTTCATCTGCAGAAGTTGCAGTGTCGGAGCATGACTGGGCCTCGCAAATGTCGGTAGCCTGTCGTGAATAGTCTTTATGAAAGCCACCCATGCGAGTGCGAGGGATAAGTTGGCCGTGGCGCGATCGAGTAACGTATATGGATTTAACAGGACTTGACGTCAACAAGACGCGACGGGTTGTTGCGCGTCACTGTGACCGTCCGCGACGGTGCTATTAAGTCACACTGGCCGCCTTAACTGGCACCTAGTACTGGCACTCCGAGTCGCTAGTCAACTTGATAGCAACTTGAAATACTCGCAACGCACTCTAACAGTAAATCTGGATATATGGCGATAGAGTCAAGATAGTAGTGGTATGGCTAGCTGAGGCTTATGGCGAGTTTACGGGGTTTCGCGCTACGACCCATAAGTGTGAGTCTGATACCGGTTACTATCGCGAATGAAAGACAGGAGTAACCTGCTAAGTAGCTTTGAAATTTACCCCTATATACCCTCCAACGATTCGGTGTATGTTGAAACTTTTTGAAATACTCGCAATCTAGCAAGTTTGAAGGTGGATAATAGACCGTTTGAGCAGCAACAAGTTTCCTGTAACTTTTGGCAGGCTCCACAGCGATTCCACCAATAGGATTTCTAGAAAAACTTCGAAATCTGTAAAGCTCAAACGGTCTAATAGGTATGATTTTCAAGTACTAGCTAGATGATTCTAAACTAGCAAAGCAGTAATCTCATCGCGACTAATCAGACGAAGTTTAAGTGTGCAAGCATAGTATATACTATGCGTGTATTAAATATTATAAACAGAATGCGCAATTACAGGATCGAGTCGGTAGAGGTTAGTATAGAATTATTAAGATACACTAGAGTTCCGTATAGTCCGATTCCTTGTTCTTTGGTCGAAAGTTCATCTTTAAGTTTCTCCGGGCCGCCGAGAGCCAGTTCTCCAGGGAAGAGTTTGCGAGGCAAGCGTGGCGAGTAGGTCGTGCAGAAGTGTCATAGAAGGTCGGTCGTACGCGGCTAATTTGGATCAATGTATCCGAACCGCGGGACCGTTCCGTTCATGAACCTGTCGTGGACGAGTGGAGTGGGCCAAACGGGTCGTGCACTTTAAAGGTGGTGTAGAAGGTTGGTCAACGTCATTGGTTTGGATCAAGTTAATGATCCAAATAGCAAGACGGTAGCCCGAGTCGTTCAAAAACCTGTCGTGGACGAGCGAAATGGGCCGAACGGGTCGTGCAAAGGTGGTGTAGAAGGTCGGTCAACGCCGTTGGTCTGGATCAAGTAAATCATCCAAACCGCAGGACGATAGCCCGAGTCGTTCAAAACCTGTTATGGACGCACAAAGTGGTAAGTCGCCTCATAAGCTCGCAGTAAAAGGGGGTGCAAAGTATGTACCTTTGTGCGGTGTCCGGATGGCCGCAACTGGACAGCGAGGGGACGCTAGTTGCAAAGTGCCGGGCGAGGCCGATGCAGACGGTTGTCCCAGGGGAGGCGTTCGCAAGGCGTAGGAGCGATAGGAGGACTTTGACCAAGAAGTAAGAGCGGGGAAGCGAGTGTATCCAGGTCAGTAGAGGTGCGAGAGATTCAGGATAGTCTTGAGGCCTTGTAGGAAACTTGAAGAGCTGAAGGAACTCGCATCGTCTGCAGGATGACTGCTCCCCAAGATGGCTAAGCCACTGGAATTGAGTCATGCAGCGCGATACGATGCTATGGCAGGCGAGGGCGCGAAGCTAAAACGACCAGTGCGTAAGTAAACTTTTGTGTATGCGTGATTTCAGAGAAACGTACCCGTTCTGCCGGGAATGGGCTTGGGGCGCGTCGCGAGTGTGGCTACGGATGGCAATCTTGAACTTGTCTTGGTCCGGGATGCAGCGGAGCAGGGTACACCGGAAGAGGTCGCAGAGGTGGCGGTACTCGAGGAAGAACAGCGCGAGAACGTAGCGATTGATCTACTTCCACTAGAGTTTGAGCTGGCAGAACTGGAGGATGTGACGCGAGGGATGCCACTGGCAGGCTTCGTAGTAATCTTTGGAGCCGGCGCCTTGCGGAGAGCTGCTACTCGAGGTGGGATAGGTATGCCAGAGGAAGCGGGACGAGGGAGAACCAGCGGCTTGAGGGGCTTGAACGAGGGCTTGGATGAGACCAATGTTGAGGTCGGAATGAACGACTGCCGAAGCTTGCTAGAAGGGTTCGCCATCTTTGTATCACGTTTGATCAGACCAGATCCACTTGCAAAGGCCGCCTTGTCGAGAATAGCAGAGGCGCGGGCAAGCGCTCGTGCGCCACTCGCAGGCGTCGGCGTAGGGGGAACATTGAAATCGGTAGACTCGTCCGACGAGATACCCTCGAGTGTAGGAGTAGGCGCGAGAGCGGGAAGCTGCTCCGCTTCTCTCTTCTTTGCATCCAAAAAAGAACCTACCAGAAAGACATTGAGTAGTTGATCAATACAAAATGAAAGCGGCACACACCACTGGTAGCCTCGGGTTTTCCCTCAACCTCTTCTCTTCTGAACAGAGCCTGAAGCTTTTGTTTGCGTTCCTCGGAGGTGAGCCATCCGCCAACAGGTTCAGACACAGGCTTAGCAACAAATACGTCGTCCTGAGAAACAGCAGGAGCAAGACTCGGGATAGGTCGGCAGGTGCGCATAGTCGCATCCTTGGTCATGGGATAGTCCAAATACTCGAGAGACTCTTCGTTGATAGCGGGTATGACACACAAGGGACTCTTCTTGAGGACGGGGACAGAGCTGTCAACTACAGGAGCTGTGACAGGCGCGATCAATGTCGAAGGAGACACAGTAGCAATAGCGCGCCTAAGACGAGATGAACCAGAGGTAGAACGGGGAGTGCTGGTCACGGGAGGCGAGAATGGCGCAAAGTAGACAGATGCAGAGGCCTTAGACGATGATGGTGCAACCGGGGCAGATACTACGGGCAGAGGCGAAGAGGATGGAGCCGGGACAGAGGCAACCGAGGCAGAGGCCGTAGAGCATGAAGAATGAAACGCGGGTCCGGGAGCAACAGCCACAGGGGACAAGACAGTTGCAACAGGTGCGGGCGACGATGATACAACAGCGACAGGAGCAGGGGCCGAGGTGGAGGACAAAGAACCGGGAGCAGACGTTGAAATACCAGCGTTGGAGTCAGTCTGGGACGTTGCCAATGCGGAAGGCTTGGAACGGCCCATGCAGCTATCGACAAAGTCCGCTATGCCCATCAAGTTGGAAGGAGGGTTGTGACCTGAGCAGTAGGGGTTAGAGGGTACGAATACGATTGCGAAGATGATCAAGTTGACTTACCAGCCGCTAGCTTAGTTTCGAAACGCTTCTGGGCATTAGCTAGGATACGTGCCTGGCGCTCAGCAGTGATCTCGCCAATTAGGCCTAAAGCAGTGCCGTCGGACTTGAGAGCAGGAGCCGCACTGACCACGTCGGTCTTGACATCGGTGAGCTCGCGCCGGGCAGAGGAAAGCTGCCTGGAGAACGCGCTGTGTGCAGCCTTTGCATGGACAGTGACAGTGTCGGCTACCTCGGTAGTCAGCTCGTTGGGACGCAGGCGCGAGAGCAGAGCCAAGATCGCATCCAGCTTGGTGCCAGTAGTGCGTCCAAGAGAGTCGATCTGATTCTGGATGAAAGTGACCTTGTCAGAAAGCGCCTTCTGTCCCTCCTCGAGCTTGCTGACACGGCGGAACTCCTTGATCATGAACGCCTCGAGAGACTTGGTGAACGCACGGTCGCTGCGCCTGTGGTCGTCAACGCTGCCGACGAGTACCGCGAGCTGATACTCCATGGCTTCCTGGATGGCCGCCTGTTCGGAGAGGCGCGCCGTTAGGACCTCGATGTGGCCCTCCTGAGCGTCGAACTGCTCAAGGCCCCAGTCGAGCCTGCTGCGGAAGTCGTCGACATTGTTCTGGACGTCGAGCTTCATGTTCTTGACACCAGCCCGAAGACCCAAAATCTCCGCAAAGAAGGAAGACAGGGCCTGGGTGGAATCGTGGCGAACGTCTTGGTTGGGGGTAGACATTGAGATGAGAGTGGTATGGATGGTTTAAGTGCTTTAAGAGCGATGTAGGCAGATAAATGGCGACGAGTACTGAAGAGCCTGAGGCATTCACAGCGAGCTTTTATACGTCTGCCGTTGCCTCCGAGGTCTCTGACTAGCACCATCGTCAGCCAGTTTCGATCGCGACACGACGGTCTGTTGTTTCAGAAACAAAAAAGGACATATTGGATGGACGAGTTCTGAGAATGGAATAGCTCAGTCCGAATTCATAGATCCATGGCAGCTTGGATGGCGGAGAGCAGTTCAAACTTGCCGGTTTGAGTTGCCTCCTCCGCCGTTCAAGCTGTAAGGCACCAAGACAGGGGGTCGGGCTGAGCCTGAGTACTTGGAGCAGACAGGGCCGACGTAGTGATTTGCGTGTTCAGACTGTCCCCTAGGCTCAGTTCCAGGCTCGTTTGTTTGTTGTCTTGGACCGCACCATTCATCATTTCCATCGAGCCCGACAAATGACGACTGGTTACATACCTCTCGGATGCTTCTTCAACGACACCTATTGTGTCTCGGTAGCCCTGCGTGGGTCTCAGACTACGAACAAACTAGAAATCGAGGGACTGAACGTTGAGGAATATACGGAACGAAAGTCGCTAACATCAAACAATCAGACATGGGCAAATATCAGGAACAGCTTGACTGACCGGGATTAGGCTCCTCTCACTGTTTTCCTCGCCATAGATTGGTGTCTGTCGTTCTCCTCTGTCGTGAAGGAAATCTCGTGAGCGCATACAAACATGATGGACGACACTGAGCATTATTATTGAAACCTGTCGCCTGAAAAATACCACCAGCAGCTCTAGGTACTATCTTCCCTAACGACGAGCTCAAAAGGACCACAGTCGGGATAGTAGACGGGCAAGTAAACATGAAACTCAAGGGCAGCCCAATCATTGCTCGAAAACTGTCCCGAGTCCTTGCGCGTCACCTTCTGACGATACCACCACGGACGCCAATCGCGCCAGCCGTCTTCCGCTGGGGGTGCAAAGATGGGCTCCGCTTCTGTGAGGTGGTTAGCAACCTGCTCATCATTGAGGGTGGCAGATTCCCAGCCTGTGTCTACGGCCTCGCGATTGGCATGAGCAAGCCACAGATGTACGTTCTGCTTTTTCTCGGGCCACGAAGCGCGCGAGCATAGGTCATCTGGGAATGCACAATTTTCCGCACTCGAGCATGAGACTAAACTGAGCGAGCCGCATACGCGTTCATATCGTCTTGAAGCCCGAAGACGATGTTTGAAGGCACGGGGGTTTGGACAGCTCATCCATGCGGTGCCCGCAGATACGATATCCACAGTAGCTCCTAGGGATGCAGCCCTGGCGGCCAGCTCTTTGGTGTCAGTATGTTGGTACCGCGCCTTCTCGCTCAGCAGTGATTCCTGCCAAGCAAGGACCTCCTTCAACGCGTGGCTCAGTTCTCCATGCGATTTTTTGAACTTGTCTTGCATCCTACGCATGACGAACTGTGGCCGAACATGACTGAAGATGGGGCACAACGTAGCAAAAGGATAGGGATGCACCGCACGAGTACGATGCGCTGACTCAACGGCAATGATCGCATCCTCCAATGACGAACTGGCGATGAAGTAGTACTTGAAAATAGTCCGACCGCGAAGTGTCTAAGCGGGCCGTTAGCGAATGCAAGCTATCAAGCAAGTAGTTACCTTGTTCAGTTTAATACGGCGCTTCGCTGTTTGCCTCTGAGCCAATACCCGGAGCGCGCGGAGGATGGGAAGCTCAGGAATCAGGAAGCAGTCACCACTATCAAAGAAGGGTTTCCATTCTGCCCCAACTGTACGCCATCGCCAACGTGAGAAGACGATAAGATAATAAGGGACTTGGTACGAACCAAAAAGCGTGTTATACGGACTAGTGACGTCGAGACGCCGCCAGCCTACGCCCCACGCCCACTCAAGCTGCGAGAGCTGTGACATTAATTAGCGGGCGAAACCAGAAAGGGAGATGGTGCAAACGGGGACGCACTGTTTCATCATCCGTGTTCAATGGGAGCATATGGCAGCTAACAACATTGGTGCGCCGACCCGTGATCGCGCACCGACCTTGGTTCGGGTCTAGCTGCCTCGCTTTCTTGATATTCGTATGAAGGCCTGGTCCTCGTCGCTTAGCTGGCAGTCCAAGGATGCCATGTCTGCGGAAGGATGGTGTTTGTGTGAGGCCGTACAGTTCATCTGCAGAAGTCGCAGTGTCCGAGTCTGACTGGATCTCGCGATCGTCGGCGGTCTGTCGTGGAAAGTCTTTATGAGAGCCGCCCATGCGAGTACGAGGAACAAGTTAGGCGTAGTGCGATCGAGTAACGTATTATGGGTTTAACAGGACTTGACGTCAACAAGACGCGACAGGGTTGTCTCGCGTCACTGTGACCACCAACGGTAAGTACTGATCACACTCAAGTACTCAGGCTTCGCGAGTCACAAACTTTCTTGGAACAAAACCGCGGTGCGACTCGCTGGGACTTCGAGCTTGAGCTTGAGCGCTCGAGCGCTCGAGCGCGAACATGAACGTTCCACTGACTCCAATCTTCTCAACAATATTACAGTAACCTTTACAATGACACATCAGAACATGACTCATACAACGATACGCTCTCTGATTGCGGCCCAGAGGTCGACGTGTCATTCTTTAGCGTCAACATTTACGCATTGTAATTTGTGCTAGTTGACAAACTCTTCTTCGAATCAAATACCGTTCGTTTCCATATTTACGATTACCGTCTTAGCCTCCAGTTCCTGATAATGTTCATCACAATTTTATGAGCATAACACTATTGTTTTGCCGGCCTTGTGCGCCACCAGGCTGCGACATGCACTTGTGGAAGTTACGCGAGATGTCAAGCCATCTAAATGTGCAAACCCCTCCGAGTCGTACGTCCGACACGACTCTGAAGTTTTAGAATCAACGCGTGTTATCTCCGTTGTCCTTCATCGATATTGATACAAAGGTCAGGTGCTTGAATTGTTGTGCTGGTAACAATAAGCAAACTCATGCGCTCTCCGCCTCCTCGCTCTCAATGTCCACCAGCTCCTTGCCCTCTTCGACCATCTCGCCCTTGGCGCACGCCACCGCCTTCACAACCCCGTCCACATCCGAGCGCAGCACCGTCTCCGTCTTCATGCTCTCCAGCACTACAACCGGCTGTCCCTTGACCACCTTCTCACCAAGCTTGACCCTCACCTCCACAACCAAACTCGGCATCGGCGCGCGCAGCGCGCCCTTGCTCCCGCTAAGGACGTCCCCGCCAAGACTGCGGAGCCAGCCAGGCGTGGGCAGCACAAGCGTGGTTTTACGCCCGCCTGCAGAGAAGATGTGCAGCCGCTCCATCGTGCCATGAGCGAGCGACGCGGGCACCGCCGCGGGTGGCGGCTGCGACACGATCGTCGTCTCGAGCCCCGCGCCGCCGAGCGTCGTGCGGAGCGACGTAGGCGAGGCGAGGTGCGCGGGCACACTAGGGAACATGGCGAGGGTCTCGCCGGACGGGGAGCGGATGGTGACGTCAAAGGTCGATGGGGAGACGGATTTTACGTGCACGGTGGTTGGTGGTGCGTCGGGGGCTGCATCGTCGCTCTGGATGGAGATGATGCGCTCGTACACGTCACCGCCGAAGCGGCGGGACTGGAGGGTCGTCCAGGGCGTAGAGTCTGCGGGCTGGGTTGGGTGGTCTCGCAGAGCGACGTAGAGTCCAGCCTGGGCTAGGAGCTCTGAGCTGGGTTCGGGGATTGGCGGGAACAGCTCGTCGAAGTATTTCTGAGTGATAAATATCAGCGAACTGCGAAAGCCAACCTGATAGAATAAAGCGATACATACCGGAATGAATCCAGTCTCGACATCACCAGCAATGAACTTCTCGTGACTCGCTAGCGCGAGCAAGAATTCGACATTGGTTGAGAGCCCAACGACCTTGTACTCTTCGAGTCCGCGACGAAGCATACGGAGCGCCTCGGTGCGATCACGCCCGTGCACGACAAGCTTGGCGATCATCGGGTCATAGAACACGCCAATCTGCGAGCCCTGGGTAAAACCCTGTTCGAGGCGGAGGGATGGCGCAACAGTGACCGAAGTGTCAACTTCGCGAGGGGCAACATCGCCCGAATCTGTCGATGTACCTTCGGCCGGTATAAGTGGAGGGAACGTAGGTGCAAAGATGTGTGTGGGGGTTGGGGTGGAGAGGTAGAGCATCGTGCCAGAGTCGGGGAGGAAGTTGTTGCGCGGGTTTTCGGCATATATCCGCGCTTCGAAAGCATGTCCGATGAGAGGCACCTCAGATTGTTTCAGCGGGAGAGGGTTTCCTGCAGCCACCTAATAAATTAATTTAGCTGAATGTTTCTTCTGTTTAGACACCCATACCTCAAGTTGCCACTCGACTAGATCCAAGCCAGAAACCATTTCTGACACTGGGTGCTCAACCTGCAGTCGAGTGTTCCTAAAAAAATCCATTCAGAATAAGCTCAAAACTCGCATATTTAGCACACACATCTCCATGAAGTAAAATTGTTGCGTGTCATTGTCAAAAATGAATTCGACCGTACCAGCACCGACATAGTTAACCGCCTTTGCAGCGGCGACAGCCTTCGAACTGAGGTCAGCACGAAGCTCAGGGGTCAATCCAGGCGCTGGTGCCTATGATTTTACCGACGTCAGGCAGAGTCCACCAAAACCTACGAGAGCGCGAAGAAACACACCTCCTCGATGATCTTCTGATTCCGCCTCTGCACTGAACAATCTCTCTCCCAGACACTAACAGCATTCCCCATCATGTCCGCAAACACCTGCACCTCAATATGGCGCGGCCGCACGATGTATTTCTCAACAAGGACGTCCGCGTCACCGAACGCCTTCTGCGACTCTCGCTTTGCAGACTCGAGCGCGTCCATGAACTCATCTTCAGAGTGAACGGTTCGCATGCCTTTGCCGCCTCCACCATGGATAGCCTTGATGAGCACGGGGAAACCGATACCCTTGGACTCTTCGAAGAGGTGCTGGGGGTCTTGGTTTGTCCCATGGTATCCTGGCACGCAGGGTACGCCGGCAGCTGGAGGAGGATTGCGCATTTGTGTTCAATTTGAGCGGAACGTAGATGCCAGGGAAGGGGCTATACCTGACATAATGTTCTTGGATTCACTGGTATCGAGTTTAGTCCTCCGGAAGACGTCAGGAATTTATTGTTTATACCTCTTGGAGCCCATGCTTACGATGGCACTTGAGGGTGGGCCAATGAACACAATGCCTTCCTCCGCGAGGCGTTCCGCGAATTTGGCGTTCTCGCTCAGGAAACCATATCTTAATGGTGTCAGAAGCCATTAGCGAACGATTTATTGTGAACAGCTTCTACGAACCCAGGGTGAATAGCCTGAATAGCCCAAGGTCAAACTTGTATTCACCAATCGTTGAGTACGTTCATGACCACATACCTGAGCACCACTACGATGACAAACCTCAATGATCTTGTCCATGCTGAGCTTTCCGGAGTGTCAGACACAAGTCAATTATCCTAATGATTGAATATACTCACATAACTCTCCGCAGATGGGGCAGGACCGATACAGTATGCTTCATCAGCCTAAGTTCGCAATTGAGTCTCATGTTGACACAGCTGGCGGAGGTATCGTTACCTCCAAGACGTGTAACGAATTCGCGTCGACTTCACTATACACAGCAACAGTCTTGATACCAAGCTTCTTCGCGGTCCGAATGACACGGCACGCGATTTCGCCCCTAGACAGCGGTAAGCGCGCTGTGCAACGGACTGGACAACATCCACGCCTCACCGGTTAGCAATCAGAACCTTGTCAAAGTGCGCCTTTCGCAGGGAAGCATCTACGCGAATCAATAAGGTCAGCAAAAGCGACTAACTTTGTTATGTTCGGTGCTTAGAGATTGAGTGGGGCATCGTACCTTGACTGGAGCTGGGGGTCGCGTACGACCGAGCAAAGGAGGTTCCCGCGAGCGGCTTAGTAGACCGTAGCAACTTGGCGGAGTTAGCACTAGCGACATTGCGGATGCCTCTGTTGATTGTCCTTCCCGAGGTGTTCTGGACAACCGCTGTTACAGCTGGTGCAGCGGCCGCGCGAGCGCGCGACGAGATGAGACGCAGAGACTGAGCCGCCGAGTGCTTTGAAGGAATCATTCCTCAGTGAGACTGATCAAAATAAGCAGTGAGGAAGAGAAGGAGTTTGCGGAGCTGCCCAGAAGCTAGTCAATCTCGAGCCCGTCGTGGCCGGCGTCGGGAAGCGACACCCGGGTATGGTCCTTCCGCGCCTCGGCTATAGCGCGCGATCACTCAAGTGACATCAGACCCCTGCGGTTCGCCAACTGCTATGAGAATGGTTATCAGATTCGAGGGGCTTTGAACGAGCAACACTCGTAACGCATGTCAAGTTGAACTCGTCCGAGTCTCTCGGTATATCTCGCGAACAGGACGTGACAGTAGAATCCAAAACCCCAGATATTACCAGCAGTAAGGCTACGATATAACAGCACACCTAATAAGCTAAGTGAAGGCGAACATTACGCTGGCGTAAAATTAAACGCAGCAGGTGTAGGTGTAGGAGTCAAAGCATCTGATCCAGATATAATAGCAGGTATAGGCATGCGCGCCTCGTTACTCGGACCCAGCGGTGCTCCAGAACTTGGGGGCTCTGGGTTAGGACGATTCGATGGCGTAGACGTCGGCATCCCATACTCCTCGTTCTCTGATGACACAGACTGGACTGCGGACACCTCTTCTGCTGATGTCGGCATGGGCTCGTGAGCGAAGACAGCCTCGCCAGTGCGTGTTTGTATGGCTTTCGCCACCTCTTGAAGTTCTTGCTCTCCTGTCCACTCTCCAACGACCGAGTTCATGTCATTATAACCCTTGCCTTTTGATATCAGCTCCTTCAGCTCATGCTTCTCAGCTTTAGAAGCCGTGTCTTCGCTGGACTTAAACTGGATAACGCAAAATTTGCTGTTTGCCCAGTGGTTGTCCAAATATTTTGCCTGTTGTGCGTCGGTATAACGAGAAAGTAAACTTAAATAAATTTAACTCACAAGACGTAGATATGATGGAACCAGTTCCTTGTCTACGTTCGTGACGGGATTTGGAGAAAAGACCGATGGATTTGACTCCGCTGCAGTGGCAATCATGACGGAGGATGCTTCTAAATCCATAAACTCATACATTAGCAGCATAATGGCAGCAAATCGAAAAGAAACGCACTAGTCACCCTCCGTATCCGGAGTGCGTCATCGTAACCAGTGCAATCGCCATTCTCGACTACAGCAATATCCTTCCCAAGCCCATTGACAAAGTCAACAATCTCGTTCAAGCGCTCCTGGAGAGCCTTCTCTCTAGGTCGCATGGGACGTGTCCGACAGTGTATCGTGATAGCAGAGACTCCAGTATTGATGATACGTTCCACCAGCTTCTTTGTCTCCTCCTGAGTGGGCAGAAGTCTGATTTTGGCGGTGACAGTGATTTCAGGGGGCATGGCCTGCCGAAGGGCGGTGAGAATGGAGCAAAGGAGGTCGGGGTTGGTAAGCAGGGCGGCGCCCATGCCCGCATGTGTCGAGAAAGGCTTTGGACATCCACAGTTAAGGTCGATCCCAGAGACATCCTGCATGACTTTGCGTGCTGCTTGGACGGCGAGCTCTGGATCCGCAGAGCCTATTTGGTATATCAGGTATGGCTTTTCGATGGGATGGGTGGTGAACATGGCGCGAGATTTGCCGTTGTACGAGATGACGCCGGTAATGGCTAATAGAGAACTTCAGGACGTCTCTCAAGTGAACGAGATAGAACCACTTACGATCAACCACTCGTTCGGCGTGGAGAATTGCTTTGTCAACCATCTCGGGCCCCCACACCAGCGAGGCGCCATACTTCAAAGCCAAGAGTCGGGTGGGCACTACAGGTAGTGTGAGCGACGAGGAAGCAAATGAAAGACGGAAGCGCATACAAGCACCCGAACGGACCATTGGTGCCAGAAATATGCCATTCTTGAAAGATTCTGGGGTCAAGTGGCTGATTTCTGTCCTCGGTCGCTTGGCTAACCTAGATATTTCGCCGTCAGGCGATGGAGAGTGCGAAAGCAGTCTTCTAGACATTCTTGAAAGGTGGGAGGTAGGCAGGTGGCGGAACGCCAGAGATCTAGAGGGACTAAGGTTGTTGGCTCGGCACAAGAGCATCTCGATCCGTTTTGGCCACCTTACTTGGAAGAGAAGGATAGAGTCGGATTTTGCCGATTATCCTTAGGACAGCAACTTGATCAAGCTCAAGCCTCAGAAAGCCCCTGTTGGGTTTATTGGCGACCACAACGCACATACATACGCATTCTCTGTCCTTTTGAATCTCGAGGTTCGTATAAAAAAGGGCACCTTACTAACGAATTACAATAGGCATGAGCGAAGGCAACACCTTTGCCTCTATCCAACCGTCAATCTCGACACTTCCATCGGAACTGCTCGAAGAGATCTTCCTATGTTACAGGGATATGGTTCTTCGGAATTCCGCAGGACTGATGCACGCACATGGTCATTTGGACCCCTCCCTACGCTCCCTTACACACGTATGCAGCCGTTGGCGTAGCGTCGCCCTTGGCTGCCCACGACTCTGGTCGTATCTTTCTGGGACTTGGCATCCCAAACAAATCGAAGCCGTTCTCTTCCGATCATGCGGAACAACGCCACTGACCGCAAACGTGGTCGCAGACGTTATGGATTCTATACCTGGACTAGGGAGGTGGAGTGTCATGGACACTGCCATACAGATGCTGGACGCGATGTCGCAGATTGGCTCACTCGAGATTACAATCGGGACGACGTCGTTTCCCTTTGGCCAATCGCTAGATGGTCATGCTCCCCTTCTTTCTTCTTTTGTGGTTAGCGGTCTCTGCCTTGATGGTATCCCGCAACTTCCAGAAAGGATGTTTAGTAGTGGCGCTCCTGCTCTGCGAAGAGTATGCATCGAACACTGCGGTGCTCCATGGACTTCACCTGCATTCTCAGGCCTCACAGAGCTCACGCTCAATCTTGGTTTTCCCAAGTCTAGTTATTCACCAGAGCCGACCATGGGGGAGCTCCTCGGTCTTCTTAGGCGTTGTCCGCAGTTGGAGTTGCTGCATCTAATATCGATCCTTCCGGATACGCTTGGTGGTTTCGGTCCGCCACTACCAGACGTATCTGCAGAGACAAAAATATCACTTCCTCGACTGACATTCTTCTATATCTCAGATGATGTCCATAGCTGCGCGCTACTCTGCTCGCACCTCGTCCTCTACCCTACAACCAGAGTCGAGCTCGACTGCCATATTCGCAGGAGAATAACTGGATTTAGTGGCGTGGGTCCGTCAAATCATTTCTCCGCGTTCAGTCTCCTTCACTCGCCTAACGGCGGACTAACCAGAGTACTCGACTCTGGTCATGGCGTCTATTTGTACCTCTCTTGCAATCGCTCAAGTATCAGAAGCTTCTGGGGAGAGCTCCCCTCTTCCACGCCCTTTGACGAGCCCAGGCCATCGGATGGTGGTGTCACCCATAGTATCGTTATGTCCCGCAGATTTACCATCACGCTCTCGCCTCCATCGTTAGGCATCGCCGAGAGACCGGTAATAGCTCAGCTGAGTGTCTGCCTTCCGCTCGAGCATGTCGACTTTTTGTCTCTGTCGGGTGATGTCAGCCGCAATACAGGATTTTGGCATAAGGCAATCTTTGCAAGTGCATCGAACATTACAACGTTGAAGATACACAAGATGAACCTCAGTCCGATCGTGCAGGCTTTGGGTGTTGACCGTGATATCCCTCTTCCATCGCTCCAACGTTTAGTGTTGCAGGACGTCGTGCTCCCCCGCGCAGGGGCGAATCATCTAACAGTTGATGGGCTGAGGGGTGTTCTCAGATCTAGACGAGAGTATGGTGTGAGCCTGCGGGGCGTTAGTCTGACTGGGAATCTTTCTAGTATCCATGAGGAGTATTTGACTGTATTTCGGGAAGAGGTTGCCGAGGTTACAATCCACGGAGATCTCAATGCATATGAGGAGGTCACATAAATGTGTTATTTGGTGGTTGTCAAAGTGGTAGTGCTTGATTGTGATAGATTTAGAGTGGATATTATGAGTCACTTTGAGCTTGAACCCATCGGCTTGAATCCTCGCGCGAGGAACGGAAACAGCCCCTGATGAGGCTCGTGAGAAGAGATTTCGACGAGAGAGATTTTGCATTCGCCGAAGGTTTTGTCCAGCGCTCATCACGTCCTTGCGATCTCCTCGCGCCATCCACTATCGAAACCCGAAAGGAAGCTCATTTGTATAGCCCACCATGCATTTGATGTACACATTGGACGAGAGCGGGAGCAGAATATACACTCTCAAGGTGCGCGGACGTCAGTAGGTAAAGGTCGAATGTTTGTGAACTAACACTGGGATACAGAAAGTTACTGATGCTGGACACATCACAAAATCTGCGCACCCTGGTATGTCCGACGTCTGACCGGGCTTAGGAACCCGCTTGTGCTTACACCCTGGTTCTAGCGCGTTTCTCGCCGGATGACAAGTTTTCACGTCACCGTGTAACGATCAAAAAGCGCTACGGCGTTCTTCTTACACAACTCCCCAGCAAGCCCATGTAACCACCCCTTTGGATCGCAGTCCCGCTGGGTACAAGCGGCGACTGTGCTCTAGCGTGTGGCACAGGCGATGTTATTCCTGGTCCCGAGGCTTCCGTTCCCATCGATGCTGCTGTAGTCTGCTGTAGTCCTCAGGCACGCTGGCAGCGAGAACGGAGCGGTATGATGGGCCCGGGTTTTGCTATTGCGCATGTTCTAATGTTATTGCTATGCATGCTTTGTGTATGTCGAAGATGTGTATTTTTAGGTGAAACCTTTCACGTGAAGCTTGCGCATGCTGCAAACGCACACACCTCAAACACACACCGGCCTCCGTCGCGTTGAACGAGACCTGTGCTCTGGGGACCTTCAGCCCATCTATCCCTTGAACCCTTCCCTGGACCTGATGAGAGGCTATTATAAGGTGAAGCTACACGTGCGATGGATGTGGCATCGGTTTCGGGTGGGAACATATGATGCAAAAAATAGCATCAAGCTGAAATGCTGAGACTAAGCGAGAGACTATTTTCATGACACATCCTGCTGATTATATGGGCGCTAATCGGGTGAGGGCAAAGAGACTCTTGACATTTGTCGTATGGCCTCTGAGGTTATTATGCCGATCTAGCTCTCTAAGATAATACAGTAGGTGATAATGGGACCAGCGGGTGTTGCGAAGGGCAAGACAAAGAATTTGAACCCGAAAGAGGGCAAAATCGAACGCCCGCTTGAAATCAAGTATGACGTTGCAAAATGCGTCTGCCGAAATGACCGTAGCCAGTCTCACTCTGAGACTTTCCCACTTTCTTTTCGACGAGGGTGAGACAATAGGCAGAGAAGAAATCGGATGATACTCGTTTGTCATAGAGACTAGCCTTCATACACGAGAAAAAGAAAGAAAAGGGATTCTTGAAATGAATTGTAGCCATGAGAAGAGGCTACAGGAGAGGGGTCCGGTTGCTCCAAAGATGGTCACCCGCTGAGTTTGGAGTCTGTCATGTCGTCGTCCGCCTGTAGCCGTTGACCCGCCACCACATCCACACCCATTTCCCTTCCCTCGCTCCCTTCCCTCGTCCTCTCCCCAGCCGCTCCTTTCCCCGCCAGCCTTGGCTGTATATACCGTACGCCATCCACACTAGCAGTCCGCACTTCTTCCTCACTGCGATCGGCTGATCCAGTCGTTGGGGGCGTCCCTTTCCTCCCTCCATGGATTACAACGACCAACGCCCACCCCGCTCCGCTCGGCCTCTCATGAGCCCGCAGCAGTTTCAAGACCAGCAAAACTATGGCTATGCGCAAATGAATCCACAAATGGCTTATCCCGCCCGGCAGCCTACTATGAGCCCAGATTCAGCCGCTCGGCAGCAGCACAACATTTCCTTCCAAGACACAGAGCGCGGCGAGCGCACAGAGCACGTCAACAGCCAAAGGCAGCGTACCATGCCTTCGGCTTACTCAAATCCGCGCTCCCCAACATGGGCCGACGCGGAGGCGGGCGGATACATAGAAGATGGAGCAAATGTTGGCAGGAAGAAGAGTCTCGTTAGGCCAGATAGAGAAAGAATCGAGCCTGGCCACAGACAGTGGCATTACCGTTCCCATGCTGCTCAGATGGAGGAGGAGGGAACAGGGAGAGTTGGTGTCGCGCCCTCGAGTACGTTGATCATCGCTGTCTTGCCCGACGAACGTGCTTGATGACGTCGACCTCCTCTCAGCCACTGGTAATGTTCCCCAGCGTGCCGGAACCCAGCGTGCCGGAACCCAGCGTGCCGGAAACCTCCGCCGAGGTAAATCTCTTCTGGCGAGAGAGGAAGACGTCCAAGAATCTGGTCTGTCTCTGTTCAAGCGGGGCACGACACTCAGACGGAAGCGCCAGCCTTCAAATGGCCAGGGTACCGTTATCACTGCACCCGCTGAAAAGTCCAAGAGCTGCTGGGATGGCATAGGCCCCGGGCCGAAGGATTGCTGGTTTATCTACTGCTACATTATTACCTGCTGGATTCCGCCTCCTATTCTGTCCTTCTGTGGTAAGTGTTCCATGCTCTTCTTCGTCATAGCACTCATCTGATGTAACTTCGATACAGGTATCCGCACACCCGATCAGCAACGTGCATGGCGCGAAAAGATGGGCTTGCTTAGTATCATCGCCTATGAAATGGCTGCAGTCGGTTTCATCACCTTCGGGTTCACGGAGACCGTTTGTGGCACTCCCCCCAACCGGTTCTGGCAAGGCGCCATCGGCACAGAATCGGTCATCATCCATGGTTATGACTACGACTTCTCTCACTTCAGCCACCCAGCGGCAGGCAACATGTTTAATGGGCAGACCAACCCGTTAGACGAGGGCGGGTGGAACTTGGCTCAGAATGATGCCAGTTTCATGTTCCAGATCACGAATGAGAACTGCCAAGGAATTATCACGAAGGCTAGCGGCTCCAGTATCACCGGTGATAATGGCAACTTGGATTGGTACTTCCCTTGCAACATTTTCAATCCGCACTCCTCTGCTACCAACACGTCCCAGTACACCAGTTCCCAGAATTGCCATGTTTCTAGTCAGGCTCGTCAAGGACTGCAGCAAATGTCAACGCAAGGGCAGGTCTACTATGACTGGAATGATCTCAATGACCCTTCGCGTAACTTGGCTGTATTCGAGTCGTAAGTCCTTGGCTACCTCGCTTCTTATTTACCACCAATTAACCCTGAATAGGTCTGTTCTGGACCTCGATCTTTTGAACTGGCTAAGCAGAGATCAGGTGAACTATCCTGACCTCTGGGACCAGATGAAGAATGCCGATGGGACGTATAACGGCAAAGATTTGTCAATGTGGTTCCAGCGCACCGGACAACACCAGATCGGCAAGTGTCTTGAAGACACCATTCTCGTCGGCTTTATCGATAGCGACAGTATCGGCTGTGTCGCTTCTGAGGTCGTCCTGTATCTCTCACTCGTCTTCATTATTGGTGTTGTGTCTATCCGTTTCTTCATGGCTGTCTTGTTCTCTTGGTTCTTCTCCTGGAAGCTTGGCAATTTCCCTCGGGAAACTTACGAGCAACGCATGGCGCGTTCGGAACAGATTGAAGCATGGTCGAATGATATCTACAGGCCTGCTCCCAGTGAATATCGCCCCAATGTCAGCAAGACTGGCCTTCGCTTTGGCAAGAACAAGAAGGGAATACTCCCCACCCAATCTCGATTCACCCCGCATGAGCAACCCAAAGGCGCTTCGCCTCGGCCGACGACCGTGTACTCGGAGCTAAAAGGAGGAGGTAACTCTCGTCCCGTCACGACTTATGGTATGCACGATGTGCCATGGAAGAGGCAGACAACCTACTCGATTAACACGAAGAGCAGCAAGGCCAGCCCCCCTGAGACTCCCTTCTCCCGTCAATCCAAGAGTACCACGTCCTTCGGCGATGGCCTCATGCGTGCATCTCGCGCCGGCTTTAACGAGAATCCCTGTCCATTCCCGCTGCACAATGTCGTTCCTCAGCCCCCTCCCGATTACGAACCCTTCAACTTCCCACTTGCGCATACTATTTGCCTCGTCACCGCTTATTCCGAGTCTATTGAGGGTCTTCGCACGACGCTGGATTCGCTCGCTACTACAGACTATCCCAACAGTCACAAGCTTATCCTTGTCATCGCCGACGGTGTCGTCAAGGGTGCTGGCAACGATATGACCACGCCTGATATCTGCCTAACCATGATGAAGGAGTTCATCATCCCCCCTGACGAGGTCGAAGCCCATTCCTATGTCGCCATTGCCGATGGCCACAAGCGCCACAACATGGCCAAGGTCTACGCTGGATTCTACGACTACGATGACAACAGTGTTGAGCGTACTAAGCAGCAGCGGGTGCCCATGGTTGTCGTTGCCAAGGTCGGCAACCCGCTCGAACGCGGTGAAGCGAAGCCTGGCAACCGTGGCAAGCGTGACAGTCAGATTGTCCTCATGGCCTTCCTCCAGAAGGCCATGTTCGATGAGCGGATGACGACATTCGAGTATGAGTTCTTCAACTCGGTCTGGCGCGTGACGGGTGTCAGTCCAGATCGGTACGAACTTGTGCTGTGTGTCGATGCAGATACGAAGATTTTCCCGGATTCACTTACGCGCATGGTATCTTGCTGTGTGGTTGACGTGGAAATTATGGGTTTGTGCGGTGAGACAAAGATTGCGAACAAGAGCGACAATTTCGTCACCATGATGCAAGGTAAGCATATCTCCATTATTTAATTATCGCTAAATACTGACACAGCGCTGCAGTCTTCGAGTACTACATTTCTCACCACATGACAAAGGCCTTTGAAGCTATGTTCGGTGGTGTGACCTGTTTGCCTGGTTGTTTCAGCATGTATCGCATCAAGGCGCCGAAAGGCGACTCCGGCTACTGGGTTCCCATTCTTGCCAATCCCGATATTGTCGAGCACTACTCTGAGAACGTGGTCGACACCCTGCACAAGAAGAACTTGCTCTTGCTCGGTGAAGATCGTTACCTGACGACCCTGCTGCTCAAGACGTTCCCTCGCCGCAAGAACATGTTCTGCCCCCAGGCTGTCTGCAAGACCATTGTCCCTGATACCTTCCGCGTCCTCCTATCCCAGCGTCGCCGCTGGATTAACTCGACAGTCCATAACTTGCTTGAGCTTATTCTTGTGCGCGACCTGTGTGGCACCTTCTGCTTCTCGATGCAGTTCGTCGTTGGTATGGAACTTGCTGGTACCTTGGTGTTGCCTGCCGCTATCAGTTTCACTCTCTACCTCATCATCATTTCAATCATTCCCGGTGGAGCGAACACGACCATCCCGCTTGTCCTACTCGCTATTGTCCTTGGTCTTCCTGGTGTCCTCATCGTCGTTACGTCTCGCAAGATTGCCTACATGGGATGGATGGTGATCTACCTGCTCTCCTTGCCCATTTGGAACGGTCTTCTACCCGCGTATTCGTTCTGGCATTTTGATGACTTCTCCTGGGGTCAGACACGTAAGATCGCTGGTGACAAGGGCGGAGACCACAGTGACAAGGACGGAGAGTTCGACTCATCGCATATTGTGATGAAGCGATGGGCTGAGTTTGAGCGGGACAGGCGTTGGAAGACCGGTATGACGTCGCGCGACTCTACTTACGTGGATAAGAGGTACGTTCATGAGCTTTCTATGGAATCTCACACCTTAAACAAATTGCTTCCAGCAACCGCTACTCGATGGCTTCTAATTCCGAGGGACCATTTGGTGTCGAGTCGTCGACCACCGAGTCTGTTCCCTACTCTAACTCCACCCGCCCGCGTCACGATAGCAATGCTCTCCTCATGCTGCCTGCTCCGCTCGCCATGAACAGGCATGTCGCTTCTACTGCGTCTGCATCGAGTGTTGGTCTTTCGCGATCTAGCGAGGATGCTTACGGATCTGACATGGGTTCAACATCGAATCAGCGACTTGTTCCCAGTCCGCAAGATCAACTCGACTACCGCGAGTCCCCACCTCCCCGACACCCAGCCTTCGAGAACCAGGTTGCCAGGGCGGTGGGCAACAATGGGGGTGTTCTCCGGAACTCCACCGTCGCCAGCCAGTATCAGTCGGAGACGCACAACCCCTTCCGTCCCTCAGAGGCCCATGTGGCTTCTTACGAAGACACCGAGTATGGTACTGAGACTGAGGAGATGGCACCGCAGCAGTATATCAACCGCCAGCAACGTGGTATCAGTCTCTCCGACAACGGACCCGTTCCTGGTCCCGACGGTGTACGCCGGGTAGCTAAACCTGGTACCCGTCGGCCATCATCACAGGCGCCTCCTCAGAACCGGTACTCACGGTCTTCGCAGGCCTTCAACCTGCCGCCTGGAGCCGCGCCTCCTCAGCACGGAAGTGGGCATGGGTTTTAGAGTATGAATGCTTTTATACGGACAATACGGACACACGTCTCCTCGTAATGCGAACCTTGACTGTATAGGTCCCCTTACTGGACATCCTAACTTTACTTTGATATTTGGGTTCAAGTTGCTGCAGCGCATTTGGATGGATTTGGAATTCGAAGACGTTGGCGTGCTTCAAGATGCCTCTTTATATTGCACATTCTGGACTTTGCATAAAATATGCTACGATATGATACCTTACGAAACTCGTCTTCCCTTTCCTCCCCCTACTTCTTCCTTGTCCCTCGAACTTAGTACTTCCATCATCTATTGACGCTTCGCCGGCACCATCCATCTGCCACATTTTTGTGCTGAATCGAGAATTCTTCGCCCGTAGCATCCTCGTTTATTACTGCAAGCCGTTCATGCAATGCATTCACACAATTTGACAAAATTTCAACGCTAGGCATCCAATATTCAATATTCAACGTTCAACGTTGCAACGTTAGGTCCGAATGATGGTTTAGTTCCGTTTGTTGGACCTTGATGAACACATGTCAATAGAGCTGGTTGCATTGTTTGGTGCACCAAACAAAGATAGGCGCTTGCTGCCTTGAGGACGCGGTCTGGTTGCTGAGCCTATTGCACGCCTGCCCCAGCTCCCCTTCTTTCCTCCCGCCGCCCACCAGAGTCCACCATGGCTGCCGCTTCCATGTCGTCGTCTCCAATCACCCAGGTGTCCCAGCAGGCACCCATGCAGACCAGCCTCCAGCCTCAGCTGCTCACAAGACTCCTCTTGGACCTGCGCGGGCGTCGGTTCTCGGTCGACAGAGAGACGATCATGAACCTGCCAGAGTCGGTTCTCCTCTGTCTCTTCCCGAACGGGCTCGTTCTGAGCCGGCAGAGCGCGGCATTTTCTGACGGTGGGGAGGCTGAGGAGGACGAAGAGGTTTATGCCGTCGACGTATGTCCTTTCCCCTCGCTTTCTCACGTGGCATGCACAAGGCGGGGAGCTAACTATGTTATGTCCATGTTATCGTACCATGTGCGCATACAATATCTAGTTCGACCCCGACTGCTTTGCCTACGTCCTCGACTTCTTCAGGAATGCTTCGGAGGCGTTCTACGGCACCGGCACGAACCCGGGTTTGTTCGCGGCTCAACAACACCTGCTCGACGGCTCGCCCTCCGACTTTGGTCCGGCGGCATCGCAGAACCCGTTGCTCACGAAGCAGGCGATTATTGTGCTGCGCGAGGAGCTTGAGTACTTTGCCATCCCGCCCAAGGACAGCGAAGCCGCAACCGACGAGCACGGTATTGCTAACGAACCTCTCCTGGAGATCAAGCGGCAGTGTGGAGCCAACATCATGGAGAAGCGCAACATCTTCACGGCCCTCCAACGCAACGTTCACAAGGAAAACAATGTTGCTGAGCAGCACCTTATTGATATGCTTTGCATGAGGTAAGCAGACAACCAACGAACATTGTACCTTTTGCATTTGCTAATTCTCCTTGCTAATTTCCTAGCGGCTTCGACCGTGAGGACGAGTGGGGATTCCGCGCCATTGAGCCTTCGCGGTGCTGCATCTCCTCAATAGCCCTCGTGCTCCTCAAGACGGGCATAATACACCACCCCGCTAGCCAGAACGGCGACCGGCCCGTTACGGTCGACTACAACCAGATGGCGACTGCGCAGAAGCTTCTGCTCTTCTGGAGGAAGCCTGCTGTGAGTTCGCCGTCGCTTCTAAATTAAAATCAAGGCGCAATCTTACGAATTCGTCGTAGCGCAAGTGCTGGTGGGACGGCCTGGAAGTTGACATCGCCAAGCCTGGTGAGGCACCCCTTCTGATCAAGTTGTGGGCAAGACGCGTTTGGACCCTTGAGCTTAGCTTGGTATGTGTGCTCCACTTCCATTTCGCCTTCTGGTTTCTCACTTCATTTTCTCTACAGGTATAAGAAGTATTTACGCTACCCAGGCTGGTTTCGCTGGATCTCCCCACTCCTTGCCAACCCTTCCTTTTTTATGACTGTCATGCCAGCATGCACGGACACTCATAACGACAACTGATCCTCTTTGCATCGATACCCGTCGTTTTATTCCTTTTTTTGTCTCTACAGTCCCATCCATCTCCGTCAACAATAAGTTACACGATACACAACCGCACTTTGCTATCGACCATTATAACACTGTGGATCGGAAAATTATTGTGCATCCAAAAGATGATAATGGTTCAGTTACTTCATCCGCTTGATTCGGTTGGTTCAGGGTATGTAGGGATGCGTCTAAAAATCCTCAGGGTAAGTGAAAACGCAGAAGGCTCCCAAAGCGGATCGGCAGCCCCTGAGTCTAATCAGCAGACGACGTTTGGTGCCCCTTGCTTTCTGCTCTCATCGCGTCGACATCACAACTCAGATTTCAACAGCCACATTGTATTTCCAAAATCCAACAACTTGCAATGGCCGATAGCTTTGACCTCGAAGAACTCGTCCACCTCGAACAGACGTCCGCCCGCTTCCTTCTGGCGCACGATCACAGCCAAATCTAAATCATACTTTTCTTTTTTGTTTTGTTTTGTTCTGTCTCCCCTCCTCCACTTGCAGGTTCTACGATAGCGGGCACGCCGACGGGTTCGCACACGGACGCGTGCACGGGCTCATCGAGGGCCGCGCGCTGGGCCGCGAAAAGGGCTTCGAGATGTGGGAGGAGCTCGGGTTCTACGAGGGCTTCGCGCGGACGTGGCAGGCGGTGTATGCGAAGCGCGGGCAGGAGGACGAGTGCGCTTTTTCTTCTTTTCCTTCTTCTTCATCTTTTCAGCTCACGAGTTGTTAACTGTGATCGTCCGTTTGTTTTTTGCTCGCCGTTCGTATGACGTTCGCGTTGGGACGTGTGCAGCCGCGTCGTGCACCACACGAAACACCTTCTCGCGCTCATCGCGCAGTTCCCGACTGTGAACCCCAAGACCGCGGCGGCGGCGACGGCGGGGGGTGATAGCGAGGGGCTGGACATCGAGAAGCTGCAGCGGCAGATCCGCTCGCGGTACAAGGCGCTCTGCGCGTCGCTCGGTGTGAAGCCCACGCTGCGGGCCGCGAGCAGCACGGATGGGCCAGGCGGCGGCGGCGACGCAGCAGCGATGGAGGACGATCCAGCGGTGGGCGGTGGCGAGACGGGCTCTAGGGCGCAAGGACGCAAGGTCTGGAAGCTCGAGGAGGACGCGAAAAGGCCGACGATGCAGGGGCTTAGTTTCTAATACCACCCCAAGGCTTGCCTACGAAGGTCGCGATCATGTCGCTCCGCGCGAATATGCTTTGCACGCCGGTGTTCTTGGGTGAGGTTCTGTTCATCTGCTCTTTTGGTTTCTTCGCTAAAGACGTTCTTTCTACAAGTACACAATTCGTATTTGTACATCAAGAAAGCGGGTACGCTAGGGATGCGGCTAAATGATAGCTAGATAATTGGCGTATTGGTGTATGAAACAAGATATCAGCAAGATGATAGATGGTAGTACTAGCCTATCCAAAAGATGTCGTACAACGCAAGAAATACATGCTTTATAAATCCCACCTAAAGATCACCATATGTCGGAACCGCGAGCTCAGTACTCAGTGATTGCAGCACGCAGCCCCGTTCGAGCCATTGCCATTTGTCCCATTTGTCCCATTCTCAGAACCACCTCCAAACGCAAGCTTGCTGTGCGTGTCCTTCACCCCAGGCACGTCCATGCTCGGGTTCATCTTGAAGAAGTTATTGGGCCTGAACGTGACGTTGACGTGCTCGACGGGCATCACAGGCCAGTCCTCGGGGCGCGCAATATGCGTCATGCCTACCATCCCATGCGTATAAGCCCCTGTGCGCGCATCCTCGACAGGCAAAGAAGAAGAAAGAACGCACCGACAGTGAGGAACATGACGATATCCTCCTTCTCGATGCTGCCCCCGCCCTCCTTCACCCACGTCGCCACCGAATCCACCGGCTCCCCCTTCGTCTGCGGCACATACTTGCCGCTCGGCCACATGCGCCCGCCGCCGCCATTGGGCCCCTCCTCGTCGCGCACGACCCACACCGGCTTCTGGGTAAACGTCGCGCGCCTCTGCACGAACGAGTCCTCCTTCGCGAGCACGGGCGTGAGCCCGCTCTTCATCGCCACACTGTACCCCGCCTCCCTCCCGCTCGCGTAGTGCCGCGTCGCGGGGTTCACGATGCGCCACCTCCGCTCGCGCGCCCAGTCAAAGTCGCGCGCGCCCTCGGCCTGCGCGCGCAGCACCGTGTCGCGCACCGCGAACGCGTTCCCGTAGAAGTTCTCCGCGGAGCCCGTCGGCTGCGGGAGCGCGACGATGTCGGACTCGACGACGCTGTTGTACAGCCCGTCGAGCATCGGGTCGACACGCAGCGAGAAGATGTGCTGGTGGTGCTGCGCGTTGATGTTCGGCGCGATCGTCGTCCCGTGCGGGTTCGGCTCGTCTGGGCTGGCGACGTAGACCTGCAGGATGCCGGACATGCGGATCTCGAGCTCGACGTTGCCGTCTTGGTAGAACATGTAGTTCCAGATGTACTCTACGACAAGAGCTTAGTTTCGACGCGGCAGAGAAAGAGACAGGTGTGCGTACCGTAGTTGGCAAGCGTGGTGACCATGCTGACAACGAGACGGCGGCGGCGGACGGTCTGCGCACGACCTCCCGGGCGGTAATCCGTGTGCTTCCACAGGAGACCTGCGTCTTCCTCGTGAATGCAGACGGCTTTGTCGATCACAAAAGCAGAGCCATTGTGGTTCACGAATGCACCAGGCTAACAACCTGCAATCAGTCTGCATGGACGCGATGGCTTTTACCAGAGACACTCACCAAGTAATGGATGTTGCCGAGGCAATCGCAGCCCAGAGAAAGATCATTGGCCATGGTACCCTGACCATACTCACCCCTGCCACATCGACATTAGCATACGGTGGCTGAGTAAAAGCCGCGTGATCGACTCACGTATCAAACGCAAACTTTCTGGGATGCGGGAACTCGGGGGCAGCATACGGGACGACCATCTCCGCCACCGAAAGACGGTAGAAAATAGGCCGCACGACACCGTCGTCGTTGTACGTGATAGTGGAGATCGCAACACCCTCACGATGACTGAATGCTAAAGAAAACATATAAACATCGCCTCGAAAAACCACGCAGAAAACCCATCTCACCGATATGCATCTTCCACTTCTGCCACTCGAGCTCGTGCCCGTTCATCTTGAAGCTGACGCCCTCCGGCTGGACAATATGCAGCGGCTTAACGTCCTCGCGTGGCTTCGGGCACTCCGGGTCGTTCGCGCGCAGGTCCGGCAAAAAGTCGTAGCGCTTGAGCGGGGGCGGGATGCGCTCGCGGCCCGAGAGCGCGAGGTCGTCGTTGCTGAGCGCGCCGGGCGTCGTGTCCGCAACGGAGAGCCCGATGGAGCCGTCGGGCTTCTTCTTATAGATCGGCGGGAAGTCGATCTGGATGACTTTTTCCTGGACGGAGTCGATCACGGGGACGAAGTCCTGCGTTTGTCCATCGATGTGTCAGGAAGTGTATGCATGATGGTTGGAGTGGAGTGGAGTGGATTGTTTGGACTCACCAAAGGGTGGGCGTAAAGGTTCTCGTGCTCGTCCAGTCTCGCGAAGAGCAAAGCCTGCTGGAGCCTGAGGTGCTCCGGAAACCGTGCATCGTAGCCAATAGCCCATCCGTCGGCGCAAAGCTGGTCTGGACGGATACCTGCATGATCCGGGCCATGGCACCAGGTCCAATTCAGTCAGCCAAGTCAGCGGGATGCGAAGGTGTGCCTCGTGGAGGCGCCACAGTCGAAGGTCGTGTGTTTGCACGTACCGACTTGCTTGCAGAGCTCCTGGACGCGGGGGTCCTTGCGCACGATGGTCTCTGCGGCGATGAGCTCCTCTGGCGTGATCTGGGGCTCGCTGCCCTTAGGGATGGGCTCAAGGGTATCGACGGACCAGATGCCGTTCTCGAGCGAGAGGACGGTGTTGTATGCCGGTCTGTGTGTTCCGTATGAGTGACAGCGAGAAATTAAATGGCAAAGGTGACACACCCATTTACTACGTCGATGAACTGAACGCAGGTGAGCACGCGAGCGGTGGAGATGATGAAGGACAACGTACGTCAACTTCGGCCTTGCGAGGGATGGGCGTCACCGCCTCGGGCTGTCCACCGGGGAAGAGGGGGATACCTAGCGTGGCGAGGACGGCTCTCTTGGGCGGGGGACAGAGAGAGCATGTGATGAAGCGCACAGCGTTGATCTGCGTCTTTGCCGCGATGTGGTGTCTCACTGCGAGAGTGACAGCTTGGATCTGCACCGGTCAGCTAATTAATATGCTGAATCAAAGACGAGCCGGGTTACCTCCTCAGGGGTGAGCGGATCGAGCGGGTGCTTGAAGGTCGTCGGGACCTTGATAGGGGCCTTGTCCTGCACGACGGCGGATGCGGTTCCGGGGAGAGTTGGGGTCGGCGACATCTCGACGGACTCTGTGTTTAAAGCTTAAAGCACAGGCTGGGGGAGGCAGATAAGCGGTTGGGCGGTGAGGTCAAGTGCTTATATATGCGGGCCGAGTTACGAGGACCACTATCCGGATCTTTATGGGATAAAAGAGCTTAGCCTCGCAATCGCCCTTCCGAGCGGAGAATGTCAGTCACAGTGAGAATAAAATTGTAGTAGGAGCACACCAACGCGGTCGCAGACGTTGGGCGGCGTCGCGCGCTTGTCACAGGCCTCCAACGCATGACCTCGTTATCTCGCTTAGATATGAATTCATCCCTTATCTAGACACCTTCTCGGTTTTCGGGCTCTCGGATCGGACATTGCACTCCGCCCCATTCGACCCTGGCCCCGATGTCGATCATGAAACCGCTCAGTAACATATGGAAGGCGCTAACGAGGGCCTCGGTCCCGCGTGAGGCGCCCCCCGCACGCATAGGTCATCAATGAGACATCCTGGCGGTGGGCGCGCGTCATCGCTCGATCCTCGGCCTCATCTCAGACACCGTCATAAATATTCAAACCAGACTCTGAATCGCCTCCATCACCCACTCACATTATCCTCATTCTCTGCAAAAGCCAAGACAAGCCTACCCCCTAACTTTGTATTAGCTGTGATTCATCTCGAAACGCCACCATGGTCAAGTCCGCGGAGGAGATGATCGAGAAATTCAACGAGCAGGTCAACATGACCGTCGAAGAGCTTGAGGCGTGGCTCGAGACCAACAAGAGTCACCAGGCCGGCACAGGCGTTGGTCTCGAGAGCGGACACAAGATTGTCGCCATTCTGAAGAAGAACCCTACGAAGGAACCGGAGAAGTATGACGAGGTACGGGCTCTACTTGGGACGTTGGGTATTGTTCATTAACGTCGATTGGTTTAACGTGCAGGAGGATCTTCAGCATATGAGAAAGGTGGTCGCGTACGTTTACTCCCTCTCAAGTCTTGCACCCGGATGCTTATGTGCATGCAGCTACAATAGTCGTCACTTGGCTCAGGAGGATCGCTTGAAGGACACGAAGACAAAGGAAGAGCTCGATAACACAAAGAGCACCATTAGCCTCAAGAACTGGGGTCATGTGAGTTACGTCGCATTTCTTAGCCCCGCACCGGACTCATTGATGATCATAGGATCCACTAAAAACGCTGGAGCCTGGCTCAGACGAGGACGCAGAGGGCGAAGAGGTTGATGAGGATGCAGAAGGTGAAGAGTCGGAGGGGTCGGAGGGTCAGAAGGGCACGAAGCGTAAGCTCGACGAAGCTGAGCCTTCCAAAACCGAGGGCAAGGAACAATCGGACGACGAACAGGACGATACGCAGAGAAATGAGGCGGAACCACCTAGCAAGAGCAGGAAGGTCGATGACGAGGACAGTGAGGCAGATACACAGGGTGCAGGAAAGAAGCACCAGCCATCGAAGGGCAAGCTGGCGAACGGCGCAAAGGAGACGAAACCGGTCTCTCGGTCGAATCCTCCACGAAAGTCAAGGCAGTCTGCCAGTAGTAAATAATAGGTTGGACTTCTGCAGCAACCTTTTTGCCGTTGATTTGCTTTCACACTGATGAGAAAAGGATCAGCTGTGGGGTGAAAGAGGAAAGAGGACAAGTCACGTCATGAGATTTCCTGTTTTGTAAGATGATTTGTTGGGATATCTGAGATGTGATTCTGTTTGTCTCTAACATGTCGCTGCAACATGAGAGACTCTCCGTGCCAGAATCGGGCTATTTGTCTCTCCCGTCGCCCATGTCCGAGGGAACGACGTCGCCGTTCAGCATAACTTCGAGTGAGACCTCTCCCGTCCTCGCCAACTCCCCCCTCTCCCCCTCCCCTGACGACGCCGCGTCCACCACCAGCAAGAAGAAAAAGAAGAAGAAGACAAAGAAGGCAAAGTCCAAGCAGGGCGGCAGCGGCAGCGACGCCTCCAAGCAGCACACTCCGGACACGGAGCGGCCCCCCGTGCTCTGCATCAGCCGCAACAAGCACTGGCGGTACATCAGCTCCTACCATGTACGTGCCCCGGATCTTATCACCCCACCGTGGCGTCATCTCACCTCTCCTTCCTCAGGGTCCCTGGCTGCAGCTCCCGCTCGAGCTCCTGGAGAGCCTTCTGGTCCTGAACCTCGATCCCGCGACGCTCGCCAGCCCAGACACATCTCTCCCTGCGCTCCCACCCCCGCAGAGCCCGTACTCCAACTTCGGCTCGCAATACTCGCGCACGCCACGTCTCCGCGAGCGCGACCGCGCCTTCCCCAGGCTCGCAGAGTACACACCACCCGATTCACCACGAAGTACATTCTCAGGCGGCGGCGTGGGCTACGGAGGCGGTTACGGAGGCGGGGGCAGCACCCCGTACGCACATACACACGGCATCCCGCTCTCCCCGAGCGCACCGCCGTTCCCAGCGCCCCCGCCGGGCAAAGCGACACCGCCCCCGATTGATCCGGGCGTGTTCAGAAACGTGACCGCGATCAGACGGCTCATCGACGAGGCCTCGGAGCTCTCTGTGCGCGCAAGCTCGGGGCTCTCTGCCGCTGCGCTCGGCTCGATGCGCGCTGGGGGCGGCTACGGCGGAGGAGGCATAGGTGGAGGGGGTATGGGCATGGGCGGGGGCGGAGGTAGCGCGTGGGCCGCGCAGGCGCTTGGCTTGGACGGGTCGGGGATGGTGAATAATGGCGGGAGGAACGTCGCGATGAGCGCGATGCGCGTGCACAGGCTCAGGGCGCTGGCGGTGCAGAAGCTCGCGGCGGCGTACAAGGCGGACGAGATCGCGAGCAGTGTGATGGTCATGCAGGGCGGGAGCGTGTTTGACGATATCGCGGAGCGGGTGCTCAAGCACGGTGAGTACATGTTCAGTCGCTTGTGCTTAATTTACGACATTGCATACGACGGACATTATTGTAACTTTATGCAGATCCACACGACATCGACGCGCGCTACGTCCACTTCTTCCACGAAAAGATTCCCTCGCGGTCGGTCCCTGCACTTTGCTCTGCGCCAGCCTTATGCCCGTGATCTCACATGTCCACGCATCGCTCTGCATCCCCGTGCTTTGCCTTGCCGTGCTTTGCTTTGCCCCGCATTTGTAGCCAGCTGGCTGACTCGACGACGACGCACGTCCTCGACGAGCTCATCGCCGCGCAGCCGCACCGGCTCGAGTTCTACCGCACGCGCGGCATCGTGCACTGCTTCCGCGACGAGTACGCGCCCGCGGTCAAGGACTTTACGTTCGCGCTCAAGGAGACGCGCGCGCAGCGCCGGGCGCGGATGGCGCATCACTATCCGTCGTCTGTTGCTTCGGACGGCAGGAAGGGAGGGAAGAAGAAGAAGGGGGCGCGTCAGAAGACGCAGGGGCAGGCGCCGCCGAATGGGACGAGTTCACGGACTGCAGAGACAGCGGATTGCTGCGCCGCGGCGGGTGGAGGCGGCGGCGGAGTAGGCGGGGCAGGGGGACTCGGACCGGGATTTGCGGGAGGAGGAGACGACGAGCCCCTGCCCGTGCACCCGTCCGTGCTCCCCGACGCACCCGACCCGCTCGAGCCGCAACTGCTCTTCCTCCGCGGCGCCGCGTACCTCCAACACGCCGTGCACCTCATCGAGAACGCGATCCTCGCGCTCGAGGGAATCGACAGCGCGCCGGCCGCGCTCGACGGCGGCGAGCCGCGCCTGTGCTACATCGACAACGGGCGCTTCGGGGGCGTCGAGGTCGGGAACCCGGCGGGGCCGCTCGGGCGCGCGGACGAGCCCAAGGCGCGGGCGTACGAAATTGTGCTCGGCGACGCCGAGTTCCGCGCGTTGGTGTTTGGCCTGCTGAGGAAGGCGGTGCGAGACCATGAGCGGTTTTTGGCGCATTTCGATAGTATCGAGGGGCCCCCGCCGGATCCGCGCGCCGCGGCGGAGATGAGCGTGCCCATGCGTGTGGAGATGGCGCTTATGCTTACTGAGAGCGTGCGCCCCGGGAGCGCTGCTTCTGCTGCTGCGGGAGGGGGGTTGGCGGATATGGACGCAGTCCTGCCGGCGCTGTTCACGACGTACCACCCGCTCCTCGTCGAGTCGCACTTCAGCATTCTGCTCGCGCAGCTCATGCTCGGGTCCTTTGGCGAGCTGCTGCACGCCTTCCCGCGCGCGGCGGTCCTCGTGGACAGTCTCGAGGGGTATCCGGTGTTCCTCCCGCCGCGCTCGATGGCGCAGGCCGAGTTCGTCGAGGTGCTCGAGCGTCTCGCGGGCGGGTGGGCGGTGGGCGTGCAGCCGCATTCGTATATGCGCGGCGGGGCTGCGGCGGGGAAGCTTAAGCTGGCGATCGAGCCGCCGCCGATGATGCCTGCGACGTCGTCGTCGGTTCTGCCAGCTACCCCGGAGGAAGGATGGCTCGCGGCTGAAGGAGAAGCAGCAAACGGCACCACCCACCCTATCGCGTCCTCGTCCTCCTCGTCCTCGACCCCCATAGTCCCACCTTCCGCGTCCTCGAGCTCGTCCCCCGGCCCCTCGTCCTCTTCGTTGCCTACTCCGCCGCCCTCATCCGAGTTCTCCGAAGACACACACGCTCACCACAGCGCCGAACGCCGCGCCGTGCTCCTCGAGTCGCTCGACGCCCTACGCATCCTGCTCAGCCCGGTCGCAGCGCGCCAGGCCCAGCGGGAGCGCGACGCAGCCCCGAGCGCGGGCACGGGCGCATCGTTCAACTTCAACGGCCTCGGCCACGCGCCGCCCATGTCGCCGTCCTCGTCATCGAGATCCGCCGCGTCGGGCACGGGCAGCAAAAAGCCGCTCAACCTCAATATACCGCTGCACGGCCCGCGCGTGGAGATCGTGCTCGCGTTCCTCGCTGCTGTGCATCTCGGCGAGCTGGAGAGCGTCGCGTGAGGATACTGTCAAGACGCTGGCTATCGTAATTGGAGCAGATAAACACAAACTGGAGAGAAGCAGAATATGGTGCTTAAATTATTTGCGATGAGATGACTATTATCACTATAACGATTGGAGTATGCCTGAAATACAGAGAACCACACGCGTGAAGAGTGTGGTGCCTATTGGCGTTTTTTGTCCTCTTGCTGTACGCCGTCCGACAGTTCGCAGTGCGCTTGCGTTGCCAGCGCTGAAAGGTGTGGCCAGGCGATGCTGGTGGCGCCTATTCCGCATGCGATTAAGAACGCGAGGAAGCCGACGACGGGCGCGAGCGAGGCGGGGACGGCGTCGAGCAGGAGAGGTTCGAGGACTATGATTATTGGTATCAAGTCGGAGTCGGGTATCGCAGCGTCGGTGGTGGATAGGTAGCCGGGTTTGGGGGTGAGGACGCCGGTGTCGACTGCGCGGACGCGTGCGTATTTTCGACGGGGTGATGTGGTCGTCTCGGGCAGAGTATGGATGTTTATCTGAAAGTCTGCTGGGTTCTGGAGGGGCAGAGATCAGTTACCTCTGCCTCGCAGCAGTTGTATTGAAGTGGGGGACGTACAAAAGCAGCGTAGGATATCCGGAACGTGAACTTGTCGTATCTCTCCCAAGGAGGCGCGTCCAGGTCGAGCGCGAACCAGGATTCGTGCGGGCACCCTTCGTGCAGCGGCTCGCAGATGGACTGCAGATGCGTTCCTAGCTCTGCAGGTCGTATTTCCCATCTCGTTTCGCTGTTATTCGGGCGGAGAACCGGCCTGCATGTCTTGGAGTCTTGGTACGGAGACCATCATGGCGGAGGCGGCTCACCACGTTTCGCTGGCGGGTATGGTGAGCGGCAGGTGGTCTTCAACAACGCCAAAGTTGACGATTTCGGTGTTTGCGAGTACAGGGTTGCATGACAAGAGCAGGGAAAATACGAGGAAGAGCGAGAACATGCTTAAGCTTCACTCGTGCGCATGGACGGCGGTAGCGAGTGACGGAAACATGGGCTTGACGACATCTCTGCAGCGCGCGCAGAGGACACGATCACGTGGGATGCTCATGAACCGGGAACGTTAGCGTGGGAATGTCGATAGTCACTTCGATTCGAACTTCCAGCCGCTTAGCTTGGCGATCCGTCATCCATGACGGAAACATAGGGAGACATCTGGAAACACACGCGATCTTCTCCGCTGTGCACCAATCGAAAAATTGGTCGGTCGTAAGCTCTCGGTGCGGTCAATTGGCTACTAGCACAGATGCAGGACGCTGCAACAGGATGTTCTGCACTAGACATACGATTCACCGTCAGAAAAGATCTCATGGATTCATCTCTACTACTCAGGTCGCTCATGTCAACAGGATGGAGGCGAACTGGCTCTCTTCAAGTCGCTCGGCTCGGAAAACGAGGACTACTTCCTGAACCTTCGAAGAGTGAACCAGTCTGCGTCGTAATGTCTGCATATCTGGCTCCAGTGAAACCTTCGTGACCCTGTAATCTGGAGCTAGCGACTGTATCACTAGCGCCACAGAACCATACGCCGCCTTTGTCTCCAACTTCAATTCCAAGTCTTTGCATAATTTTACGTTACGGTGACGCCTTCTGCGTCAGCGCTGCTCAGGCGCTCACCGTTGGTGACCCCGCTGTGCCGAATCCCCGACAATTTTGACGTCAGACACTACGACTCTTTGTCGCGCATATGTCTTGGTGTTCCAAGAAACCCGACATGTCGCACTGGGTGCTGTTCTGTGAGCTGGAGGCGCCTTGTCATCCGTACAGTACTGAGATTCTTTCTGGTCTGGAGTCCCTCGTCTGATAAATATTGGTGGTGAGTCCCATAGCACTAGAGTCTGCTCTAGGCGTCAGCCAAGGCTCGATGCGTACCTCTATCGCCCATCGATGGGCAGACAGACTGCCTCACACGTGTAATTGATTCCTGATCCAAGCCAGAAGCCCCTTTACGTGAAGCAATCCACAGGATCGCCCACCAGGTCCAGCATTCCATCAATACGATGACTTCACGGGTCAGAGTCGATAATCGTTGACGCAGGATATGACGAAGCTCGTTTCCCCCCGCGATCAATATATAAGACTGGGCGTTCGTGTCGCTGAGGGCCAACAACACTTTCCCCGCTCGAATACACTTTCACCAACCACCCCAAACCAAACAAACACACTCTCATAATGGCTAACCCTGGAAACATTGCTGGCGGTCACAGTATGTCCGCACCACTCGCACCGCTCAACATTTTTCTTATCCCCTTCAATATTCGCAGAGGCGACTCTCGCCAACCCTAACATCTCGGAGGGGGCCAAGCAAAACTCGCAGAAGGTCCTCGACCAGATGGAGGGCGAAGGTCAGCTCCCCGAGCAAAGCCAGGATGTTGAAGGGAAAAATATGGGTAATGTCATCGGCGGCCACAAGGTGACATATTCCCCTATTGTCTTCATTATCACCGACTGATTGTTCATGTGACGTAGGCTACCCTCAAGAACCCTAACATTTCCGAGGAGGCGAAGGAGCGTTCCAAGCAGGCTCTCGATGATCTTCAGAACGAGTAAACGTAGCCGCTTAGGTGCAGAAATTCCATTGTACAATCCCATAATCCATGTCGTCGTATCACGCCTCGAGTCGTGAATGTAAAATATGAGCAATTGTCCTTACTCAGCCAAGTGATGACACCCTATGAAAAATGACTCCGTAGCTACTCATTGTAGTAGGTTCCTTCTCTTTGGCACTCATTCTACTCCATTGGGCCCAGATCATAGCCTGAAATAGTACAGAAGATGTCGAAATGCGAGAATGGAAATTGAATTCCATACCAAACATCGTCAACCCGGTGTTCGATTCCAATCTGAATATTAGCTTATGACACTGATTCTGGGTCCGTTTCGAATCCCCTTGAACCAAATTGTGTCAGTGCAAACACAAGTCCATTCTATTGAGTCGCGACGTCGACGTCGGTATACTTAATGGCACAGTAGCATTGCAGTAGCATCATTAATCCTGATTGGTACAAGGGTGGTGTCTTTTTCTTATATCCACTGGGAGCTATATACAATGCCAGCTTTGCTTTAACTAGATATAGGTTATCTGAGATCCAGGTGGGTCTAATTATCTCAGTGTCAATTTCGAACAGAACAAGCCGGTTGCAGCAGTAACAGTGAAAGCGGAAGACAACAGCCTATGGGGGCTACGCCACTGCGGGGTCTGAAAGAGTTTGCCTAATCCAGTCGTGCTCCTGACTTCGTGATAAGGCGCGTTGGGGAAAGCAGGTTTGTTGGAATGCACCTTTCTCCCCAACGTCTCCCACTCCCCTCGACGACATCCCCCTTGCCCAGCTAGCACCAGCCTTGGTGCCGTCTTACCTCTGCTTCAGCACGTTTTCTCTCTCTCCGTTTGTCACGACCAGCATGGTTCTTCCCTGGTATGTGAGTACTACTTATTTCCCGTGCGCCTGCGACTACTTGTGCTAATAAAGTGTGCAAATAATAGCCTCATGCCAAAGATGTAGAAACACCTACCAGCGTGTCTCATCTGGCGAAGCAAACAGACGATATAGGCGGGATTGAGGTGAGTGGTGTGTTCTGTCGCAATGCCTCTAATCTCAACGTGGCCAGTGCGTTTAATTTGCCCCTGTTAACATTTGCTCCATTTTGAGGGTAAGTCTTTGATTTTTCTATTCGAATGCACATTTTAGTCTAATTACAGGCTCCCGGAAACCCATCACGCAAATGCGTCACTGTCAGCCAGCACGTCTGTGACACAACCTCAGGAGACGCCTGCAGCAGAAGGCCCAAGGATATCAGGAAGATAAGTGCTGGATGGACTAGCGTTCTGATGGGTATACCGGCAGAGATACGCGCTGTGTGAGTTCCAGACTTCTTTTCCCCTTCGCATGTCTGACAGTGATTTTTTATACGCATATATTTTAGCTCGGGCGCTTGAAGGAACAGACACGAGACGCTTGGTCGTGACTTCTGCAGTCTCTTCGAAGACCCAAACAGGTTCGCCTTGGTGACTCTCTTGCGTGCGATGCTCATTTGTATGGCAGGTTTACAAGCAGCAGTTCAATGTCTCTGCTTCATTCGACTTTCCTCGCCATGTTTCACTCATCCACTCGCATTGCTATCGATTGCCGCCCTTTCGTACTCTTTCATTTCGGTCAGTTTCGGGTTCTGTGGGTTTGCTTTCATTACTCATTCGCTCTCGTTGGCTCTTGTTCGTACTCTTTGGCAATGGGTGGTAATGATTGTCAAAGAGTGTAAATAGACCTGTTCACTACCGTTTTGTCGCTACGGTTTCGATTCGAAATAACATTGCTGCTCTTTGTACTCTATTGGCTTACTTTAAGGGAAATTTGAATATTGCCACTCGTTGGGATACAAGTACGAAAGAGTATCAAAGGGTGGCGACGGAGTCATTTTTCATAGGGGATGACAACCCAGCCACTTCGTTAAGCATGATGGCAAATCATCGGTACAAACCCACTAGAGAGAAAAAAGGTGAAATGGTTATGACGTTTCAACCAGCCCCCTCAATGATTCAACCAAAAAGTTATAGCGTTACAAATGTTAATGCAGAGCTTGGACCCGTCTCAAAGTTCAGAGTAATCATTCGCACAGCACCGTGGGCTGAGTGCAGGACGAGTGCACGATGCAATGTGTTCGGCCTTATAAACTTGTCGCTTACGACTACAAATGGTATATCAAGGGGTACAACTATTGATGGCCTGTAGTAGATCCGTCAAGGCTAAGCACTTCGTCGTTGAAGCAGAACTCTTACCGGCAGGTGGTAGAGATGATGATGATGTAAATCGTGGGTGTGGAAACGGGAACTAGAGGAAGCGATAGCAAGACGGAGAAGTGGATGGTGCAGAAAGCGTCTCATGCATCGTCTGTCATGATAGCGAAGAACTCTTGTTCATTGATTTCGCCATCCTGGTCGAGGTCGAATTCGTCTATCATGGCTTGGCTAGTGGATTCGTTCAAGTTAGCAAAACGCGTCAAAAAGGGAGTTGTAAATAAAAGTAAGCGTCCGGCAACAAGAGGAATCGGGGGATGGCTCCGACTTTCATGCTGTGGAGGCTAGAAAACGAACGCAGTGTACAACACTCACAGCTCATCGTCTTCTAACCGGTCTCCGATCTCCTTTGCCACCCGCCGGAGGTTCCGCAAGCTAATTTTGCCGGTATTGTCATCATCGAACAGCTGAAAAGCGCGTCGAATCTCCTCCATAGGATCCCGAGCAAGGATCCGCTCGCTCACTAAACAACACGCGTTTAGCAAACAAAGGACGCGTCAGTCACGCCCTGCCACTCAACTGATTTTCGCGAAGTCCTCAAAGTCAATGAGCCCGTGGCCAGTCTTGTCGTGGTCCCGGAGGATCTTGAGCACCTCCGCCTTCTTGAGGTCGAACCCGAGCGCGCGCATGGCGACCTTGAGCTCGTGGTAGTCGAGTGAGCCGTCCTTGTCCGTGTCGAACAGCTCGAACGCCTCCTTGATTTCCTGCTTCTGCTCATCCGTGAGCTCGGGACGCGTGTGGGTACGGCGTTTGGCCTTCTGTGCGGACGCGCTGTACATGCTGGGGGGTGCAATGGTGGAGGAGGAGGCAACGGAGGAACGGTGTCGGGAGGGTTGCCACTGCATGGGTGTTTGACGCGTGAAAGCGTGACAAGGTACGCGGGTTGGACCCCGGGACTCGTGTGAACATAGCCAAAATAGCTTTTGTGGCTGGCCTCAACGACTTTCACCTTAACCATGTATGGTCGAGAGACGCCCTATGTCTTTCCGGTCTGACTCAGTCGCCTCCTCTCACGATGGCAGTATACAAATACAGAGCTTCTCTGTCCTCTGACTCACATCTCCTGGGAGGCTCGGCCACCTCGCCATGGCCTATTGCGAAAGATGCGAACGCCCCTTCAACTCGCAGCGCGCACTAGACCAGCATATCGAGGACTCCTCGTCTCACTGGCTTTGCTCTCAATGTGACAAAGACTTTGAGACGCACAATGCAAGGCTGCAGCACTTTGTGAACAGCCGCGAACATTCGTACTGCCGCGAATGCGAGGAGGACTTTGACGATGACGAAGAGCGTGACCAGCACATGGAAGACGAACACTGGTGGTGCTCTAACCACGACAAAGTGTTCAAAAATGAGAGGGGTTTAAAGGAGCACTACCGCCAGTCGCCTGCTCATCACTATTGCGTGGACTGTGATCGTCCCTTTAATGCAGAATGGAGCCTCAGACAGGTAAGCGCCTAACTTTGTTGTCGTCCATTCAAGAATTCGCTTAGGCCACATCTATGTAGCACCTCGAGAACTCGGATCGCCATTGAATCTGCTGTAGCTGCGGCTTGTCATCTGTCTTCCTGTGCTCGTCCTCATGTTGACTCTGGCGTTACCTTGCTTCAATAAATGTACTATTATTCAGGTAAACTGTTTCTAAAGGCATTAGGCGAGCCGCGAGGCTCCTAAGGGTACTACGAGCAAGAAGTGCCAGCCCACATACCAATGGCGGCAGGGTCACCAAGGACAGCCTCTGCATGCACGAGTTAATGCCACCGTGATGGTGAGCAGCCTTCCTAATGGCCTGAATACTTCCGCTTTGTAGATATCACCCTGTTTTACTTCGCCGGGCAGCGGCGACTTCATGACGGTCTCTTTTTGGTAGGCTAAGTATGACTATGGCTGGCTGTGGCGGACTAACATTAGATCGAAGAGGTCCAAGTCACTTTGATTTGGCAAGATGGATCCAAGTATACCCCACCGAAAAACCTAATTATCAATCGCAGCGCTGAAATTCATGAGAAATCACCACAGGCTCATTCAATCGAGTCATCAAAGAAGAGCACGAAGTTCTTCCAACATTTGACCATTTATGGTATGTTTTGCAAAGATGTGACTCGCACAGATAAGCACAATTTAGAACAACAACCTGGAATGTTCCGGTATTTAAACACCCTCTCGTCACCTCCAAATCTCCTCTTGTCGTCGCTCCTCCCGTTCACATCACATCACCACAATCCAGCTGGCCCCGCCTCCGTCATGTATCCGTTACAAGCAGATGAGCCCTATTGTGAGCAGTGCAAGAGATGGTGCACCAACAATTACGGATTGCGCGAACATTGGCGTCAGTCCCCCGCCCACTCCTATTGCGTGTCTTGCGAGAGAGGGTTTACATCGGCCTCGAACCTGCACGCAGTGAGTGAACTTAAATGCCAGCCGCGTACATAGCTGATGGCCTCTTTAGCACTTGAACTCAAAGACCCACCGCACTGCCGATGTTCCGTGTCCGTTCAACGGGTGTGGACAAGCCTTCGTTTCCAAATCTGCCCTCGTCTCTCACCTGGAGAATGGTGGTTGCCGCTCGGGAGTCAACAGGCGCATGGTCGACAATTACGTCCGCCAGCTTGACAGGGACAATATCATCACCACACGCCTCTTGACTGACGGAGACAGCACAACGACGTTCATCGCCACCAACCGTTCGTGGAACGGGCGCGCCTACCAGTGTTATTTCTGTCATGCCCCGTTCCGCACCCTCGTTGACTTGAACAAGCATCTTGCGAGCCCTCGCCACCAGGCCAGGTCGTACCGCTGCCCGATGTCGAGTTGCGGTGCTCACTTTAACACTCTCAGCGGGCTATGCCAGCACATTGAGAGTGAGACATGTGGGGTCCATAGGTTCCAGGTCGTGCAGAACACTATGGACTCGGTCTATAATGGCATGAGGAGGCTTACTATGTAGTAAGCAGTCGCTCGCTTCTGGATGATCTCTTGAATAACTTTGTCTTTCAGATTGTCTCGTGTGGCGGCGCGTGTCCTGTTTTTCTCTTTCTTCCTTTCCCCCGTCACCTGTCTCTTATCAAAGACGCTGTGGTCGTCGCTTTAATGTAGCCTCGAGAAGGTGATTACTTATCTTGTCTGTTGTATAACCAATAATCTGCGCAGGCCGCATCTATGTAGCATCACAGTAGCTCGGAGCATCCCTGATTTTGCTGTAGCCGGGGCTTGTTGTCTGTCTCTTTGCAATCATTTCCTTTGGTGACTCTGGTGTACTTTGTGCGAATAAATGCGCTCCTATTCGGACAGTCTCTAAAGGTATCAGGCAAAGTTCTTTGTGGCACAATTAGTAATTGGTGCTAGCTTATCCGCCGCTAGCGGCGAAGAGTACTACGGATAGACTCTTCGAGTTTGCTGGCCAGAGGATGCTAACATGAAGGTGAGCAGCCTCAGGCCGTCCCTTCAAAGTGAGCGTTGGGATAATGTTGTTTTCCTATAGATAGTACCCCAAGATCCCTTGTCGCTTCCCTAGATAGCGGCGTCTTCACAATGGGCTAAATATGGATTAGAGGTTCGAGTCACTGTTAGTCCCCGCAGAATTAATCTCACGTCCTCCACTTGCATCTCACAAGAACTTCCACCTTTTTGGGACCTGTGAGAAATCAAGAACCAACGGAAACAAAGTAGAAGTCGTGGCTCTTCCTTTTACTACTTATATATCCGCACAGGGCGTCTGCTGAGGTTCTATCGATATCCCTCATCGATATCCTCTCCCGGAGTCCGCCAACGGTAGGCTGACAGGCGACGTCAGAAATTTCACCCGTCGTAGGCGCAACTTCAAGCAAGACCTAGGTCACCATGGTTTATTGCAATAGATGCGACCGATACTTCAACAGTAATGGCGCATGGGTCCAGCATGTTAACGACTCTTCAGCTCACTGGATGTGCTGGAAGTGTGACAGGGACTTCATGTCGTGGAACGCACTCTTGTCGCACTATGTGAACAGTCCCTATCACTCTTACTGCCGCCACTGCGAAGAGGACTTTGACGACGATGACGAACTCGAGGAACATATGGAAGATTGTCACTGGTGGTGCCGACATTGTGATCAGGTATTCCAGAATGAACTAGGCCTCAAGGAACACTACCGCCAGTCACCTGCTCATCACTATTGCATCGACTGCGATCGTGATTTCATGTCGGACTCGCACTTAAGATCGGTAAGCTATCAAAGTTCCTTCAGCGTTCGATGTATTGATGCCAGCCGGTGCCCCGCGCAGCATCGCAACTCGAAGCTTCATCACCCGCAAGATGTCATGTGTCCATTCAGAGGCTGTGGAATGTCTTTTGTATCCAGGTCGGCGCTCGTTCTCCACCTAGAGTCAGGCGGCTGTGCCTCTAGAGTGAGCAAACGCGAGATCGACTACTTCGTCCGCCAGAAGGACACCCACAATATCATCACCGATCCCTCTCGCATGATTACAGGCGCCTTCGAAGTCTACAAGGAATACATAGCTACGTGCGGTTCATGGAACGGCCACGCGTACGAATGTGTGCTCTGTCACCGCGAGTTCCGCCAGCTCGCCGACTTGAACAAACACCTCGCGAGCCCGAGGCATGAATCGAAGTCATATCGGTGTCCCAACATCTCATGTGGTGTTCACTTTAGCACTCTCAGTGGGCTATGTCAGCACATTGAGAGCGAGAAATGTGGTGTCTTTAAGTTCCGGGCCGTGAGGGACACCATGGACAGGGTTTTCGATGACATGAAGAGACTCAGTCTGTAGTGAGTAATTTCTCGCCTCTGGCTATTTCTTAGAATAATTTCAACTCCCAGATCGACTTCTGTAACATAACACGTCCGTTCTTTCCGTCGACTGCATACTAACTGCTACCACTGTGTGCGTATATCATTGTCGTTCAGCAGTGAGGGAACTGATATCTAGATCAGGTGTACATTATAACTACTGGGCCTCAAGGATGCTATGGATGTCGATATTTATTGTGCTTCACTGCCTGCAGCCAAGAATGTACTCAGCTTTGAAATATTGCGAACTCTTTGGAATCCGTTGCACAAGCAACTTGAAAGTGAAATAGATTCAGCGGCAGCAAATGGTATTAGCGCAGTGGGTAGCGCGGGAGCTTCTTTCATAAGAATCAGAAATGGAACAACATGGAATCTGACGGTATGGAATCTAAGCGGTCCTGTATTTATGTAAGGTCATCAATGTCTCACTAGCACTTGGCAACGACATTCACTCATTCCCCTCTCGGAACTCGTTGATTCTACCGCTCCTTAATTTTGCGGTATTTAGTACACCGTGTTGGCCATTCCCTTCCGAGTTCCTCACTAGACCCCAGCTACACATCGCCTTCGCTGCGATGTACCCGTTAGAAGAAGATGAACCCTACTGTCAACAGTGCAACCGCTGGTTCGTCAATAACTATGGACTGCGAGAACACTGGCGTCAGTCTCCCGCCCACTATTATTGCACGTCTTGCGAGAAGGGGTTCTTCTCGGCTTCAAACCTTCAAGCGGTATGTGAGTCCAGATACCCGCCAGTGACGTACATAAGTAATGTTCTGGGTATCTTTAGCACCTGAACTCAAGGATCCACCGGAGCGCTGACTTCGTATGTCCGTTCAGCGGGTGTGGACAAGCCTTCGTTTCCAAGTCTGCCCTCGTCCTCCACCTGGAGAACGGTGGTTGCCGTTCAGGGGTCAACAGACATGCAGTCGATAGCTACGTCCGCCAGGTGGACAGGGGCAATGTCATCACCACGCGCCTCCTGACTGGCGGCGACAGCATGACGAAGTATATCGCCACCGATGCTTCGTGGAACGGCCGCGCCTACCAATGTTATCTTTGCCAGTCTCAGTTCCGCGCCATCGTCGACTTGAACAAACATCTCTCGAGCCCTCGCCACCAGGCCAAGTCGTACCGCTGCCCGATGTCGAGTTGTGGTGCTCACTTCAACACTCTCAGCGGACTCTGTCAGCATATTGAGAGCGAGAAGTGCGGTGTCTCTAGGTTCCCGATCGTTCACAACACGATGGACAGGTTCTTCTCTGGCGTGAAGCGGCTGACTTATTGGTGAGCTGTGCATTCTGATTTGCGCTCACGACACTCATGGCAAAGACTACTTCAGAAGTGCATTTGTTTTCCACTGCTAACTAACACCGCGTATCATATTTCAAACGAGCTTTTCTTCACCAAGCTTCTACTTATGAAATTACCGTCAAAGCATAAACACCTATATTAATGTCTCTAGCCTTTTAGTACTAGCACGCATGCACCAGGTTTTTGTCGGGTCATTAATGGAATCAATTTAGTTTTTTGTCCACAATACCTCATTATAGTGTCTGGCACCAAACGAGCATGTCTGGCCTCTACTGTGGTGTAGTGAGTTCCCAGTTTTCCTGAATCCCCTCCTTGATGACGGGATTAACCAATGTCCCAATACCGTTCCCGATATACACTCGGCTTTCATCACCATGCTTGAGGAAAGTTGGCGGGCTACGAGTGAAACCCACACCCTTGGGTGTGCCGGTCAGGATGACCGAGCCTGCTTCAAGGGTTGTGCCTTGAGATAAGTAGGATACCGTTTGGGCAATGGTGAAAATTTGCTCGCTGAAGGTGTTGAAAAGGCACTCTCGTACGATAGAATATTGAGCAGCTCATGAGGTGTTTCTTGCTGTTACGTGTGAAGGTAATCGGAAGATTCTGTGGATCGGAAATTGTTCGACTAGAAACGATACAAGATCCAAGAGGAGTAGTGTTGTCTGTAGATGGGCAGTTCTAAATTATGTCCATTATGTTAGCAGACCTATACACACCGAAGCTCTTTGAGCAGGCTTGCGACGTCATCATTTGGTGTTTGCGGAATGACACCTGATACGAAACCGTTCAGTGAATGGCTTATATGAAGAGCGAAACAACATACATCGTTTGCAGCAGCATATCCAAGGACGTAAGTCAACGCATCAGCCTCAGTCACGTCTTTTGCGGGCTTGCTGATTATAATAGCGACTTCAGCCTCATAATCGGGGAGGTGCTCAGAGACGGGCTGCGCTATCCGAGGCACGCATATAGAGGCACCATGTCCGATTACGGAAGTCGTGGCTTTCATGAACATTGTAGGGACTCTGGAGCAGTTTGAGTTAAAGTAATGTGTATAAGTGAACTCGCGTACTCAGGCAAATCCATGTTGGCCTCCGCCTGAAGCATAATATGCTTCAGCCCATGGCCTCTAAGGGCGCAATTCTTGTACCACACTCACCGCGTGGTCAGCATAGTTTAGTCCGAGACAACGCATAGTCCTTATTTCTTCGCGAGGTATTGGGACAAGGAGCTCCTTCACAGTCAGCATGTTGTTTGTAACCTGAGCGGTCTGGTCCAGCGGAGAACCAGAAATTTCATATGCTTTAATAGCCTGCTTTCTCCAAGCAGCAATTCCGACTAAATTAAGATGAGATTGACATTAGCGTTAGACTTGATGCCATCCGCTCACCATCTAGCTGCTCATCTACGGGCTGTCCGTCTAGTGAACTTGCCCGGTTTCTGTTGCAACGAACCGAATAAAGCAAGACCAAAATTGAGCCATAGATAGAACTTGAGATGGGTGTTAGCGCAGCGCGCCTCTAGATAGTATTGGTCGTGGACATCGCTGAGGGACATGTCCTTTAAAGGCTGGCGAAGTACGATGGGAATGGCTAGGAGCCAAACCCCAATTGGCAGATAGCGACCAAGGACATAACCATATCACGTGGGAGTTCTCTGACCAAAACCTCAACCCTGTTTCGTGGTTAGGGTCAACATCATACAGCGTTTTCTCTTACACTGTGTTAAACTCGGTGCCACCAATTAGCACCAGTTCTTTCTTAGACGCTTATAATTGCCTGGCTGGGCTTCTAGCGCCTTCAGGCCTCTTAGACCGTGCCTCGTTTATCGATTCACCTCATTTCTCGCTTGCGCTCTCGTTTGGTGCCGAGGTTTGCACCCAACCGTCATCTGAGACCTGTAATACAAGTACCGAGTTCATCTGTCCTACCACAGCTCGGAGGGCGTTTTCGCGCCATGCCAAAGGCCAGTAAAGGCACTTTTTACGCTGTTCGTGTAGGCAGGCAGCCTGGGATTTATTACGACTGGTAAGTCCTCAGTCTCCTCCGCTCAGATGTAAGAAAGACAGTGAACCACCCTCAAGGGATACTTGTGACGCACAGATTAAGGGCTTTCCAGGCGCCAGACACAAGAAGTTCGGCTCAATCGAGGATGCCCAAGCGTTCGTAGATGTTCAAGATGTACCGTCTCCGCATCGGACGCGTGCTTCAGTAGCGAACGCGACGGCCCCCGCTGCATCCAGCGCTGCTGTCATTGAAAATCCGGCAGGACCGAGGGCTACTCGGTACAAACACGAACCTGCTGGTAGGGAAGAACATGAGGACGAAGTCGGCGCTGATGTGGTATACTGCGATGGTGCATGTCGGGGAAACGGGCAGCCGGGATCTGTAGCAGGTTTGGGCGTATGGTGGGGCCACGATGATCCAAGGTGCGTCTGCTACCTTTCGTCGCCAAACTACCGCCTGACTGCGATCAAATCTACAGGAACATTTCAGAAAGATGCCCCGGCGATCAGACCAATAATCGCGCAGAACTATGTGTACGTCCACATTTACATTCGTGGCGTGATAATGGTCTTGATATATGCGCTGCAGGCAATTGTTCGAGTGCTTGAGACAACTTCCGCTTCGAAAGGGACGCTGATTATCAAAACTGATTCATCTTACTCTATACAATGTATGCGACTTTCTTGTATCTATCAATAAGCTGACATTTTTCTTTCAGGTTTTCAGTCGTGGATACCCAAGTGGCGCGCTAATGGGTTTCGAGCGTCTACTGGTGGCCCAGTCAAGAACCAACCTCTTATCAAATACCTTGATGCTTTGCTCACGTACCATGCCAACTCTGGTCACACCATAAAACTGAAACATGTCAAGGGTCACGCTGGCATTCCTGGCAACGAAGGCGCGGACAGGTTGGCAGTAGCAGGGACGGCTTTTCCAAAGCTTGAGGAACGTGACTGGAAAAGAGACGAGGATGAGGTTATTGCGAAGATGCGCCCAGAGATTCCCGGGGATCTCGATGTAGGCCTCAAGCCCAACTTGACTCTACCGTCTTTGTCCTGATGTCGGCAATAGGAATATGCAGACTGCCTTCTTGACGACGAGGAAGCTGCCAACTGTGATGAAACACCCACAACGAGGGAGGTTCCTACCACTCCACCTTCGCCGACGAAGACTGTTGTGAAAAAGACACCACAGCGCCAGGAGACAAAACCACCATTAGCAAATTCGTCAGGAAAGAACCCTTCGCGACCGCCGGCTAAAATTGCGGATCCGAGACTACCCACCGCTCCTTCGCAGCAGGTAATTCGGAAACCCCTATCTTCTAGTTCAAGTTCAAGACAACCTACTCGTCCCCAAAATACACAAAGCCGATTGCTTGTATCACCTGCTAATTCAAAAGGCTCATTGTCACCTCGAAAAGTTGAGCCGGCCCCGAAATCTCGCAGCCGGGCTTCCGCAACACCCTCGTCTCGACCAGGAGGGGTAGCCAAGAACACCCCGTTGAGTGAAAGTGAATTGAACGCAAGTGTACCGTACGCTTGATTGCTCTTATCTCTTGATCACCTGTGGTTTCCAGGAATACGCTGGAGGGCTCTTGTCCGACGACGAATTGCTCATTTTGGGCAAGGACGGTAATTTTGACTCGGACTTTTGAAAATACGGTGTTTTCTCATGATGACACCAAGTAGACGACGGAGCATAGAGTTGAATGGGGAATGTGACTCTGATTGAAGATGCGTGCTCCAACGAAACTGGCAGAAGGCGTCGACGATTAATGGTATTGAACGTCGCAGTAGTGTCTATGACGACTTGCACGCACTTGAGGGCGCATTTTATTTTTGTGTATCCTACCAATCTTAATGCGCATGCACCAGCGGTGCGTGGCAAAGTGTAATAAAACAAACCAATCCCATCCCAGCGATTAACCTCCATTGGCGTCATGACTATGTTTGCTTCAATGACTTGGTACTGCTCCATGTGGTTCGGCCCGCAAGTGGTGACGCCCAGCCTGAGCGCTACAACGAGTCCTGCCTATCCTTGTTCCATAGTTGCCAAAATCAAGTACTCATGGGGAAAAGTTTTACATAAGCTTCGGAAGCAACAGTGTTGACAACAGCGTCATGGACAGAACGTGATTGACAGTAACTCCTTGATCGTGAATTTTCTCCCGGCGGAGGAGGGAGGTGGGGACGGGGTGCCTCGCCTTGACAGCCAACGGGATCCTCGAGACGGGGTTTCCAACCTTGGCACTGTCCATTGGCTCCGCCGCGGCCGGCTCGTATGACATATTAAACTCGTTCCCGATCCTCCTTCAGAAATGCCCAGTCCCACCTTCTCATAATCGGCCCCTCGTCGCACTCACCCACGCGTTTCTGCAGTGTCCTCTGCGCAGACGATGTCGATCCCGATTCTCCCTCTGGTCGAGGAACCACGACCCCAGGACTCGAGCTCGGCCCGTAAGAGTCCGCAATGGGTCTCAAGCCTTTATGACGTTGGTTGGACCGTCTTGCACCACGCAAGAAAGCACACCGGTGCAGGCATCGTGTGCTCCGTCGCGTACTTTGACCCGTATGTACTCTCGTCATTTCACTCATGTGGCATCCCCATCGATCTGCTACTTTCTAGGGGAAACTGGGGAGTCGATCTTCAAGCGGGGTCACAATACGGCTACAAGTTGCTTTTCGTCGTCCTCCTGTCAGGATTGTTTGCTGCCTTTCTGCAGGTGCGTGTTTTGAAGTTGGACTAGTGCATGTTCTGACTTATGCCTTCCAGGTCCTGGCGACTAGACTAGGGGTTGTCACAGGCCTAGGTGAGCAACGTGCTGCCTCTCTAATTCATAGTCAATTCTAACTCTTACCAGACTTAGCATCCCACTGCCGTCTCCTGTTCTACGATAGACCTCGCCATGGTCGCATATGGCGATGGGCCGTCCTTTACCCTCTATATGCGCTATCCGAGGTTGCAATTGTTAGCACAGATCTTGCAGAACTTCTAGGCTCGGCCATCGCTCTCAACCTCCTGTTCCCAGCGCTTCCACTATGGGGCGGAGTGTTGTTGACCTCCGCCGACGTTCTACTCATCTTAGCGCTGGGAAACCCCTTGAATGGTAAACCTGTAAGAATGTTCGAGTTGATAATTGCAGCACTAGTGAGTTCATTGTTGGCTGGCTAATGGACAGTTGATAGTGGGTGCTAACTTTGTGTAGGTGTTTGCCGTCCTTGTCTGCATGGCCATTATCATAGGCAAGACCACTGTACAGTGGGGCACAGCCTTTGACGGTTTCGTGCCATCCAAGGAGATATTCGCAGACGGTGCACTGTATACATGTATGCCTTTTAACTTCCTTCAAACATTTCTGGGTTAAGCCTTGTATACAGCTGTAGGAATTCTCGGTGCAACAGTCATGCCTCATAGTCTCTTCTTGGGCTCTCACCTTGCGACACAAGATAGAGTTGCTGGAGCGCCGCTCAAGACAGTTTCTACCACTACTAGCTCGGCCTTCAGTTTCTCGCTTCGCAACGAAACACGCCTACAGCAAGTTGTCAGGCGATCTCTCCGATCATTCGGTACCTATTGTGCATCGCTCTTCCGCGCAGAAAGCTCGAATGCCCCCGCACTGCCAGCAAGCCACGCGGAGAAGGAGAATAACAGCTACGCTTTTGTCGCGGCCCACCTATACCATGCAATGGTCGATATCGTTGTTTGCTTACTGGGTTTTGCTGTCATCATCAATTCAATGTACGTTTCAACCGTAATGCGCTCTTGCCTCCTCTCACCAATTAATTGCGTAGGATCCTCATCTTGGCGAGCGCTGTTTTCTTCTATCAGTCGGGGGAGTATGGGAATGAATCTCCCGCAAGTCTGTTTGATGCCCATACTTTGATTCAGTCAACGATTGGCAAAGGTTGGCATTTATCGTTTCGTGTTTTCATAAAGTTGGCTCTGACGAATAATTAACAGGTGCCGCCCTTTTGTTTGCGTTGGCCTTGCTTGCTGCAGGCCAGAGCGCCTCCATCGTGGCCACAGTAGCCGGACAAAGTGTCTCCGAGGGCTTTTTGCGGTGGAAAGTCTCCGTAAGTATCGTTTACGTTTCTACTCAACCCCAACTTATATGCTGAACTCTTTTTTTCAGCCCGTCGTACGTCGTCTGCTTACCCGCCTTTTGGGACTCATTCCGTCCATGGTGGTTGCAGTCGCTGTCGGTCCTTCGGGCATCAACACTTTGCTTGTTATTAGCCAAGTCGTACTTTCGATCGTCCTCCCATTCATCACTTTCCCTCTCGTCTGGCTTACCTCATCCTCCACGGTCATGCGCGTACGCAAGACACCATTGAACACGGATAGTAACTCGCCTGCACTTGTTTCATCCCATGTTACCCTCACGCATACTATTTCCCCAACGACCTCACAACCCCCTCCACCGATGCACACTCGCATGACCTCCCTCGGCTCAACTTTGTGTGAGCTACCACTTCCGGCCGCAGAGAGCGGTGCGCCGCAGCGTGCACCGCAGACGGAAAAACAGGAAGAACAAACAGACTTTGTAGACTACAGTAACGGCAAGATAGTGATATTCATTGGGTACCTTATCTGGCTCGTTATAGTCATCGCTAATGTGTACGTTATTGTAACTCTAGGCATGGGACAGGGCGGTTGATCCATACATCTGTACATATACTTGACATCGATCGATGATGATGACCTCGAAAGTGTGTGGTCACGACTTCAATCCCGCGAGAACCAAGGAACGGCAAACTTGCATCGTTCGATCTGTCAACCTGCTTTTCAAAGACGTGCCGTCTATGGCGGCGCACTCAACTCCGATAAAATATTGGCGAGCTGCTCTAGGTACGGCGCTCAAACGATTTTAATTGAGCACGAGTGGTCTTTCAAGAAGGAAGGTAAATCGTAGCAACGCAAAGATCGTGAGGCGAATTGGGTATCATTTCTGGCTCTTTATAGTTGTCGCTAATGTAATAGACGAACTTTCATCGCACTGCCATCGTCCAACGCTAACAGCATCGCAAAGAAGAAAATTCTACGGGTACGGCCGCCGTCCTAGCAGTTCGTTTACACGTACCCACTTGGGATGAGCCACTTCCCATTCCTCTTCACTTTGATGCGTTCTCCACCAGGTGTTGTTGCGGAGCCGGGGCATCATGCGGGACAGCCAAGAAGCAACAAAGTAGGCGTTGTCAATGGGCGAATCTCCTAGCGTGATGCTTGTGATCCTGGTGTTGAAAGGAGCGCCCTGCATCGGGATGTTCGTCGACGAGTTGTTGGCGAATGTGGTGTCAACAAGAATGTTTATCTCCCTGAGCTCGGGACAGTTGTGCAGGAGCATTGCAAGCCCTCGGAGGGTCACTTTGTGGCCTGGATGCCACCCGGTGAAGGGGAGACGGATGGTCAGGTCGCGGAGGTGTGGCCAGGCGAGCGAGAGCGCTGCGAGCCTGTCGTCGTTGATCGTCAATGTTGAAGTCATGAGGAGAAATCGTGTCAGGTGCTGAAAGGTGAAGAGTGGCCGAAAGAATGAAAAGTCCAAGGAGCCGGGGTAATAACAGGTCATTTCCAAGTTTCTCATCACCGTGTCCGGGGAAGAGGTGGTGAGTGCCCGGATGAAACTATCCAATTCTGGCTCTGGGGCATCGATGCCGGTCTCTAGTGAAGTGAGTCCAACAGAACTACGCATCTTCTGCAGCATGCGAATGTAGGTAGCTGGATGTAAACGGAACGGTTTCGGAATTGAAAGTTTCCGAAGCTGGGGGAATACAAGTTCCTCGAGGGGCTCGGGGTACCCATCTCTCTCGTCCCACATGGAAAGCTCTAATGTGTGCAGACACGGGAGGGAGGCCAAGGCTTCGAGCAGCAGTGGACTTCGACATCTGTCCAAGGAGAGACACTCGAGAGACCGCATAGCCGGAATTGCCTCCAGTAAGACTGCATCCAACAGGCGTATGTCCCCACCCGAGTACAAATACATGGTTAAGGACAGGCTTTTGAGAGAGGCCATGCGACCCGCTTGGATCAGGACCGGCATGGCTTTGAAGGGGACGTTATCGAAGGATAGCTCCTCTAGCTGGGGCCCCATGAGAAGCTGAAGCGACGGCAATGGACACATCTCGCCTTCAACGAGCAGCGTTCGAAGATTGGGAAGTAGAGGCAGACCCGAGTAATGCGAGATAGCGGCGAGCATTTCATGCTCGACTGTGCGCGCCGTACCGTTGGACCCGGGGTCATCGATGTCATCTCCAAAACTGCGATTTGGGTCCATGAGTTCAAGGGACTGGACTCGGTGCATATTGCGCCGACATATCTGCCAGTCACTGGGGAGCATCATTCGACGGAACGTCTGGCAAAGGATTTGACCTTAAGTTTCGTTGACTTCGTTGAAATAGGTCCACCAACGCACCGTCCGAGTGTTCTCGTTTTCCCAAATTTCATCCGGAAGACCCATGAACAGATATGCGAGGTTTGGAAGATGTCGGTAGAGCTCGTCCCGCGCTGGTTCGCTGAGTGTTTTGCATGTCAAGGCTACTTGGGCTAAATCATCATTGTCGTGGATGTTAGCAAAGATTTGAGCAAGAATTTCGGGTATGCAGAGGCCATCATGCATTTTTCATGCGTCTAGCTGTTCCCGTTGCACAGGGTTGAGACAAAAGAGTTTCGGTAAATTCTGAGAAGCACATTCTTGGCACATGGACTGTTGTTGGCGCACGCAATAGCAAGGACCCACCGCTAGTGACGCGGAGAATGCCGAAGCACAACAGCTGTTCCAACTTGTGGCTGTCTCCTAACATCATATTTTCAAAGCTGTCATCCGGGCTTTTGGTAAATCGCTGCTCTACGCTACTAACTTGCCTCATCTGATCTCCTCCACCTCGAGGCGGGTCTCCTGGAAGAACGATAACCCTTCCTCATTCAGCACTCATTTCACACCCATGTTTTAGGTCATTGTATGATATAGGTATCCTCAGTTCCTGAAAACGAAGATGCACTATCTATAAACGCGAGGCCCAAAGACCATGAAGCTCGCTTAAATAACCAGCTAGTAAAATAACGTTCAATCAAACGTGCCGTGCTTTTGCTCCTTACCAAAATGCCAGATGCAAAGTTCATGTATGTCCACGAATGAGACAAGAAAAATGTCGGACAAAGAGAAAAGCGGAGACGAGATGAAAACGATGATGATGATGATGGTGGTGGTGGTGACGATGATGGGTGACGATAGTGGTAACAGATTCCGGGATGCTATGCAAAACACAGAGCAAAGAAGAGACGATGAACATTAGCCCGTAATAGTGGAGGCGGAGACGAAGGTGGGGATGGCTGTGGAGGTGATGCGACGAAGAGACGACAGCGAAGCAAGCAGCCAGTGCAGAGGTCCAAGGCTAGAAAAACGCTAAAGCAGTGCGTCGCGGTCGCGTCCACTAGCAACAAGCTCCCGCCACTGCTTGCGCCAGTCCGTTATTTGCGCACGAATTTTCTTGTCCCCAAGCATATGTTCTATCCATGCCAGTAGGTCATTATCGGATTCCGGGATGAAAAATGATGATAGCATGGAGAGCACTGTCTCAAAGTTGGCGGAGGTTGCCGTGATGTGATCTATGCGAAATGTCAGAAAACATGGCATGACTTTATGAACATGAACTGACCCCGGTAGACCCACACAACTGCAAGTGCAACGGCAACGAACACGTCCTGGCCATCGAGGAGATACGCGTCCCATAGGCGTAGCTGCGTCTGGAATGGCACGCTGTTCGCAAAAAGCGTGATATACCACTTGGTCGCGTACGAAGTCGTGGAGATCGCGTGCTTCTTGAATGCGTTGTACACGTCAGGCATATACATTTCCATTAGTCGCTCCTGCACGTAGATCGCCTCAAGTAGACCAGGGAAGCCGGGGCTAAAGATACTGTGCATCGAGTACGCGTCATGTAACCGCACGAGCGCGGCATAAACGCGCTCGGGCTCCATGTAGCAGAGGAGTGTCGCAGCAATCGGACCCATGCCTTGAACATATCCGCACGTTTCGCATCGTAAAGAGAAAGAGTGAAGAACGTGAAATAGTGACCGTTGACTGGGATAAAACAGTTAATACCGCAATACAAAGAAAACAAGACGTCATTGATCAACCGACTTACCCCACACCGTACCGCGTCCGAAACATAATATGCCCACTAATCGTCCTCGGCACGTCCAGGTCAATCTGGATATCGTATGTCGACGGCTTGCCGAGCTCCTCGCGATATTCGTTGCCGAGCCGGGTGAGCTCGTCGTGGCCTGAGTTCGCGAACTGGTCCATGAGCACCTGCCATGCGGCGCTGCGCCAGCGGTCCGGGATGCCCTTGTATGCGCGCCGCCGCAGCTTGTGCTCTTTTGCCTGCTTCACGCCCCAAGTGGCCACGTTCCCACCCTTGTCCCGACTGCGTACCTCGAACATGCGGCCCCATTTGGCGATCCGCTCTGTCTCCTTCGGCGGGGAACCTGGCGTTGGTAGCTGACTCAGGGACTGTGCCTGGGAAGGGGCTGAGGGGGAACCTGCAGCGACCACGCTCAAGTGCTTTTGCAATGGAGCAGCGGGTAGAAGTATCAGTCGGTCGTGCGATGGGGTATTAAAGAAGCCATAGCTACAGGAAAGTCGATTGAGCAAAGACAGAGCAATCTGTATAAGCCTGCTGCTGAAACGTACCGGTCCAAACTGGCGAGCAGATCGACCTCCTTTTCATCCAGCTCGCGGTACTTGTCCGACGGATCCCCAGTGGCTGCCTCCATACGGAGAGCACTCGCACTACTCACGCGTGCGCGCGCCCGAGTACGCTCAACGCCTTCCTCATATCCGTCGCCTTTCACGCCAGTGTGTTCGAGTTGCGCATATGTGCTGCGGATGAGGAACGAGTCGACATCCTCGCCTTCTGACCTTGATATAGACGTAGTCGTGGTGTCGCTTAGAGCTTTGTTCTGTCTTGATGGTGAGGACGACGGCGTTTGGAAGTCAGGAGTCTGCGGTTCGGGAAGTGGAGGCGGTGGTGGAGGGACCGAAGGCATTGACGTCGAAGGTGTTGGTGGAGTGAGGATAACGGCAGGGTCATGTTCGGGCGAGTCTGCTGCGTCCGGCACGGGGCGTGAAGAGTGTCTTGATTCCGAGTGACGGCTGTTGCGGACAGAAGAAGGGGATGGTGAGGCCTCGGGGTTGCTGGGTGGGATTGATCGATTGGTTGGGGCAGTCCGCGGGCGCTGGTCGTTGGAGGATGAATGCGGAGAGGGGATCTCGAGTGTATTCCTGCCTTGCGATGATGTTGTGGCATATGCTGACTCCCGGGCGTATGAAAGCCGTCCCGAGCTACTTGAGCTATAAGGTCTTGACATGGGCGGTCGCCGCTGCGGGTGTACGGAAAGACGTTTGTCGAAGGATTGCTGGTTGGTGAGATCGACGTATGCAGCATCACCTACAGCTTTGTAAGGACTCGCTTGTTGAAATATGTTGCTGAAGCTGTCACCGAGAGCGAGCTGGGCGAGCTCCTGCTTTGGGCTCTTCTCGGCTGCAGACCAGCTGGCCGGTTGTTGTTCTTCGTCACCATACATCGAATATATTGTAAAAATGGCACTCTCCGTCGAGGTTCGCTCCTGATCCGAGTGGGCGAGCTCTGGAATGCTCGTAATGGTTAATGCGGGTGAATTCTGTAATGTTTGGACGGGGGTTGGGGGGGCTAACGTTGGGGCCTGTGCGTCCATAAAACTGGTCCGGGGTATTGCTTGAGAGTGGGAGGAGAATATTGAAAGGTAGAAAAGATGAAAAGAGCGGCGTGTTATGGAGAGAAAAAGAGGGGAAACTTGGGGGTGACCTTGGGAGGGTCGACCCTTGGAGGATCCAATATCGTCTCCCGAAACGGTATTGTGTAGCATCCACTTCTTCGTCACGATTCCCCGGTCCCATGGCAGCGCCGCCTGCTCCGCTCACACAGCACACGCTATTCCGCCATCACTCATTGACATTAGAACGCGCTAGGCTAGTTATTGACTACGCAAACATGGATAGCCTGAAGCACCTCCGCCTCAACACTGGTCTCCGTACAATACTCTAGGTCTCCGTGAAACAAGGATAGGATCATGCTCCAACTATGACGACGTGTGCGCACCCGTCATCGCACATATCCTCGGGTGCCACGCATTGAAACCCGACCATCCTCCTATAACCGCTCCCGCTCTAAGCACCGAGATGATTACCGGCGTGTTTCACCACACTGGACGTTGCGAATAGATGGAGACCACTAGCACATGTATAGATGTACAGGAGAGAGGTCTGAATGGTCAATTTAGGAGTCGTCTGCCAGCTTCGGTATAATCGGGGCATTTGGAAATCCCCTGAGTTGTTCGGTCCGAGGAACGGAAGTAGTAAGCCAATAGAAAGGTGTTAATGAATATTGCTTTCACGAGCGAAGCGAAGTACAAGAACGTGAACAACCTGTTTGCCAGGTGCATCAGAACGGCTTGATGGCCTCGAGGCAATATCGCTACACACGTTGCATTCTTTTACCGTCAAAGCATCATGTGGTTCTCAGACAGGCGTTACCAACGAACTCAGGCACTGTCCGGGTTTATAGTCATAAACCAATCAGTACTTACCCAAGAAGATGCGGCCATATGAATTTATTGATGCTTTAAGAGCCACGATGACTCAGGATAAGATAAAGCTTGAGCACTTGAGCTCTCGGCTGGGCAATAAATGCCTCAAAGCTAGCGCAGGGGCCAGGTGACGCGCGTCCGAGTTCTGTAGATCTTGTCTGCGCCCATGGCACATCTACGATATCTTTTTCCAAGTCTTTTTCTCCAAGCTTAATAAGCTTAAGCTTGGGCATGTAGGCAAGAGCTTGCTAGGCGCATATGTTCATGTTTGTAATCGCAGTTAGTAGCTCGCAGAAAAGCAGTTGAGAAATGATGAAGCTGAGGTGAGAGATCTGCAAAGGCTTCGGGATGAGGTAGATGGGTAAGTGGCGTTTGCCGTTCGGACCCTCCGCCCGTGAACATGTCAGGCAATACCGTCACTCACGCCCGCCCCTTGCACTCTCCTCGCCTCTGACGAACATAGCGACATCCCTTTGACGCGCCAGCCATCCCTGCGCTTGGCCTTGACTACACTCCATATTTGCCATTCGTCTAGAGCAGGCTGACGACGCGCACGTACGCGCCATGTGGGAACGCACTCTCCAAGATCTCATCCGCGGGCTGCGCGCCAACAAGAACGACGAGGCCAAGTTCATCGCCCAGGCAATAGATGAGATACGCAAGGAGACCAGGAGCAAGGACATGGAGCTCAAAGCTGCAGCCATCATGAAACTCGCATACGTGCGTCCAAACTACATCATTATCCCTGCTCCCCTAAACATGATAACTAGCCTATCTCATATGCTTGCTAACACTTCTCGTCGCATAGCTCGACATGCTTGGCTATGATATGAGCTGGGCAGCATTCCACATCGTCGAGGTCATGTCCTCGCCTCGGATACACCTCAAGAGCGTCGGCTACCTCGCTGCGGCGCAGTCCTTCAACGAGGACACCGATGTCCTCATGCTCACTACCAACCTTCTCAAGAAGGTGCGCCCACACCATCTCTCCAGCCGTCCTGCTCATCAGTCTGACATGGTCGCCGTCCCCAGGACCTTAGCTCTGCACCTGCCGATGTCGCCGTGACGTTGAATGGCCTCTCACACATTGTGACGTACGATCTCGGTCGTGATCTCAGCAGCGAGCTCATTGCCATGCTCAACCATTCGCGCCCCCACATCCGTAAACGTGCCATACTCGCTCTCTATCGCGTATTTGAGAAGTATCCGGATGCTATACCGCATGGTATCACACGACTGCAAGAGAAGCTCGACGATGCTGACTCTGGTGAGCTTCCTCCATAACTTCTAAGAATGCTACGTTCATTGTTAATCTATGTCTCTAGGCGTCGTCGGAGCAGCTGTCAATGTCCTTTGTGAGCTTGCAAGAAAGAACCCGGCAGACTACCTCCCCTTAGCACCTCACCTCTTCCACTTGCTCACGACATCGTCCAATAACTGGATGTTAATCAAGATCGTGAAACTTGTAAGTGAGGCTACCCTTGTTGTCATTTCAAACTGACGTATTCCAATAGTTTGGCTCCCTCATGCCCCACGAACCGCGTCTCGTCAAGAAGCTCCAGCCACCAATAACCGATCTCATCGCGTCAACCTCAGCTATTTCCCTTCTCTACGAATGTGTACACACCTGCATCGTCGGCGGCATGCTGACCGGTACCTCCGGTTACTCTCTCGCGCAAACGTGCGTATCGAAGCTGGCAGCCTTCCTCGAGGATCCAGACCAGAACCGTAAGCTAGGAGCAATGTGCGGACTGCGACAGCTAATTGAGGTTTGACCTCGCAGTGAAGTACATCGCGCTGCTGGCCATGGTGAAGATCGTTCCGTCACATCCGCATCTCGTTGCAGAGTACCAGAAGACGATCTTGAGTAGTGTGGATGACGAAGACATGAGCATACGCATGCGGGCGCTCGACCTTGTCTCGGCTTTGGTGCGTCTCAGGACACCCGATTTGAAGACCGTAGTTAATCCGTACTTCTAAAGGCCACAAGAGACAACCTACAATCCATCATTCAGCAATTGCTCTCGCATCTAGCAAAGCCCGACACGTCTATGCCCTCCGCCGTCGAGTCGCTCTCGCAACAGCTTGTCGCACCAGCACAGAACAAGCCTACCGCTCCTTCGCAGCAATCTAGCGCATATCGCATTGTGCTCGCGCAACACATCGTGTCCATCTGTGCACAGGACACATACGAGCACGTCGTCGACTTCGAGTGGTACTTGTCCGTGCTCGTCGACCTCGCGTACATCTCCAACGTAAATGTTGGCCCATTGATCAGAGACCAGCTCGTCGATGTCGTTGGCCGTGTGCGCGCGGCGCGCCGGTATGCTGTGCAGCTGATGGTTCGCGTGTTAAGCGATGATACGTTCTTTGCGAATGCGAGTGAGCCAGGAGGATGTGCGGAGATTCTGTGGGCGGCTGCGTGGATATGTGGGGAGTTCTGCTCGTGAGTCTCATCCCACCACCTTGCTTAGCTGAACTCAGACTCACAATGCATAGGGAGCTCACTTCGCCAGAAGATCTTCTACCGTACTTGCTCAAGCCCGAAATCGCCGTTTTGGACGCGGAGACTATCGCAGTGTACATCCAGGCAGTGTTGAAAACCTTCGGACAATGGGCCGCAGACTGTGCACAAGAGTGGTCAGAAGGCTTGCTTCCCCAACTGAAGAACTCAGTCGACACAATTATCGAGGGCCTCTCCCCGCTCGTGACGAGTCCACACATCGAGGTCCAAGAGCGCGCCGCAAACGTTATCCAGCTGTTTACCTTCGTCAAGCACGACCTCGCCGCACACCAGCCAAAGCACGTGTTGGACCCTACGACTGAGAACGCGTTCGCAGACGGCTTTGACACCATGGCGGGCGTGGCCGTCGAACCTACGTTCCCGAAGAGCTTGTACCTCATATCGCCACTCTTCAGCTCGCATGAGCTGCACCCGGTAGCCCCTGCGGCGCAGGCGAGCGTGCCAGTGCCCGAGGGACTCAATCTTGACGCATGGATCGTGCCTGAGATGGAGGAGAAGCCTGTTGTTAGGCTCGAGGCAGACGAGGAGGTTGTCGATCGGAAAAAGAAGGGCAAGAAGGGCAAGGAACGGGAGAAGGACGGGCCTGGGAAGGTAAAGAAGGGAAGCAAGAAGCGAAAGGAGGAAAGGAATGATTATGGGTATGGGGACACGCTTGCTCCGGCGCCTGATGAGACGCCCGAGGAGAAAGCTGAGCGCGAGCGGGTGAGTGATTATGAAGATTGAAAGTAATCCCGACCTGCGTCTGAATTCATCACAGAGGAAAGCCGAACGACTAGAAAAACAGCGCGATGACCCATACTACATCATGGACGACCGGCAGCGTAAGCATGCTGTTAGCGTCGATGACATCGACGCGATCCCGATCGTCCACCTCGACGACATGCCTGCTTTCGCCCCCGAAGCGCGTCCACCGCCCGGCCCGCGCCTACCATTGCTCAAGGGCTCGTCGGACAACGGCATCCCCCGATTTATCGTCGAGAAGACGGGAGAAATGCCCAAGGGCGCCATTGCTTCAGCCACTGCAGCCGCTATCGCAGCCGTGCGCTCAGCTTCGCCATCGCCATCCGTCGCTTCAATGCTGCAGAGTAGGCTGCAGGCACACTCGCCTATACCGGGATCGGGCACGCAGTCGCCACGCTCGCTGCCTTCGTTCCAGGAGTACGATGTGTCGGACGACGCGGCACCTGCGACGCCGGAGCCGATCAAGGTCACCAAGGCCAAGAAGAAGAAGAAAGAGGGAACATCGGGAGGCAAGAAAAAACGGACAGTCAAGGAGAGCGAGAAGGTCGCTGATGAGATTGCCTCATGATGGACTCTTCCAACTTTTTACACGGCCTATGATCGGTCTCTGCCTGCGGCTGATATAGCCGCCTGGTCGCGCGCTTGTTCACTCCTACGTTTTCGTAATCTCAATGAGCATGTAAACATATTGTGCAGTGTCGACATTTAGTAAACCATTTATATGTCGGTGTTAGCTCCTAGCACAAAGGCATTAGCACCGCGAATGGTGCAAAGCGAGCACTATCTCGTCCTTCATGCTCATGCTATGCCTTTAGATTTTGTCTAGATTTGATGTTATCGCCATCAAGTGTGTCGTATATGTGTAATGATACAGTTTGCTACCCCAAAATCACGATGACATCGCAGTGCAAGGGAATGAGATACACCGGGATGTAACTGCAAACTTGCGAAGAAAACGTGACGGTGAACAATGCAATGAACATTGAAAAAATATTAGGGTAATAAAAGGAAAATGCGTGATATTAGCTCAAAAAAGTGAGTGTCAACAACCAAAAGCCAAACAAGCAGATGTGATCCGGGAAGGAAGAAAAGACAGATTGAGGACAGACACGGCTAGTTTGAGAGGGCTTGAAGAGCGACGGCGCGGCACGGGGTGCCGTGACTATTGAGTGGATGGAATACTTGAGAACTAGACGGCTGTCCGCGGATATATATGTGTGGAGACGAGGAATACATGAGTGAAATATGAAATGAATAAGCAAGAAAGATTGCCGCCGTTGCAGTTCAAGAATCCTCGACACGTTCGACAGAGTCCACGATCTCGTTCACGAGTTCCATAGTGACACCAGGAATGATACGCTCTGCGTCTGTGAATGCTCGCTGCAATGCACTCAGAGCGACACGAGCCTCTTGTGTCGAGACGCGAGGGAATAGCTATGTGAACATGTCAGCCAATGACTAACAAAGATGGGATAAGACCCGCTTACGGAGGCAATCGCAGGTAAAATGACAGAGTCGAGCATGGTCGTATCTGGCAGCTCATCCCCTGAAGGAGGCGGCCCCCGAGCACGACCATATGTATCTTCGTACTCGTCATCGTAATCATCCTCGTCTGAGGGCTCGCGTGTCGCATTCCTAAAGTTCTGTACACCCCCACCTATCACGCCTGCAGCGTGGTTCAGTATTCATGCAGCTTCATGCTGCAAATCGTCGACTAACCTGTATGTACTTCATTACCATTGGATCGCGGCGTGCCCGGTGACGTGCCTGATCCAGGGATTGGAGGTAACTCCGTCTTCACGTTCACTATCGAACCAGGGCGCTGCTTGGTCGCGGTTGAATTACTGGCCAAAGACTCGACAGAACCACCCGATCGACTCGTCCCTCTTCCGCCATCCTTCATCTCCCATGTCAATGGTGGACCCGATACTTTGATAGAAGCAAAGTTCGAATTACGCCCGACGGTACCCGTCCGCCCGGCATGTCGCACAGTGCCGAAATCCCAAAGATCTTCAGGATCCTCGGCATCGCCTCTTGAGAAAGCAGAGATTTATCAGTGCACGATACGCCTGGACAAGGTGGTAGACATACTGCTCATCAGAAGCAGCCTGCTCCTCCTCCTCTAACCGCTCGCCGCCCTCTGCTCTCCAACGTTCGTGTCGCTCTATCAGCTCGGTCAGGTAGGACGTCTTCTTTGCCAGCCGAACAAACTTGTGCTTAAGAAGTTCTCGTGCAGTCGGACGCTGTGAAGGGGTTTAGCGAGATCAACTGCCAAGCAAGGAACAATACAAACATCTCGTGGGTCTCGCTGGAGGCAGTAGGCAACAAAGTCTCGGAAAGGCTTGGAGAAATGACTGTCTAGTAGTGGGGGTGGGTTTTTGGGAATTAAAAACAGAACCTTGTCACCAAAAAAACACTCAGCAATTGGGTAAGTCGTCAACGAAGCGCGTGTATGCTCACCTTCATGGGGTGCAGCTCGGCATATGGAGGCTCCCCTTTGGCAAGTTCGATCGCGGTGATTCCTAGACTCCAAATGTCTGCCTTATGGTCGTATCCACTCTGCTTGATCACCTCCGGTGACATCCAGTACGGAGTCCCAACAAAAGTGTTCTTCTTCGCCGATAGCGTTCCCGACAATTGCCCCGAAACACCAAAGTCAGCGAGCTTGACATCACCAGTTGCGGATAGCAATATGTTTGCAGCTAGCCAGAGGTGCATATGTTATATGACGATGCGCGAGGATCAGGTGCAGCGGTGCGCACCTTTGATGTCTCGGTGCAGTTTGCCCTCTGAATGGAGGTATTCCAGACCCTTGAGCAGCTCACGAACGATGATAGCGATGTATTCTTCCCGGAACACACCCGGTTTCATCTACAGGTGACTGTTAGAACTTCGTCGGAGTAAAGCATTGAAGTACTGACAAGATCGGAACAAGAACCTCCCGAGCAATATCTTAATCACAACGCTCAGTTAGCCGGTACCCACGGTCAAGAGATAGCAGCAGACTCACTCCATGACAATCCATAAGTTTGATCCTTTCAGGAATGATCCATGGTATCTATTTTGAAATTTGATGCACGTCAGTAATGCGTCACAGACGCGCTCCTTGAAGGTAGAGACAAGCAGCAAAGGGAAGACCGACTTGGTGACGTGTGGGGAATCCATCTGCGAAAGTATCTGGATCTCCTGCTGGATGTCCTCAATCTCGTCCTCCGCGCTCTCTAAATCAATAATCTTAATGGCTACTGTCTTCTGTGTCCGCTTGTCATAGCTGAATTGACACCCGCAGATTTGACCGAGTGGACGGACCGCAGCAGATTCCGGTAGCATAAACCATGGGGAAATTGAAAGATCAAAGGCATGAGCAGCGCGATGCGAAAGATGCTAGCGAGAACGCACCCCTTGTACACCTCCCCGAACGAGCCCTTGCCTATAGCAAACACTGCTCAGCCCTGATCCGTGTCGAGAGTCCGAGAAAGGCACTGAGCACCCACCTATCCTGTCCTGCTTGACATAGTACTCCTCTGGATCTTGCTGCCTTGCGTCCTTTCGTGGGCTGAGCATGTACATCGAGGGCACTTTTCCGGTGAGCAGACGCACCATTGTAGTGATATAATAATTTCAAAGGTCGTGATGTCGCTATTCAAATATTCAGGTGAGACACTTTAGCCGCCCGTGCTTGGTTATATGACGTGATGGTATCGTGGTATGGATCCTCGCTAGAGTCGTTTCCGTGCAGGGGGGTCGTGAGTGGTATACTGCGCTTGCAGGCGGGTAGACGGAGGGCAGACGATGAGGCAGCGATTGGGCGAGACGCTAGACGGAGGAATACAGCTTTGGTTTGGTTCACTTCCTTATTTGTCTGTCCGCGCTGCTTGAGTGCGTAATCACACATTATCAAAGTTTGTAATTATAAGGCCGGCTCTTTCCCCTGTGACGCAATAACAATCTTTGATATGTAGATCTATAAAGATGCCTCTTGACTAGTGTGATCGCTGGGTCAGTAACTATACATGTCAGGCCAGTCTCGAGTGCCGGCCGTCCGTCAACTGACGATGGTGGACATGAACATGTAGCTAGTAGACACATCCATAGACTCGTCCAGGCTTTCCTTGGACTCACCCCTCTCACCCCCGGATCATTTCACTGCGACTCCAGTTGCTACCCGGTTTGTTCCAAGGTTGCTTCTGCCACCTACTTGCATGACGTCGTTCTTCCACCTCGTTGTTCCTCGCCGTCAGGGCTTTTGAATTTCCAACAAGTTCTTATTCACAAGTAAACGTCCAAATCGCTACGATCAAAAAAGAACACGAGTCGATATCGAGCACATTGGGGTCATCGGACCGAACTAATCTAAATCTTCTTCAAACGGCACATCTACTGACATAGACCAATCGTCACCACAATGCATGACCAAACACATATCCTGGTATCAAGCTTGTTCTTAACGCATAATGATCCATGAAACTCTGAGCTTCCAAAGTGGACGGTTCGACCGTGTGTTGATCGTGTTCGGCATTCTCCTTTGCATGTCAGCGATTGCCTGCCAGCTACAGGTTTTTCCGGTGTTCCTGTAGCCCCATCATTAGCGTCATCATAGCGGGCTAACGATCGAAAGAAGCTCACAGGTGCATGCGTGGTCTCATGATCAACATGCACAAACGCCCGCTCGACGTTTGGCAGAATTTCAATTTTGTCCTGGAGCTGCTGGCTGATATCGTGTGCCTTCCATAAAGGCGTTGAAGCGTCCATGACAATGTCAACCTCTACAAAGTAGTTCTGTATATGCGCGAGTCGACATTAGCTTGCTCGAGCATGACCAAGAGATTGTTCCACGCACAGGTCCGCTCTGTGTGAAATAGTAATGGTGAGTTCTCGCAGCGCCGAGTAGTGAACAAATTTGACTAACATGGTATGCTCGCACAGTATCAATCTGCTGAATGTCCTCGCTAAACGTCATTGCCTTATAGATGATAAGCTGCAAGAAGTCGTAGGGCGCCGACTTGCCAGCGAGAAGCTCGAATTGCTCGTAAATAGTCTTGAGCCAAGCAACAATGACGCCCAAGCCAATCTACACACACGAAGGTGAGAACACTTCCACAACTAAGATGAGAGAGATATGGTGCGTACGACAATAGCGCCAACCGGGTCGAGCCCTGGGCATCAATACGTTAGGATAACATTACTTCAGAAAGAGAAGAGGCGTACACCACATAAGCCTACTTCCACCTGCAGACATAAGAAGACCTACAATGCATCAGCACCATGCCGTGTGAGACGTTCCAAATAGCGCACCAAAACCGTTTACGAACACATCGTTCCTGTGATCCTCCCAAAGAATGTGCACCTGACTGGACTTCTTCCGGATCGCAGTGCAGTATGCAAACAGTCCGCCTTTGACGGCTATACGTGTATCATCAGCTGAGATTCGTAGACGGATAGAAGGTTATATTCGCAGTAGGTACATACCTAGGGCAACTGCGACCGCGAGGATGGACGCCAAGTGGAACTCCTTGTCCTCGTCTTTGGAAATAATCGATCTCACGGACTCCACGACGACGACCAAGTTGACCGCAGACATCCTGAGCCATGTTAGCTTCATTCAGGATATGTCATGGATCAATTTACAGAGAGCCTTAAGTAACGTCAGCGTTTCGTAACGCCAAGGGTAGATGAACATTCACCATAGACGATGTTACCAATAGTTTCGAGACGAGCACCACCGACGGGCCACTTGTTGACGTCCATGCGTTCGGCTTGTTTGTGAATGAGGTAGAGCCACACGTTACTCCCGAAGTCAAATACAGCGTCAATGGAAGTAGCGATGAGAGACAGAGAGATGGCCGAGACAGCTGCATATACTGCAAGGGCGGAGTGAACAGGGACCAGACGACGATAAGGAAAAGGTCTTACACTGGAGAACGCATAAGGCAAAGTTGGCCACGAGACTGGCATAGATAGCAATCTTCACCTGCAGAATGGTTGAGTACGAAAACGATGCGAAGATGGGTTCGAAGAAGCTTACAGGCAAGCGAGCACTCTCCTCGTCGTCTTCGGCTTCCGAGGTGTGCTGAGCCATGGGCTTTAGCAGCGACTCTATCAGCTATGCCAGACATGTAATTCAGAGGATGCCAACAGGATAATGATAGTTTAACCCACAGCATTCTGCTTGCGATGAAAACCTTCGATGCGTTTTCCAGTCCTGCCACCATGGCGCTGGCGGAGCTCCGAAAGTTCGTGATCGGATTTGAGTCCACCCCTGAACTGGTATGGGTCTTCATGCGAATGCACGGAAGCTTGCGGGGAAGACTCGATGTCCTTGCGGCCTCCTGGAGGGTAAAGCAGCTGGATATTTGTCGTGACGATAAGGACATCGAAGGAAAGCTTAGGACGTAGTGCTCACCCGAGGTTCGGTAGCGGAAGTGGTGGCAGTCGGTTCAATGGTGGTAATTGACATCCTGAGCTGCCAATGGGTCCTGAAACCTAAGGAAGTAGACTTTCAAGCCAGCGCGGGTGGGTTTTTGAAGAAGCCGCAGTGATATGAGGATGGGGAACGGCAAGAAGGCAAGACGCGGGAGCCTCGCGCTGTGGGGTGGGGAGAAAACGAAGTGCACAGACCTTGTACAGCTGTCATCTGGAGGCCGAGCTGCGAACTACTGCGACCGCGCCCTCGACTCCGAAAAGCGTAAGCTTTCTTTGTCAAGAAATCTTATCAGACAGAGTCTTGGCAATCCGGCACGGCACCCGCCGCCGGCAGTCGGCCGATCCAACAACCTTTCCTCTTCACCCCCACAGCGTCAGGCTCAGCCGCATCCATGGTTGACCATGGGAGCACGTCGGGACTCGTCCCTCTCTTCTTCATCCTCGCCCTTCTCATGTATGTCAACCCACTACGACAACTAATCATTAACATGGCTGACGCAAATCTCAATCAGATTTCTAATGCTAGGATGGTGCCTTCTCTCGTCCTGTCTTGGAGTCTCTATCATGCATATGGTTCGGGAGATGTGGGAGGCTGCTACACTTTCTGCAAACACGAGAACACCGAACAGGAGACGCGGCTTTGCGGGGGAAGAGATGTATGAAATGGAGTTTCGGAGTCGCACTAGTAGGCTTTCGTGATCCAACTCGTATACCACCAAAACTTCCCCCAATATCAGACGATGGTTGACCAAGTATCGTCATCAATCACGATGGTGTTCTTGCGAGTTTGGTTTCAAACCGGTTGTGACGACAATGTGCTCCAGCATACCTCACCCACGTCCCTCATGCGCAGGTCCACACAGAGCTCAGACTGCATCGGTCGAAACCAAGATGCATGTATAAAATGGCTTGTCCGTTAATGATGCTCCCAACACACCTTTCCTCTCCTGCACACTCGTGCACCCTGATTGTTGACCCCGTTATCCTCAATACTATACCGCAATGCGCGTTCGTTCGTCATCCATCATTGCGGCAACCTTGGCTGCCACTCAGCTCTCCCCGACTCGCGCTACTCCTGTTCGGGCTGCACGAGGTACGGGTGTCATGCTTCTTCAGGAATAAACAAGCTCACCACGCCGTTTCAGTACCTATATCAGCGCCAGATACACCAACTCATGACTCGCGGGGCGCTGATGCCGTTCAGACACTCGGCGACCTGCTCGGCGGCCTTCTCCCTCCACTCGTGCCTCTCCTAACCGGCCTTGGCCTGTATGACGCGACCAACCCTGCTGCGCTCATCGACACCGCCTCTCCGGCCATGCAGAGCGCCATCCAGCAGGTTATCCAATCTCTCAAATCACCCAACGCCTCAGGAGTTACGGGCACAGTCTCGGGTGTTACGGGTACAGTAGGCGGAGTCGTCGGGGGAGTGCCAGTGGTTGGCGGCGTAGCCAACGGGGTGACATCCGCCATTCCCGGCGTGGTTTCGGGCGCTACGGGCACTGCGAGCGGTCTCACAGGTGGTCTGACCTCGACGATCCCTGGGCTGGGCTCTTTTGGTGCAGTTCGAACGAATGCAAGTAATGCTCAGAACGCCCCTCGCACCTCCATGGACCTTGATTCTGAGATTGACGTCTTCACCGCCCCTCGTGCACCACCAAACACCCCCGAGCATCGGTCGTCCATGTCACCTGTGCAATCACCCTCGCCGCTGCATGCTTTTACGGAGCAGGGACTTGGGTATGGCCCTGCGATATCAGGAATCCCTACCAAGCTCGATGATGCAAGTGCGGAGTATTCGTCTGGTGCGCCGCCGCCAAAGGATTATAAACCATTGGCGCCGATTCCCGATATCGAAGAGGAATCAGATGCATTTGCTGACGGCGATGAAGGATGCTGAGATGCTGAGCCGCTGATGAGATGGCTTCTAGATCTATGTTATTTGACTGTATGCATGAATATTATACCTGTATCATAATACGAGAGTTAGATCACTGGTATCCTGAATATCCTGCAGGCACCGCCGCGTGTGAGCGTCGCTTCGAACCGCTTCGAACTCACGTCTATCTCCCTCGACGTGAAGCCATGCGTTATGCTGACAGTGAAATGGAGGGCAGCCTCACCAGACAACAGTCTACGTGGTGCCCAGAGTTGCGTCCCTACCACATATCCCGCGGAATTCTGGTAGATGGTGGGAGATGCGTCGAGTGCAGGAGGTCACTTTGCAGCCATGGCCCATTCCGCCCAACAGCGGTATGATCTCCGCGATGAGGTTGCAAATCATGCACTTTTGGATATCATGATCCGTCTTTCTTGGTCCCAAGCAGCTTCAATTGGTAGATCGTGATTGGACCCCTGCCATCGTTTTCGAACGCATCCTCGAACGTTATCTTCAGGCCGTAAAGCCCACTATCGTCCCGAGGAAGATCAAAGTTCTGCCACCCGCGAGCGCCATTAACCGTATCCACCGTCGTGAGTTCCTTCCAATCTGAGTTGCCTGGACTGGCTAGAGCTTCAATGATACAGAATCCGCAAGCATTTACGGATGAGAAAAGGATAGAGAGTCGCCGAGGGACGACAGGTTTCGTGAACATCAGCTGTACGAACTGATGGTGTTCCTGTCAGATGGTCGGGTGTCGAGTCAGGTGGCATCCCGGTGTGTTGACGAGGTTGCACTGACAGCCTCAGATGTCCATTGCTCCTCAGATTCGTCTAACATGTACTTCTTGTTGTTCTTGATGTCGGGACGCCGTGCTGTCGAACTAACACTGCACGACAGTCCATACATCAACAATCAACGGCAATGTGAGAACAAGCAAACTGACACCAATCTGCAGTCTTCGTTGATAAGGTCCACAAGATTGTCATCGCTCATGATGATTGTGACCAGTGCCCACTGGAGAAGAACAAAGAAATGTGTGTGTTTACCGCGCCGAGTCTTCAGCGCGAGTCCGGGGACTGCCGAAACACGATGTTATCAGATAACTTTTCCGCAAGTGAAGTTGAGGAATTGAGATACAGTACTACCAATAGAGGCTTTATTATCATAGGAGAAATGAAAAAGATCGAAAAAAAAGATCGAAACTACAGTACGGAATCTGAACTACTCAGAAGAAGAAGAAGAAGAAGAAAAATAGGTTTCCTCGGTCACTCAACCTCACTTGATCACCAGTCCTCCTGTGCTCGAAATCAGGCAGTGACTACGAAGGCAGTCATTGTGCCTGACTGAGTATTCCTTTCTTTTGTTTTCGCTACCCAGATACAAACCAGTATCGCATAAAAATTTATGGGAATTATTTGCCCGATCTAAAGCATCACCATTAACTTCGCCATGCTCCTTGATTTAGGTTCCGAAACACTCACCATGCCGACCGCCACATATGAAGCATAGTTCTGCATAGTGGTGACAATCATAAAGGCAATCAAACAAAGAGAGTAAATAACTCCGCATTCAAGAATAACACGAGCCAGAGAGCTAAGTCGGTGACGTTGTTTGTGATCAATAGAGGTTCGTCTTGCTATCCACAATTTATAGCTCAAAAGACCTTTGTGTCGTCAGCATGGAAGGCGATGAAGCAGTATCGTAAGATGAACAAACATGTGGGAACCAAGTCTGTGACAAGCACCATGGTAAATGAGGCGAGGTTCCATCTTTCGTCAGACCCAGCCATGAAGTCGCTACCAACGGACCGCGATGCGTTTATGATAGTGACAATGGTGAGAGCTATGCAAGTTTTAGAAGGGAATTTGGTGGACTGCAACCGTAATTACCTGCCGAAGCACAGTCGGTTATTGCAAAGGGAATGACAACCCATAGGGTATTCCACATTCTATAGCAGCGATAGATCTGGGTAAGACGATTAGGTCGTGCTGCTGAACGGTCATCATTCATGCCGATTATTGTGCTTACTAGTATCGAGTCACCCAAAACTGATTCTATGAGATAGCATATGTCCTTGATAGTTGTGTATATGTCGGCGGTGTCATCCATGGCGAATGTCTCTTGTTGTTCCGCCGGTACAGTAATTTCACCTTGATATACCGTAAGTATCTGCGTCATAACGTGCTAATGTATCGCAAGTCAGACGGTATACTTAGGTTTATTTTGTAGGTGGGTGGTTACCGCCGTGCTCAACATAAAGAGCAGCACAGATGCGCCACCAATCAACTGCTTGATGCGGCCAGCAAAGAGTCCTGAGAGCTGAACCGAAGCGGCTGCAACGAATAGCGAAACACAAAAGCCTAATAAAAAGTTAGATGGTCAAGTTCCCCAATAGCCATTATTTTGCAACACACCATAGAGTACACATTCGACAATGAGTGTGAGCAAATCCGCTGCCTTGGCTCCCGAGGACATCTGAAGCGCTAAATGTGAGATAAGCCGATAACATGCTATGGAAATTGAACAGTTCGGTTTTTATACCTGGGATCCGGTTTACCGCCTTTCAGTTGCAATGTTGAGTATAAACGCTTCGCGGGAACGATTCGGAGTGCACTGGCAGCTTTGGTGCTTCGCGGGAACGGGCTACCAATCAGCCAGCGATATCCAGCAATACAGCCTGGCAGCCGGGATGGGCGCGTGACGTCCATACTTTCATAAACGTTGACATTGAGCCGTTGAGAGTGACCGGCCCAATCGAATTTACGAGTAGATTATCAGTCGTCCACTGGGAAACATTGTAACGTTCTTCCAAGAAGTTTGGCTAAACATCACATCACAGCATAAGGTGCCCATGAGCAGACCGATTTCATATAAGAGAGTCGGAAGGGTCTAACGAACGACGCTGGAGCGATGTGGAATGAAATAAACGTGAACAACCACCTGAACCGTCAATGTCAAGGCGCCGACACTAAGTATAACATTCGGCTGTCAACGATTTGAAACTGCAGTGTATCTTGATGTTACCTTATTCTAACTCGCTTTCCGTTACGAGATTTTACAGTTCTTCCGATGCTATTATTGCAACATACTTTGACATGGAGTGCGAGGCGTCAATCCATTGGCAAATCCTGAGATTACCTATACATGAAAATTGAGACCCGCGAGGAGACCAAGCAACAGTAGGTTGAATAATGAAAAGGTGGGAAACAACATGCATCTTCATTGCTTCTCATCCTGCGAGGGCAATGCGAGGGTGTCTAGAAGCCTGGAAGAAGAAATTGGGGTGGTATAGTGCTGTGACGTCATGGTAAACCCTAACCTTAATGCCATTAGTCATTGTGCAAAGAACGGTAGCGAACATTCTGGGTTTGGCGTACATACTATGGCGGCATTGTCCAGGCTGTCGACTCCGGCTGACACAAAGACAAGGACACGGACACAGCAAAGGTCACTCATTTTCCTTCTCTCCTCAGACCACCACAGGCTAATCCACGATTCGCCTTTCAGCGTGTCTGCGTCGTCGCTGGAGAGCAATGAACGGCAACAACGACAGCAACGATAGCTCAAGCGCCTCCCCTCCAAACGGTGGCGGGCGTCGCTTTGGGCAAGGGCTGCAACCCGGAACAGCCCTCCATAATATGCTCAGGAATATCAGCCACGTCTTTACGGGTCCATCCAACCATCCTGGACCACCTGCACAAGACGCAGCGAATGGTGCAACTCAGGGAGCGCCACTGAGTGGACGTCACTCGACCATTGATAGCGTCGATTCCACGCTTAGCGATCACAACGTGTCTCCTCCCGACCACCATCCTCTTCCCTCCAGTTCTTCTCTTCCTCCAGCTCCCTCATTTTTACCAGACCCACCACTTCCCACAGTTCACGCTCCTGCTCCATCCCTCCCTCCCTCCAGCTCTAATCAACCTCACTCATCGCAGCCCGGCCAGAGCGCCAACCGAGGCTTCGACTACGGCTCGATGCCGTCACTCAATTTGTCTGACTCGTCAGACGCTGAGGTTGAGCGCGACGTTGTTATGATGGACGACCACGATAGCACCTGGACGGACGACTCCAACGACTCCCTTGAGCTCCCGCCCCTTCCGCCCCTCCCCCCTCGCACAGGCAGCCGCCGTGCACGCGTAGACGACGATGTCGACAATGCGAGAGACAGACGGCACCCGTCGGAGCGGTTGAACGCGCCGTCTCCCTCCGTTCAGCCTTCATCGTCGCAGTCGCAATCCCAGCCCCAGTCCCAGCCGGATGCACGGCAAGCCCAAGGCACACAGCAAGGCGCACAGCAAGGCACGCCACAGCCGCCGTTGTGGTTCGGCACCACGGGTGAGCAGGGGCGCAGCTTCATGGATCACTTTGGCGCGTTCCTCAGCGGCGCGGGGCGAGCGGCGCAACCCCAGGGGGCGCAGGGTGGGCAAGGCCAGGCGCAAGGCCAGGGACAAGGACAAGGGCAGCCGCGTGGTCTACCTATCTTCTCTACGGGCTTCACAATTACCATTCCGCCCAATGGTCCGCCGACGTATGGACCTCTACCCGAGGACATGCATCTTCATTCCAACCCTGATGCCAACGCCAACGTCAATGCCAATGAGGCGAACCAAATCCCTACACCTCCCGCCCCTCCCCGAGACTTAGGTGCAGGCACTGGTGCCAGCGATGGCACCGCTCCCAACCCCGGGCCCAACGCCAACCCAGACAACCTCCGCGCGCATCTTGACGGCCTCGGCGACGATCTGCGCCGGCGTGTGCTGCACTCCTTCCTCGACTTCATCGTGCAGCTCCCGGGCACGGCGATGACGTCCATGTCGGACGAGTCGCGCGAGGACCCTGAGCGCGCCAAGCGCCTCGTCAATGCGCTCGAGACGGTACCGCACGGGCTTGCGAGGAGGTTGGAGCGTGTGGGTGCCGCTGGGGAGGGTAGCGGCATAGGGGCCGGGGCGGGAGCGGGTACGGGTGGTGGGGAGGCGATGTGTGCGATATGCTGGGATAGTCTCTTGGATGCGGAGAGCGATGGGTTCAAGGCGCAGCAGCCGGCGGGTGCAGCGGATGCTGGAGCGGACGAGTCGACCGCGACTTTGTCAGTGCCAGCTGCCCTCGATGCCGACGTGCCCATGCTAGCCGCCGACGGCGACCTCGGCGCCAGTCCGTCGGGTGATGACACGGAGAAGCCAAAGTCGGACGCGGAACCGCCAAAGGACGAAGAGCAGCAGCAGCAGCGCATTGTGTGTCTGCCGTGCGCTCACGTGTTCCATGAGTCATGTATGCTCCCCTGGTTCACGCGCGCGAAGCAGGCGACGTGCCCGACGTGTAGGTTTAACATCGACCCGGACAATCTCACGCGCGGCCATCCTGCCATGCCGACGTCGATGCCGTTGCCGTTTACGTGGCCGCATACGCCACCGCGTGCTCAGGCGGGCACACAGGCGCAGGCGCAGGCAGGTGAGGCAACGGAGGTACCACGCGCACCTCAAGCGGGAGGTCAAGGACCCGGCGGCGTGGGTGTGCCGCAGGCTGAGGGACAGCAACAGCAGCACGAGCAGGAACAGGAGCGGCAACAACCAGGACAGGCACCACCACCTCCCACTGCGCACTTCCTTCCCCTCGGGCAGCATATCGTTCTTGGCTCGTTCCCGCTCCCGCCTTCATTTCGCGGTCAGCCCCAGCCCCCGTCTGGAAACGCCCCCGCTGCGAGCTCAGGTGCGACTGCTGGCGCTGCTGACGCTGCTGGCGTAGGTGGTGGCCCGTCAGAGCCTGATGTGGATGCGCAGCGTCAGCCACAGCAGGAGCAGCAGCCGCCCCAAGGGCCCACAGCGGAATTCATGACCATTGATTTGGTGTTCAATACTGTGCTACCTCCATGGGCGCCTGGTCAGGGTCAGCAGGGGCAGGGGCAGGGGCAGGGAGGACCGGCAGGTGAAGGAGCGGGGCAGGCCCAAGGCCAAGGTGAAGGTGTTGATGGCAACGGCAATCCTAACGCTAGTGCCAACGCCAGCGGCGCACCCGAGGGTGGCCTAGGGCCGTTGCAGGAGCTGCACGATATGATCCTAAATTTGTCGAGGAGACACGGTGCGCAAGGACCGGGGCCGGATGCAAGGGCGCCTCCTTCCCCGTCGCAGTCTGGTGCGCGAAGTCAGGGTCAGGCGCAACCTGCACACCCGCAACCGCAGACGCAGGGGCAGCAGGCGGGCGGCCAGGGTGTACCGTGGGGTGCTTTCCCTCTCCCGCTGCCGTTCGGCCCTCGTGATGGGCGCCCGACAAGGCCGATGCCGCAGCGCGCTGCGTCTGCTGGGCCTGCCGGTGCTGGAGCTGGAGCTGGGGCTGGGGCTGCTCCCGCTGGTGCTCCTGCTACTGGTGCTGCTGCCGGTGCTGCACCGGAGTTCAGGTTCTTGCCACTCGGCGGGTTCGGGTTCATGGGTCCCGGCGGTGCCGCGCCAGGAGGAGGGCCTGGCGGACCGATCCCGCTCCCATTTCCGATCCCAGGTCAGAGGGAACGGCAACAGCAGCAGCGACCGACCCCGCCGGCACCACGCGTGTGGGCGCTTCCGCCCGCGCCTGGACCGTCGCTGCGCCAGCGCGTGGAGCAGAAGGAGCGCGAGGCGGGGTTGAGGTGTTTTGATGTGAGCTGCGGCGTTGGGCCGAGCGATGATGAGCCGGTTCCTTTGATTGCGGCGTTGTCGCTTGAGGGCGAGGGCGAGGGGAGGAGGAGGGTGATGAAGCAGACGGGGATTCGACACCACGAGCATCATCACGAAGGGGACCTAGAGGGTGGCGAAGAAGGGCACAAGAACGCGAAGGAGGGAGTGTGCGCGCACACGTTCCATCCCGCGTGTCTTGTTAGTGCCGAGCGCGTCGCGGGGTGGGGCGGCGAAGACAGGGATGTGGGCAGTGCGCAGGTCGAGGTGGCGTGTCCGGTGTGTCGAGCGGTTGGGTGGGTGTCGCGCGAGGATTGGGAGGAGGGCGTGCACGCGCTTTGAGGTTTGCGCGGGGCTTATGTTAGATAGTCTCCTTTATATAGCAGTTTTACACGTGTCGCTGCGCTCTTTTTTGACGGCGTCGCGCTTTGTTGACCAGACGCGACGCGTGCTTTTCAAATACGTATTTTCCATACGGAATATCCTTAATGACATACTGGCAAGAGTTGATATCAACTTTGCGCCGTCAAGAGACTCGAACGACTGCCTTGTATATGGGCAAACTGAAGACTCGCGCAAGGGAGGTTAAATTTCAAGTACTTTGGTGTAGCTTATGTGTTGGAACTATTGCTCGTACGGTGGCTTACACGAAAACTACTGGTTTAAACGCGATGCGTTGTGACCCTGTTCGGCCAACCAGCGAGTCGATGGCAATGACATGGCTCTCGTAGGGCCTCGCCACCCATACGCATATCAATATCAAGTAGAAAGTAATAGGGGCAATTTGCCCCATCTGTTAACAACGTCATGTTGGGCCAATAACTTGGGTGACATGTATCGGATAATCACTTACGAAGTTGAACACGACATAGGAAGCGTAGCTGTTGAAAGCGATTACGACCATGAATGTTATCAGCGATAGAGAATAGATAATGCCGCATTCAAGAATGATGTGAATGAGAGGGATAAGAACATGTCGAGCGGATGAGCGCCTTGTCTTCCATAGTTTATAACTCAGAAGGCCTTCGAAAAGTCCATCAGCAACGCCGAAGAAGAACAAGAAGAACTTCACAAACAAGTAGGGACCAAATCGGTGACAAGCAAAAAGGCATACGCCGCAAATACCCAGCTTGCGTACGATCCCTCCATCCACCCGGTTCCGCTTGTCCTGGTCGTGTTCACAACAGTAACGAACCCGAGAGCTGTCAAATCCCTCAGCAGCTCCCCAGTTTGAACGAGAAGATGGATTACCTGCAGCCACGCAGGACGTGATCACTGAAGGTACCACAATCCATATGTTGTCCCATACCCGGTAACACCGGTAAATCTAAAGCGTTCATAACGTTAATCCTTGTTGCGAGTTTGACGTCAAGCAAGTTCACCAGGATGGCATCGCCTATGATTGACTCCAAGATATAAGAGACAGCCTTGATAGTCGAGTAAACATCAGACGAATCGGCAAGATATGCGCCCTCTTCTGGTCCTTGTAAGGTCACAAATCCTTTATATGATTTGAAGACGTGAGCAATCATGTGCTACTCATGCATGTCAATCATAGGCGCAACAAGAGGATAGAAGTGATCAGTACCACTGTGCTCAATATGAAAAGCAGTGTCGTTCCGCAACCGAGCACCAGTTTAGCACGGCCTGTGAAAGCTCCCGAGGTCTGAATGAGAGCAGAAGCTATGAAGAGGCATGTTGAAAAGCCTGACAAAGGAGAGGTCAAGATACGTTAGGATAAGGCTCCACTCCTGAAGAACGTACCATAGAGCACTCCTTCGATGACCAGTGAAATAAACGAGGATGACTGGAAGCTAAACGCCATGGAATGATCAGCGGACTGGTGAAACTAGCTACTCGTGTTTGAAGCACGTTTGGCCGCTGATGAGGCTCTTATAGGAATCATAAAGCCACATCCAGGAGATCCAAAGAACCACAAGCCTCATGCTTCGCGGGAAGCGAGCGGACGAGAATGCCTCAGAGCTGTGCAGACCATCAAAAGTGGCATAGTCGCGGGAGAGATGTCAAGTCAAGAACAACGTCCACGGAAAGCACAGGAAAACGTCGGTTTGGAGAACGTTAACTTAATTTTGGTGACGGGCCAGGACCTGCTGCCAAGTGGGCAAATGAGCAAATGACGAAGACCAAGGAACAGGATGCATGCCCAGCTGCCGGGGACCAAAGAAAGTCCTATACCTTGTTTGAATATTAATGTCTGCGGATATATGAGCAGGGTGTGGATGTCACTGATAAGGCTGCTATCAGGTCAAGCTGTGCTTCCACGGTACAGCTGAACCCTAACCCTGTCTTGGGGTTCATTCGAGGATCACTAGGTGAGTATTATTTATTGGCAAGAATCAGATATACCTACTCAGTCAACCAGTCTCTTGTAGGCACACTAAGGATACTTGCCTGTTCATTTTTGCTTTTAATGCCATTTTCACTTTGATCAGCAGCAAGCTGCCTCAGCGAGCAACATGGAGTTGTGCAGGGCCGGGGCCCAACATCGGGATGCACAGCTTGAGCGCTTGTAGATACGATTCAAGCAGTCAAGCGTTCCGATGCATGATAACGATAATTTGGACGGGGCCAAGAAAACTTTTTGACCTTCTTTGCATCGAATGGTTGTAGGAACGTAGAGCAACCAGTGATGAGTCACTGCTTAACGTTCCTATCTTTCATGAACAGACCCACACTTTCGCAAACGAAAGACACTCACCATGTACAAGTGCTGAGTCACGCCAAGGGAAGAAATACAAGGACGCTGTTACTCCATCCATACAGCTCTTGTTGGTTGGTTCAGGAGCATCCAACAGTACTTCTTCGTCAGAACATGATGAATTACTTGAGCACATGTGTAGCCTGCGAATGGAACAAGCCCTACACTGCAGAGCGCGCCCGTAGCCCATAATCGTGAGTTGCGCCACCGTCTAGGTCCAACAAGGCGTCAGGCCCTGTACATCTGCGAGCGAGGTGGGAAGATTGAGCAGCAAATGGGCGTTCTTCGCGAATGGGCATGACCTGATCCTTATGCTCAATACAGCAAGCCCCTATTCTATGCTTCTTTTTCCTTCCCAAACGCAGACAACGCTACGCCCTTATCCGGTTGCTACCTTATGCTCGTTTTTGTCAACGTCGGTGGTCTGGTTTCCTTCAAGCTCCCTGCTATGGAATATATAAGCACCAACCGTTGCAAGGCGACTCCTTCACAGACCAGCCTGGTCAACCCAAGAAACAAGAACCGTCTTCCCTTTGTTTGACGCTTCCCACTCAACCCACCCCACACTACTCAATAACCACTAGACCACGGTGCTTTGACCCCTGTCATCCACACTTGCGTCGAAAATCATTAATCCGCATCCACAAACACCGGATCCACCCACTTCACGTTCCAGCACGTTAATCATGTCCTCCTACTGCAACGTACCCATGTCCCCATCCACCGGTTTCTTCCCATCCGCGCCTGGTGCACCGCACGCATTCTCTGGCATGCACGGTGGGGACCCCCGCGAGGCCCATGACATGTATGCGGCACTCGGCTCGTCGTTCGGTTTCCGCTCGGACAGCCAAGGCTCTCCCAACCAGAACCGCAACAGCATGAGCTCTCTCAAGAAGCTCGTCCGCAGGTCATGAACAACATCACAAACGTCTCATTCACGACACCCGTCACTTTCATGCCTCCTTCTCATCAGCACAACTTTCTCTGTATCATTACCCTTGGAAGATTGGCGAAGACGGCCTTCTGTTCAGGCCTTTGGTCAGGACGGAGATAGGACTTGAGGTTAGGATAGAAGAGCTTCGTCATGACGGTGCTGGGTACCGCATTAATCTTCCATTCATCTCTTCCACACTACTTCACAAGCACATGCATAGAATACCACAACCACACTGTAGCATTATTGTCTCTTTACTCTTCGTTTTCAATGGGATTATCCACGTTGTATCCAACAAAGATGTGGTTCCTGGTGATGCGATCCGCCGTCGCCAGCGATGAACAAAAAGCAGGTTATGTAGGTACAGTTTAGCCCCTAAGTTCACTTGAATTCTCACCCCGAGACGTCGAGACGGCACCGCCGGTTCGGACAAGTCCGACTCCCCGAATGGACGCAGGGCCCGCCTGACAATTGCACGTTCACTAGCAGTGCTAAACGTACTCAACGTTCAACTTCTCGCCTCCAACACCATGGCGCCCTCACGAGCAGCAGCGGCTAACTCAAGCAACGCCAACACCGCATACCTCCTCTCGCTCCTCGCAGAGTATACCCACACCCTCGATTCCCTCCCTATCGACCTCTCCCGTAACTTTGCAGACCTCCGCGAACTTGATGCCGTCCTGTCCTCTTCCATGGCCTCCATCACTACCAAAATTAACAGACTCACAGAGATGATTGAGCAGGGCGCCATGTCCCAACAAGAACGCCTCATCCTCCTCTCCGAGATCGCGGAGGAGGCCTCCCGCCTCAAGCTCGGCAGCGAGGACAAGATTCGCGTCGCCTGCCAGGCGGCCGACAACCTCAAAGGACACACGGGCCACATGCGGAGCCTTGCAAGCCTTATTCCTTCTTTCGACATCACCACCCTCAACCGCAAGACGACCTACCCCCACGTTGCGACCCGCTCTTACGCACCACCACCGGAGCCAACTCGCCGGAGAAGAGGGAATTACCTGCTCGCCAGCGCAGGTAACGACTACGCAAGCCCTGCGAAGAGAAAGCGGTCCAACAAAGACGATGAGTACGACGGAGCCAAATCACCGCGGAAGGAGAGGACGACTGAGACCAACTCCAGAGCGCGCAACAATGCTCGTGCGAGACGGTCAGTATCCCAGCTCCTCGCATACTCCCATCTTGAACCCATTCCACAGGCAAGATCGTGCTGCATCACCAACGGAGTCCCTGCTCTCCGTCATCGACCCACCACCTCAACCTGCAACCAGCTCATCCCGCGCTGGTGGGCGAAGCGGAAATTCGAATCGGCGTGGCAAGAATGCAGCCAACGGCAATGTGAATTTCGAAGATTCAGCCGCTTCCCGTCGTGAGGCCTTCAATGGGACGTCGGCTCACGGTTCGGGGGGTGCAGCGTACGGAAACGGGGGTATACGCAATTACGATGCTCAAAACGAGTGGGGCAGCGTTCCTCATGGTCAGCTGGAGGGCCCGGGGATGCCCGTGGCCAGGAACGGCGCTCATGCAGGCACGTCTATAATTCTTCCCGATGCTGCTAACCATTGACTTTTCGTTGACTTCTATAGCAGATGCTCAGAATGCAGCGGTGGACACGGCGACAGATGCTGGCGAAGGGGACGGCGATGGCGACGACAAGACGTATTGTTTCTGCGACGGTATTAGCTTCGGCGAGATGATTGCATGCGATGATGCAAACTGTGAACGGGAATGGGTGCGCGATCCGCCTGCCTCCTTCTGGTGTTTCCGACTGACTTGGCATCTATATAGTTCCATCTTGGGTGCATTGGGCTCACGGTGCCGCCCGACGGTCTTTGGTTCTGTGAAGTCTGCAGTATGAAGCAACGGAACGCCAAGCGCGGCTCCAGAGGCGGTAAAAAGCGATCGGGCGGTGGGCGCTCTGGCAAGGCTGCCAACAACTCCTGATCGGGGCAAGGAGGTTCTGTTTTTCTTATTGGATATGTATCTTTGTATTCGTAACTTGATATCATTCTTAATGTTTTGCTAATTGGGTTAACTTCTGAAGACAGTGTGTCAACTTACGCGTATGATCTCTTGTAGAGAGAAGCGCTCATTTCTACGGCTGCCAACCGGGTGATAGAATTCCCTTCGAAATATAACTTGTGATACCTTGAACGTTCTGACTCTGCTCACCACGGCACTCAGATAGGGGTTTGAGGCTCGCCAACTAGAGTCTGACTGTCCTCAAGGCGACGCGGTGTCTTATCTTGGGTGAGAAGTGCGGTTGCATTACCCGAGCACGACGCGTCTCCAATATTCACGATCACGTGAAGTGCGCAATTATGCGGGGTTAGTACTTTTAGCGCTTGCTGCAACCGCTTGCCCTTCACGGTCATCGTGCACCCTCGGTGAAGAAAGTACCTGCCCCTTGCCCCATTGCTTCGTGCCGTTGGCAAAATGGTACTTTCTACTACCTCATATCCGGCATGGATGAGCCTTAGCTGACAGACGCGATGATACACCTTGGTCTAGAAAACATATCAAAAGGGTTCATGATGCCACTGTCACAGACCACCGGTCAGTTCAGCCGAGTCACCGTGGAACAGCTCGAGGCTCTGGTGCAGTAAACCTGCATCTACAGCGGCTTCACCGCATGGCCCAGTATTGGCCCTCGTACTTCATCTTGACTTCATTTCAGAGATCACTTTTTTGATGGGGTGCAAATGATTTCAGCCCGAGATCACCGCAGGCGTGCGTCGTAGACGAGATACACACTCTGCATTGGACATTGGCTGTCTGTAGATCACTCTCGTAGACACTTGGCACATACAGCGAACAAGACGCAGTCACCCGATCCGGAGTCTTTCATGGATACCGTCCACTGCCGGGAATGGTGGGACCGAACGATACCACATGACTTGTGGGAGCATAACGCGAACGCGGGGTAAGCTAGAGCTTTCCTAAATAAAGCGCAACCCGCTGTCAAGGACGTACAATTGACCTCACGGATACTCAATGGCCTTCTGTTTTCAGCCATCTATGTGCTGAAAATACCTGAGCGATTCAGACGACTTACTGCCGAGGTGATGTACCCGACCTTCCCTTAAGTAGGTCGAAATCTAGTGCGTTGCTTTTCCCCACCCACTCACGATCCTCCCTCATAGCGCACCCGTAAGTGCTGCTCAGACACTGCCAGTCCCCGGATTTACCCCGCAGTCGATCACTGTCCAGCAATAACTACCATGACTCGCATGACCGTCTTTGGTTTCTTGGTAGCTAGTGCTGCCTTCGCGAGCGCTACAGGGTAACCACGACCTTCGGCTTCCCATACTCTCGTGCTAACGATCTTTTTCGCATGTACTCAGCGTAAACTTGGGCGCGCAGTGGGCTAACGTCATAACGCGTTCCACCACATCCTCGCCCCCAAACGCCACCGCATCCTCTGGCAAGAATGGCGGAGGATGCTACGACGGCCAGTGCTGGGACTATTGTGGTGACACGCTGAGTGGATGGTGCTACACAGCTGTAGACCAAGGCGGATCGACGCAGAACTGTACATCGGATAATGACTGCAGCATTTACTGGGCGTGCTCGTCCGACTGCGAGGCGATGTAGCCCAGAATACCACTTGTACAACGAATGTAACATTTATTGGGTTCAAAGAGCTGTGCGTTAGTTTATGGAAAGTTGAATATTGAATTACACTGAGACCGTGTACCACAAGTCAGCTGTTCGATGATCACTCTGTGTTTGCACTGGTAAAGCAAGGCATCCATCTGAACCGAATATCGGGAGAGTCCATCTGCAGTAAGGGCAGAATCTCTGCATTACTACAATAATGCATGCCGAAATAGGGGGAGCAATGACTTCAGTACAATAAAAGAAACGTACTTATATATACCGTATACACATGATCAACGCCTTTTAGAACCCCTGCCATCGTCCGGTCCAGGTGAGATTCGTCTCTTTCTGCTATGTTGTCAGGTTGGTCAAATTACGCTAACAGAGTGATGGGGGCATTACCTGCTCCGTTCCTCAGGTTCGCCAGAAGGAGTCCGTCTCCCCGAGTCCTTCCCCCCACCGTAGTCCAGACCGTCAACCGCTGGCGCATTGTTATCCCTATCCTTGTATCTGTTGGCGTTCCGCGGTCCCGTTGGAACATTGGGTGGTAGAGGCGATGTTGATCTAACAGGTACAGCAGGACCTGTGGAAGGCATCTGTGAATTATTGCACCCAGGATGAACTGATACCCACTTACCATCGCCATATCGTCCCCGCCCACGGCCGGCAAAAGCACCCCGTCCGCGTTGATTTGACACCACACGACCACGGTATTGACCTTGAGGCGTGCCACGACTGCCTGGCCCAGGTGGGACATTCTGTGGTGGGACACTCGGCACCGGCGTCTGCTGATGTTGTTGGGGGGGATTTGGCGTGTTGCTTCCCTCCATGCCCGGGTACATGCCCTGCCCCATCTGCCCTTGGTCCTGCTTATGTCAAGCCCGGCGCAGCAAGAGACAGCGAAGAAAATGCTCAATTACACGTAGACTAGACATAGGAAGGGGACATCCATACCTGCATACCAAATTCGTTGTTCATGCCCATACCCATCATGCCAGGCCCTGGTCCGCCCCCGCCGTACCCGTCCTGCATGCCCATCTGCCCACCTTGCTCCGGCGTTCCCGTCCCCTGGGGCCCGCCGCTGCCGTCCGGCATCATGGGGCCTTGCATGCCCATGTCGCCGTTCATACCCATGCCCATAGGTCCCATGTTCATCCCGCCCATTCCAGACATGTCCATCATGGGGTTCATGCCAACCCCGGGTCCCATCATATTGTTTGCACTGGCGTTGTTCATCATGGCATTCGCACCGGTCATGACCATGGTCCGGAGTTCAGGAGGGAGAGCAGTGAGCTGGTCTTCGGGCATACCGGCGAAGTTCTAATAAGCCGGGTTAAACCCAACATTCAGAGCTACCGAGTCTCAGTGGTTTACTTACCAGGACGTTTGTCTTCAAAACATCTGCCAACTCCCCAAGGTCTCTTCTCCGGTAGCAGTAGGCCTCCCACGACATCTCGTCAAATCCGTAGTTGAACCAGTCGCTTATATCCGAGCCTGGTCTCCGCCATGGCTTTTCGCCCATAGCGGTGAGATCATATTCCAATATTGATCGACCGTCTGCCATGCCTATCATGTTTGGGTTGATTATGGGATGTGAAGGAGCGGCGGAGACTGGAGGTAGTGTTGAAGGGTCGGGTCCGTCATCACTCTGAGTCTGCTCTGAGGCTTGCTGGCCGAGATGAGACTGTGGTTGTGGAGCTTGGGCTTGAGATGTCGACCCTGTCAGAGGCGATTGTTGAGGTCTCGAAGGTGCAGGGGCTCCTCGCTCGCGGGGTGTATATTCAGTGGTTAAGGTGGGTTGTGCGGCTATGTGCATGTAAATGTGTAAGTATATGCACTAAAGAAGTATGGCACGATGCGTACGCTTGATGGGCGTGGCCTGCGAGGCATTCAGCGCACGGCTTGTAGTTGGTGGAGGCCGATTTGGCCTTGTTAAACTGTCAGAACAGTCTGGTGGTGAATACAATGGTCTTACCGTAAATCCAACGAGCGAGATGGTTGATCCATTATAATCTCAATGTCCTTTTAACGTAGGAATATGAATGAGACTTCAGTCAGCATTGGCTGTTGTCACTCACATCTTCGTCACTATCCTCGTCTTCTCCGCCGTTGTCGTCCTCGTCTTGTTCATCGTAGCCGTTTTGCCCATTCTGACCATTCTGACCGTTCTCTCCACTGTAGTCGCCATTGGTCTGTTCTGGAGGTGTTGCAGAACCGAAAGGAATCTCTTCTTCTGCCTTGGCTTCGAGATTCTCGACGAGTCCATTTGATGCGGCTTTCACGGTTTCAAGTGGAACGCTGAAAAACCTTATGGGAAATGGTGATCCGGTAGAGGTTGAAGTGGGACTCACGGTTTGGGCACTATTGGCACGGCACGCGACCATGTAAAGGCAAACGTCAATGTTATTCAACGTAGGGATACAGCAGATAGACTGGAAAGATTGTCTGAGCACGCAGTCAATGAATCGACTCTTACCGGAGGTTGGAACTTCGACCTTGGTTGGCTCTCGGTCATTTGCGCTTGACTCGCCATAAAGAAAGATATCGTCGTCGTCATCCCTAGTCGAGCAAGCTCAAGGTTAACATTCAAGAAGATTATCATTCATGCAATGGATAGACAGACATTACGACCTAGGTAGCGACCTTCCTCCAGGCAAAGTTACTCCAACAAGCTTTTGGCAGAATGCTATATAGACAGGCGAAAACGTGACCGGCCCCGTCTTTGCCACCTGTGACATGCGTACGTGACACCCGTACCGACAGTCACACCTCGGCGTCAGTTCGGAAAGCCGGACGCTCTCCGTTTTGACTTTGCGTGGTCTGGTCAAGTCAAAGTCCATCATGCAGTTCCTCCGCACAGCACAAAGGTCGACACGCCCAGTCACGCGTATCTCGACGCGTCAATATGCTATCTCGGTCAAGCCACCAGTCACATACGAGGGAAAAGCTGTCCCCCGGAAGTATGGCGAAACCAAATCCTTCCTCTACCACCAATACACGCGCATGCTCGATACCACTGCCGACTCCCCCATGATTTTCCTCCAGCACAAGAACTTTTCCGTGGCTAGGATGCAAAAGCTACGCAAAGACCTCTCGACCGCTCACACCCGCTATGCAGCTTTGCATCCAGACGACGCCTCTCTTGTAGTCCCTCCCTCCCTGTCTATCATCCGCACTTCGATTTTCGGCGCGGCACTTCGCGAGTTCTCGCCATTGGACCGCCAGGCCATTGACCAGATTTCAGATATTGTGGAGAACGGGTTCGCAGTTCTCACTTTGCCCTCACTCAATCCTCCACAACTTGATGCCGTCATTCGCGCACTCGAGCGGTCCGCGCCTCCTCCCGCGCAACCAGGGGTACAGGCGAAGAAAACAAATCCCACCGACGACCCAAACTTCGTCCCCGGAAGAAAGCCACAACGCGTGCGCCCTATCCTTACCCCTGAGCTCAAGGTCATGGGCGGCTTGATAGAACGGAGGGTTTTTGCAGCGGAAGGAGTGAAGGACGTGACGAAGCTCCCCACTTTGGATACTCTGAGAGCACAGATTGTGGGCCTGATTTCGGCACCTGCGTCACAGCTTGCGGCGGTGCTTGGAGAGGCTAGTGGTGGCAAATTGGCTCGGACGCTCGAGGGGCTCAAGAAGAGCTTGGAGGAGGACCAAGAGGCGGGCGCGCCACCATCATAGAACTGTGAGTATCTGGCCCTTTTTACTACCATATAGTCGCTGGCGCTAAGGCATTGAATCCCGCAGACAAAACTCCCAAGTTCTGTCCTCCCCTCCTTCACCCGTCTTTCCTTGGCCGTGGGCCCGCTCTCCCTTCGTCATGCGATGTTCGTACCCTTTCCATAGTGCTCGGTAGAAGACGAACGAGCGCAATAGAATAAAACATGGATTTAGTAGTGCACCCTCCTTCTTCGGCTTCGGCGGATTTTTGGCTAGCCGTGGAACGTCCCTAGTACAACCACGTTAATTATAATTGTTTCCTAGACACGCTAAACGTGCTGACCAGCCCGTGTAAGGTGCGACATTACGAAGTGTGATTAAGATGGTTCCGCGTTCGGCCACTTGCTTTTGGGTTGTTTCCTCGTCGCCCGACATGTTAGCATCTGATTCTTCATCCTCTGTATTCTTGCGTTTACGGGGCCCGTTCACGACTGGGACAGATCCTGTTACAAGGGACTTGGAGGCTGACCGAAGGAAGTCAAGTATTAGAACCTGATTAGATAAGATGTTTCGATCTTGGTTTGTTATACCCTTGCCTAGCAGAACAAAAGATGAATGCATAGGGGTAGCAAGGTGTCTTTGACATACCAGCGTGTGGAAAGTTCCATACAATCCGATTCCACTTTTTCCCTTTGAGTGCGAGAACCTTTTCAAGATGCGTAGCGTCGATACCAAAGAGTATTTCAACTCCCTTATGTTCCAGAGCCTCGACCATAGTTTTCGCGTCAGGATATTTGACATAGCACTCATCTTCTGAGTCATACGCAGTAGCGGTAACATTGGAAGGGGGGAGATCTGCGAGTACAGGAGGCGGGTGAAATACCAGAGCATGAGTAAAGGAGAAGTTCCCTTCGCCAATGAGCAGTATTTTGTCTGTTGGATTGAACGGGATTGTCGGCCTCGGAGGTGCCTTGTCTTTTCCCTTGTCCCGACCTTTCCCTTTCGCCCTCTGTTCCGCTACCTCAGCAGCATGTGAAGCCTTTTGTTTGCTCTTCAGTCGCGCTTGCTGGCCTTGCAATGTCGCCTTGAGTGACGTCTTCTTGCCCATAAGTGTGCGATAGAGATGTTGGTACACTGAGGAGCCCGATTTGGCAACTAAGCAGGCGGTTGTTTGGATCTAAAGCTCTTGGTAAACAAACGAATTGGGGCACACGTCTCCAGACACGTCACAAGAGAAAGTTCCATATAACTCACACATTTGCCTTGCACACGGTCTATACACCTCTACCCATTCATTCCTTACTAACCCAGTCAGTAGTCAAAATGGTGCGCTAATAAACTGTTGCACTACGCTCTTATTGACTAGTAGCTGTGTTCAGCCTACCCAATTCGAGATGCGCCAAAAGAATGCCCAGTTCGCCAATGCGGCACGGGCAGGAAAGAAACCTACCAAGCCGTCACGGCAAGAACAGCTCTCGAAAAGGAGCCCTGTTGGTCTTGCAGCTCTTGGAGTGATATTATTCGTCGTCGTGGGAGGAGGTGCGTTAACGCTACACCATGCTTCCCCATTTGCGAACTTATGTGCTGCACTATCAGTGGTGTTCGAGCTCATTCGATTGATGTTCCTGTGAATTGCTTTCCAAGACCCAGCACAGTCGGGAGATTACGCGCTTGCTCGTTCTACCTGTCCTGTTTCCTATGCACTTTCGAGTTCCGGCAACATATGTACCCTCGCTTTCATCTATGGCTTTCATTTCATCAATAATATTCCATTGTATCACCAAGTCAGTAACAGGTCTGGCTAGGGATCAGATTCTAGTCTTCACCAGCAGTGCTGCCAGTCGCACTGATGCTCATGCTTTGGCTACGGTTACCTGTCTGGCTCCCTGCCTTGGTCGTTTGCCCGCTTCCGGAGCCGGATGGGCCTTCGTCCTTTGAACTCTCGACACCTTCCATGGCATCCTCTTCGAGTTCCTTCTCGTCGACCTTGATCTCGTCACCAGCCCAGATGCGCATGGTCGGCTGCCAGATCATAACAATGTTGTCTTCCGATGTCGTGGATGCCGTCCAGTTCTCGGGTTCCCCTGGTGCCCAGCAGAAGTCGGTGGGACGCGCAGTGTGGCCTTTGTGAAATGCTGTCAGCCATGAGAACCTGTCAACTAATAAGAACACTGACCTCCGTGAATGAAAAGAAGCTCTGGTGGTCCGTCTTCCTGATCGTCCGGAGTCTGCTCTACACCAATCTGTGACAGATCCCAGATGTTAACACGTCGGTCGCTGGATGCAGAGGCGAAGATAGTGGCATTATGCGGAGACCATGCGAGGTGAAGCACTTCGTCCGTGTGTGCTTCGAATGTATGTAGCTTTTTCGTCGGGTTCCGTAGGTCATGAAGAATAATGGTCTACGTGACATCAATAAGCACGTCAATCTCCAGCTTCGGGGTCCAGGACCAACCTTGTCTGCGCTACCTGTAACAAGAAGATGCTCGCTGGCTGGGCTAAACGCACAAGAGAGGATTTCCCGATCATGCGCTTGCACTTTCGTCATAGCGTCCTGGGCTGAGCGGGTATCCCAGCTGTTCACATGTCAGTGATGCCAGGTGGAAATGACAATTAACTACGGACATGAGAAGCATCTTGTCATCACCAACGCTTGCAAAGACATTCTCCTTCGTTGCATGCCAGTCCACATCCTGTGAGATATATTAGCTGAGGGAAGACCAAAGTAGGAAACGGCAATGAACTCACGCCTACTACGGAGGTGTGGCCTCGGAAGACGGTTGTGGGTTCAATAGTAGATTTTGCCTTGGTATACGATGTAATATCCCTAATTCAGGAAAATAATGTCTTCGTCGAGAACAGTATGCATGACCAATTGCAGCTTACCAGTGGCAGATGGTCATGTCCTCAGAGGCACCAAGAATTTGCCCACTTTTTGTTGGGCTCCATGCCAGGCCGTAGCTATGTTCTTGTCAAACAGTAGTCAAAACTGCAAGCGACGCACGCACCCTTCCTTGGTTTGACCGACGAGCCTGATGTCAGGTTTGCACACGCCTCCCCGCTCAGGCTCCGATGAATGTTTTGTCCTATCAAACACGAGCACCTCCCCAGAGACGGCTTTGGTCGCAAGCAGATCTGGGTTTTGCCACATGTACCTCGCGCGGTTAATTTCGCCATCGTGGTTGATTTTCTGGATGATCTGGATGCGTGGCTGCGCCGGAATGGTGTGACCTCCAAGCTCGCCGCGCTCGTCGTCGTAATTGGAGCGGTCAAGTTTATCGGAGGAGGGGCCATCGCGTTTGGGAATCTGGACGGTCGCAATTTGAAGGTAGTCTTGTGCTTGTCCCGAGGTATGTGTTCCAAGAAGAAGTCGATGGGTGGTGAATGGCTTGTCCGCAGGGCTGGGAGGACCTCAGCTTAGATGCATAATTGTTAGCATCGGAACCTACGATTCTCGGTCCGGGAACCATTGGCAAGTCAAGCTGGGCCAGTCAAGGGCATGGGTGATGACAAGGTCATAAAGGTAAGGCGCATTCTTCTTCCTGCAAGATCCTGTTCAGCATGCCATTGGAATTCCAGCGCTAGACCGGAGCACATACCAGGTTTTGTACTCCTACATAACATCCCGCGTACTCCAATGTTAGAGTTGTGCAGGTGAAACACACTTAGACGAACCTCGTTGATAAGCTTGTTCTCTTCCTCAGCCGCGAGATCGTCGTCGATCTCTTCTTGTGCTGTGGGCTTCATGACGGGCAGAGTGTGGAATGCACGTGCAAAGTAGTAGTACCGAGTGAACCGATGCACGCGACGCGTCTGTGACTACGCGCTGGCGTCGGGAGTCGGGATCGGATGCAGAACACACCAACCGGCAGTTCGCGAGTTCGTGTCAGCTTGTTTGAATCCTGTACATAATTAGTTAAAGCAAGGCCCTCACGGGCACACCTGGATCCGGATATCCCGAGCTGAGTGTCATATAGTAGTCTTTCATGCAGTGGTAGGTCAATTTCGAGTAACGTGCGTAACTAATTACGTTGGTAAGGTCAAACTAACAGTCAAGTCCAGTAGCCCGGTACCGATGCGTGACATCATATATGAACTTCAAGCATTATCGATGATAGAGCGCATAGTAAGCCCGACATGTAACCGTAACTCCTGTTCTGTAATATAATCCGTGATGTAGTATACAAGAGCTTTAGCAGCCTCGCCAGAACCAATGTACTTGATGTCGTTGTTTGACTGAGTTAGAAACAAAAGGACAGGGTTGTAATTGTTAAGACGCGGATGCCACCTCTTCGGTAAGGTGGAGCCCGTTTCTTCATCAAGTGTAGTACATTCGTAGACTCGTGACCAGTCTCCCGAGACGCGTGCCTAAAGAGGCAACAGGCCATGGGGGCCTTCGCATCTGGGAGACTGGGAGATTTCGTCGACTCCCTGGCAGGGAGCCAACTGAGTTTGAATATTGGCAGTAAAGAAGCATTGAGAAGCGTCGGAGATCGGTTAGATAAGCCGGCATTACCGCAGCCGATCGAGCACTTGTAGTCTCGCGTCGCGTCGCGCTCTGTACGCGCCGTGCCCATGAAATATAACAATTTGCACCCTATCCCTCCTGCGTGAACGTAAGATATACTACCCTGGCCTCATCCTAACTACTACCAGCCGCCTCCACCACCTCCACCGCCCGTATTTCGGCCGCTGCAATGGACAACACCCCCTGCATGGCTCTCTGAGGATATCAGACTAAGGGAGCTTTCGACGGCTCTGGTTGACACGGAAATGACAGCGCTCGATCTCCA